TTGACTAAATGGTATCGGCTTTCCATTAATTAACATTTGACCGCATGTTGGGTTATCTAAACCGTCGTTACATCCAGTGAAATTAGCTCGATGATTGTTAATTACCTCTTCTCTCGCTTCCGCATTGACAATCTTATTCGAAATGATCAATATATAAGAAATATTTTTTTTTATTGTACGCGAATGATTAAAACGAGAACTTATCAACAATTAATACATGATCTGTATCAGATGCAGATAATTCAGAATGGAATCTATCTTGTCGATCTCAGTCAATAAAATATTAACAAATTTGATTAATAATTTAAAATATGTATTTTGCATATAATTATATTTTACAAGAATTTTAATTTTATTCTTTACAAATTTGCTACCAGTGATTATTATTTAAAGACTTGCACGTTTTAAATAATATAAATTAATTATTACATACACTTACGCCTTGAAATTTTAGTCCATATAAATGTAGCAAATCTTCTTGGCGAACTTTTATAACATATGGATTATGGAGTCTGATTTTTCGCATTTTTATCGGATCCAATACATGATCCACCAATATAAATTCTTCCCGCGTATTCGTCTAAAACATATTTCAAAAATATTTATTTACTATAATAATTATTTGTAGTAATATGCTCAATTATAATCCTTTATTAAAAATTATGATCACGATTATGATTGTATCAAAATACGAAATTATTCAATTTCTTATTGGTGTGAAAATCATAATAATAATAGTGTAATTTATATTTTTCCTAGGTCAAGTTGCATCAATATTATTTTGGATTTAAGAGAAACTTAAATATGTATTTATTTTTATCTTTCTAAATAAATAAAGATAGACATATTTAAATCTCGCTTAAAATCAAAATAACATTAGTGCAATCGAGTCCTAGATTTTTTTAAATGTTAGCATATTATTAATAATCTATCATATTACATAATAAAGATAGATAAATAATTTATATCCGATAGAGAGAGATACCTTTCCAACATTGTTAATCTTCATGCTAATAATCACTTTTCTTCTACAATTTCGTTGCGATTGTGTATACATTTCTTTACTATAGAAGGAAATAATGAATGAATCGAAAATATTTATTCTAATTTGTTACATTTTCATAGATTTTGCATAAGTTTCGTAATTTTGATAATTTTTAAGCAGAATGCGCATACACTTCTTTTCGCGTTTTCGAACAACGAACCAGAACAGCCCTAATTTCAATCCACGGATGATCGATCAATGGTTCCTCGAATGAGGAACATGGACGATTATATTCAAATTGTCCTTCGTAAAGTTCGCGTCGTTGCGATGTGCAGTCAGGATTTCTCGACGGATGATACTGGGGAACGTATTGAAACTCCGATACATAAGGATGAAAATGCGCGGTGACACTTTCGGGATGAAGGCCAATTAACGCGAACATCATCTAAGTTTTTTAATCAATAATGATGATATCAAGGAAAACAATTAAAAAATTATTAAGAAGATTTTATTTATTTTCGTGAATGTGCTCTACTAATAATTTATGAATTTATCATATGACAGTACGACTAAAGATTATGAAAATTAAATTGTGAATTAATAGAACCTGTAACGTTATCCAAAGAATCTTGAAATGAACTGATGACATGTTAGTTCATTTGGTGCGACATTGTTATCACTTGTCGGGCTCATCTCAAATACAGAATAGTATCGAGCCCTGCGAACACTCCATTACGAATCTTGATGCTATATGCACATGTCATAATCGATTAAACTCTCGATTAGATTAAATAATCTCGAAAAATGTGTATCACGAGATTCGTATTATTTCCACGTGTTTTAATATGTACTTGAATTAATCGGCAAAATCCAATACAATTCTTTTATGTAGGGTTATAATTTGATTAAAATCACATGAAGTAAAACTCGATATCGTTAATGAAGCTGCTCGCCTAATAATGTGAATCTAGACTTTCTTTTGTCTATTAGATCTCGAAATTATAATTTAATTTAGCAAGAGAAAGGTAAACGTGAAATAATATAAGAGAAAAATATAGTTAATTAATAAATTATTAAATTTTTGGAATTATATCGGATCATATCTTATAGTCTTATATGTACAACAATATACAACATACGATATTAAAAAAGTTTCATCCTTTTATCAAGACTATATGTGAATAAAATTATGGATTTGAAATTATGGAGCCTTTGCAGAGCGAAGATATTTAAGCATACATGTATCGTAATTTTTTCGGAAATCTTTAAAGTATTTTAAAAGTACAGATGTGTCTTTTTAAAGGGATCGCCGTGTTTATTAATCTTAAATCACCATATTATTGTAGACGAAGATAAAGCTTCTCGAAAACTTTACTTAAATACATAAATTATTAATAGATCACAAGCAATAACATAATAATTGCAACAACTTATGATTGACAATTATCGCAATTACAATAAACAAGGAATAAATAAAAAATGGGCAGGTAAAAACTTTTTTTTCATTATTAGTTTATTCTGACATTTTAAGATGTATGGACAATTATTATTACATAATAATTTTATATAATGAAAGGTTCTTCATGGTGGTAACTTTATATAATGAGACGTTTCACTCTTTTTTTTTCTTTTGTGTAACGCTCGCTCTTACTCCCCTGTTGATCATCCCCTTCTTTATAAGACTCTCATATCATCTTACACATCATTCTTTCACAACGAAAATCAAATGATTAAACTATGAATGCATCATGAAATACGTGCGCTCTTGATTATTGATCGTCAATTAAACATTATTATCCACTTTTTTTAGTTATCTTTATCGTTATCAGTGTGTTATAATAATTACCATTAATCATTATAATTACGATATAACGCTATAATTAATCCTCCCACTCAATTTACTGCATTTCGCTCGCTTTCAACCGTAATAACGGCAGAGAAAGAGAGCATATTTTATATGATAAGATGCATAGCGAATAGTTGTCGCAGCTGTTGTCGACACAGTAAATTTCACCTCGCCTCGCATTATAGTCGTCATTATAGAGGATTTTCACCGGGAGGCCGTGTCTCTTTGAAAGGATCATTCTTATCGTTCCTCTCAACTTTTTCCGCGAACACGACCCTTCAGGGCGGCCTAGCTAGGTATGTCTCTCCTTCGACTTCCTCTTCCTCTCGCGGCAGATAAAAAAAAAACAATAGATTAAAAAAATAGTACAAGAGTAAAAAAGTAAGTAGAGTGAATAAAACTTAATATTTCTGATATAATAAATCAACGTGGAAATGTTTTACGGCTCACAGTCTCTAGAGGTTGGCGCGATCCTTCACACTGTGTTTCGATCAATCATTCGTTTCCTTTTACGATGTGTCACATGTGAGAAACGCGCAACTATACCCGATGTATACAGGATGTTCCACATTTATCAAGAAATGTTTTATGGATTTTAACCGATTTGAGAGCGTGTTTTTTATAGCACACAATTGAAGAGAAGTCATTGCTTGAAAATTTTACAATCTTTAATATGAAACTAACTGAAAAACAAAGCATTTTTTTATTCACCAACAAAGAATTTTTATTCACAAAGAAAATTTTGGTATCTTTCTTAATTTAATTTAATTTAAATTTAATCTAATTTGATTTAATTTTAATTTAATTAATTTAATTTAAATTTTTAGGGAAGGATTATTTTTATTCTCGACAGATATTTTCGCATAATCGATTTTAGAAAGAAGAAGTTGAAAAATTCGGCTGTAAAATGTTTCTCGCTAAATCTGGAACACGCTGTGTGCGAACTTAAAACGAGCGAACGATGTCAAGTATATGTACGTGTACGTACATGTTCGCGTAGACATTTAGTTGTTACGTTTTTTCTTTTTTTTTTTGGTTCGATTTGGTACGTGACTAGAAATGCTACACACATATGCGCCATTCATCCGTCTACGCGCCCGCACACATACACACATAAAAGTATGACTTAGCAGTAGTATAACTAATACGTATCACTATATTTATATATGTATAATTATATATATGTATAATTATATATATATTACTCGTCGCAATAGCTTCTATCGGCTGTCTATATAATTAAGCTAATTTTACAACAATATGGCAATCATGGTGAATAATGAACAGCTACGTTATCGCGAGACTACAATAACACTAATCTTAAAGACGATAATACAAAATAAAAGAACTCGTATCTTGCATACAGTTTCAAGCAAAATTAAGTCGCACTTTACGCCATGAAATAAATCGCACTATACACAGGCTCTCCGCACATACAACATTTTTAGATTCATTGTGGAAATTTCGCAACTTTAATTCATTATCAAGTAAAATAACTTTAAATATAATTAATACATATTATATATTTAATGAATAAAACATATCGAAAATATTTTAATAAAAAAAAGAGTAAAATGAAAAATATCTGACATGATATGTGATGTACAGAATTATCATTTTTGTAGAATATATTTTTCTACAAAAAAAAAATAGAAAATTTTATATGTTACGTATAAAAATAATTATGCACAAAAATTGCTATTGTTTTATAATACAAAATTGCGACATTTTCACGTATTATTGCTATCGCAATAAACAGAAACAAAATAAAATTTACAAAAGCATAATTTTTTCACTATCCTAGATTATCAAATCCTTTTTTATCAACGAGCTTGATTTATTTCGTGCAAATTCCTTTTCACATCCTTGAATTCCCAATTCAAAATTCACACTTTTGATCAAACTGTCTCGTCAATGAAATCGCGATCGCACTAAGCAACTTTTCTTTCGCTTTGCTTTCCTTATTTACTTATGTGATTCACAAATTGATATGAAAACGACATGGATCAGTGCGCAATCGCTACATCGTTATATGTTAACACATTAAATATTTGTAGAATGTATTTGAAGAGACAATTTAGAATAACAAACTAAAATAATCTATTATTTATTTGCGTTTCTATAAAAATAAAATAAAATAAAAATGGAACAAAAAAAATAAAATAGACAATAGAAATTTCATGTAAAATAAATCTTTGAGCTCATCATCGTCATAAATAATTCAGAAAATATTCTAATTTTTCGAACAGATTTCATACATCCTTTAGACATTATTATCGTTTCAAATTTCATTATTAATATGTGAATTTGATTTTCAGAAAAAAATCAATCTTCGGATGTTGAAGTACGAACTAGGCCACCCTGGTGAGATTATCAAAATATCGGATCATCACGCTCGATCCGATGTCGGGACCCATTGTGATCGATTGGGAGACGAATGTGAGGTGACGTTGAAAACGAAAGTGAAGTGTGTGTCGCGAAATGTGCTGCGAAGGGAGAGGAGCTCGCTTACACATGTGCGTGCCATGAGAAACAACGGAGATGCGGAAGAGGAAACGGTCATGAGGCCTCACCGATCTGCACGATCACGTGGCTCTACGTCTCGGGTAAGTATATTTTACATATATACGATATACATATACATATAAACTCGAGACGTGTCCATCATTGCGATTGAATCGTATCTGTCGGTCTCGCGTAACGACTTGTGCGATCATCGCCTCCAATTCATTTCTTGCCGGTCTATTAAATATTATTATCTCACTAATTTTTATCAATCTTACTGATTTTTCTTACAATACTTCTCATTCTCGGATACCGATCTCTCACATTTGAAAACTACGGTTAAGATAGTTCAATCAAGCCGACTTGTTGCGCTCACGACCGTCTCCGATACCGATCTCGCAACCATTTCCGTCCTATGCCGCCCGTTTCGCCAAAGTTTCTCGCCTCTTACTCGGGAATTATGCGTCCCACACGTGTACACAGAAACATCATCGCTTACATCGCTTTTCTTAATGTTGAATCATTTATAAGCTAGTAACGCAGTAAATCGGTAGACTCTTACAAATATATTCTCGCGTATCACCCCATTCGCACCCTAGCGCTTTTAAAATAACACATATTATTCTCAGCGTCTCGCGCGCTTGATATCTATGAACATTAGATAATTAAATTTTTACGTGTGTTTGCCCCAACCCTCTCTTTCCCAGACCCTTCGATCTTTTCGTGTTCATACGTCTCGCAAGACGTTTCACCGTGTCGCCGACGATGGTTGACTAGAGCCGAGAGACGACGATCTCCGGGCGTGATAGCGATTTAACGATCGAACGTTGGGGTCGCATCGTCGCCAGAATCGTTCGGCCTGTCGCGAATTTTAAATTTGCGCGAAACTGATACGAAGACAAATAAAGCAGCAGCGTGAATTCTCGATTTCCCAAAGGATAATTTGCGCAAGATAAAGAATTTCTCTCTCTCTTCCAGGCATCGTTTGCCCTTGCACTCGAATCGGCTTCGCGCAATCACGGCGATACGATAAGTCGCGCGAATAACCGAAGATTTGACTGATATCGCGACCGATATGTCGATCACTTCTTCGTGAATGAGAGATCGGCCGAATTCTCGTATATAATTAACTTCCTTCAAATAGTCATAGTAGCTCTATACTTATTAAACTGGTATAGTTAATGACAATCTGAAGCTGCTGGTCCAACGGTGGGAAAAAAGACTGAAAAAAAACCGATGCGTCCGATCGAATCCTCGTATCGCGCGACAACAACCGAAAATATCAAATCTCATGTTTTATCGCTTTTTTCTCTTTCTCTTTCTCTCTCTCTCTCATTCTCTCTCTCTCTCTCTCTCTCTCGCTTGACAGAAAGCGCAGCTTAACGGCTCCGCTCGATATTCTATAACGTTAGCTAGACTAAAAGTTAAGTCATGCGCATTGGCACGCGCTATTTGGTACGTTTCATTTTGAGACCTCTTACATAGTTCCTCTTTTTGGTTTCCGTATAAATACTTTATCCCTAAAGTCGTGATTAGCTCATCAATCCTTCTGCTGGTGACGCCTCGATGCCATCGATTATTCGCGGATAACGGGTGTTGATAAAGCGTCAACTGCCGACACTCACGCTCGTTCGATACTTAAAGATTAAATATGATTCAAGACTACTATTATGCAATGTATGAATAGCATCACTGTCACACTTTCGACACTTGCTTCTAAAGTATCGATACTTTGCGGCGTTGGTATCAATTATGATGTGATCAATGGTACGAAATACTCGATACTTCTGAAGAAAGTCTATACCCGAAATCTAAAAGAGATGTCTAGAGAGGTTTAGATATTCAAAAAATGCATCATTCAGTATCTTCGGAGATTACGTTCTTTTTTAAGCATCGAACGAATACAAAATATCAAGATTTATGCCCGATATTTTCGAACGTCTCGCTTTAAAAACAACCCTTGGTCCATCCTCGATATACCGTGTACAAGTCACACGTTCCCATTTACCCTTTCATCGGGCAATCTGTCGTCGTCTCTCCTCTTCCAAGGACATGATTATCCTCGCCCGGGTTTCAAACAAAGTGACGACATCAGACGACAAAACGGAATCGCAATTTCAAGACGATGCGACGGATACGATCACGCGAAGGGAAATGGACTGACCAACTTCATCGGAAGGACGAAACGCGTCGGCGAGGAAAGTCACGATGATTATCCAGACAGGGACTTTAGAGATGAAGAAAAACGCGTCGACTCGCTGACAAGACTAGACATAGACATAGAAGCACAGTCTTACAGGATTCGAGTTGGGATCGCGAATTGGACACAGTTGTAGATTCTACGTTTTCTTCTCTCGGGTTTGAAAGTCGTGTTCTACTCATACCATTCCGCTTCTGTCTTCTATCACGTCTCGTGTTATCCTCAGATTCTTCTAAATGGATCTAATACGCGCGTGTATTCTTCTACTCGCGCCTATCTCCGTTGCCTTTTCACCCTCTTTCATTCCGACGCGAAAGCTAATCGTCAGGAGACGCGTGGCATTCGAACGATGCGACGTGACGATGCGTCACCGGCCGTTTCTCTTGCCCGTATCTTCCCCTCTCAACGCAATAACTCTCGTGTAATAAAATATAGCTTATGCGAGATAGCCGAGTACAGTACGATTGTGCGCAACGAGATTCACGCCCGTCCCGGAACACGTTACACACGTGCTGGTTACGCGCACCTAAATATGAGGTCCCATATGTGCATCCTCTCGTACAACACTTCCCCCTGTCCTCTCATCCATCCGTCACTCTCTTCCCCCCCCCCCCCCCGTATATTGAACTTAATCAGCGGTATTGTCGATACACCCCATAGAAAAAACGAAAAGGAAGAAAACGAAGCGTTTAGAAAAATACACTCTCAGGATTCCCCGCTATAGCATTTGTTTCGCATTTGTTGCGCAGGATGTCCCAAAAATTGTACACGCTCATGCATACACGTGTGTCGTTTCTGCTTGTGACAGTGAAATCTTGAATCACTATCAGTAATGTCGATAACAACGTCAAATATCTCGTAAGAAGTCTCGCTATTCCGCAAAAAGTTTCTTTGATATCTGCAATATATTCCGTGCGCGCGCAAATAAGATTCTGCAAATTATTTCATAGAGATTTGACACAATTTTTTTCACTTTCTTCTAATATTTCTATTCGGGATATATTTTTCAAAGCGAACGGATGATTCAACGTTGCGAAGATTTCTCAGGTTGATATCTCGTATATATTCTGTATATTCGTGTACATGTATGATGATAAAAGTATATTGACACATGACTCACAGTGATGATCATTAATAAAGGAATCAACTTTTCCGCTGCGAAATAATTATGCGTGTAATATGTGCGTATAGATCGATATCTGTGCCTATAATCAGTTTCTGTGCGCAGGAATATCCCGTGTGCGTGATCGTTATATTAACTGTACAGCAATTATGCGGTATGGAAATGACGTAAAGTAAAAAAAAAAGTAAATCTAACGTTATATTGATATAGAAATAATTAATCGAGCTTGGAAACTTCGCAGTATCGATACATTACACTCTTACGTTACAAAATGCGCCGCTTTTCAGTTGCCTTCTCTATTTATCAAAATGCAAATCTGGAAAGGACTCTCGGGAAATACGTCCAATCGCGAATGTGCGGATGTGCCGTTGAATGAAAAGAGACGTAAGAGAATATCTAAACATGTGTATATAAACAGAACTTTGAGTGCGCTTAATAATCTGTGTGCGAAAGTTGTGAGTAAAGATTTCGACTCGTGTGCGTGGCGCGCACGCATGACTTTTCTCTCTTTTTTTCTTTGCGTCATGGAATGCTCGAGCGTGTCTCGAGAAACGAGAACGAAGCCGAAGATCGCGGTACAAAAATGCTCGAGCAATCTCGATGTTCACAAGAGGACAAGATGATGCTATCGCGATCGATTAATTCGCGACTAGAGATCTCTATTTTCGTATCAGGATCCTCGCATTTTCATTGCCGTTAATGGTCAAACAATGCGCGCGTTCTGCGACACATTTTTCACCATGGAGAGAAAACGGGTTGTAAAAATGCGAGCGAATAATTAAAATTCCCTTCATTTTTCTCCGCGTGAATTAAGAACGTAGACGTTGCCAACGAATCCGCCCTCGATCGCTTCGATCTCGTTTCCTGGGAAAACGACATCTATTCCGCCCAAGAGAATCGGAGCCAACAATGGCTCATTCTTAAAACATGCGTTCCCTCCATAATCGATCGTTCTTCCACATTGCCGAGGAGCGTGCCGTTTCTCGACATCACGAACCATTGAATGATGTCGACTTCTCGGATTCGTTAATATAAGACAAGACAAACTAAACGCGTTCCGCTACGTTCTGTTTAGCGTTGGTAACGAAAGGAATCGTCCCTCTCTTTCTCTCTCTTTCTCGAGCCGGAATGGAATCGAAACAAGCTTCGAACCTGCTGAAATATGTCGTCCGGCCAGTCGTGTCGTGGTAACGTTTTCCTCCTCCGTTTGCGCTTAACGTAGAATACAGAATTAGCCTAATAGAGACCGCAGCCGCGCAGATTATTAGCGATAATGACGTCTGTGACTGCGTCGAACACAAATTGAATGTTGTTCGTGTCGGTGGCACAGGTCGTATGGCAGTAGATCTCCTTCGTGGTCGATTTATTCTTCGCTTCGAACTGCGCCTGGATGTATGCAGCCGCTTCGCCGTACTCTTGCGCACCTACAAGCATCCAATAAACTCGTTAGTAAGTAAGACAAATGAGAATAATAATAGCGCGTATAAGACGCACTTACCAGCGTATTCGGGAAAACAGATTGTAAGAGGAGACTTGCGGATTTTCTCTTCGAAAAGATCCTTCTTGTTCAGGAAGAGAATAATCGAGGTGTCGGTAAACCATTTGTTGTTGCAGATCGAGTCAAACAACTTTAAGCTCTCTTGCATTCGGTTCTGTAAAATGTCAGAAGGATATCATGTGATTTTGTCCGTTTACACGTGAATAGATATTTATACGGCCTGATATTTCCACGCGAAATGTGGATAAACTTTTATAAAACTTCTCCCCTCTTTTTTGCAAAATATAATAATCGATTAAGCGCGAAAGGATTAATCACGACCCATTTACGTAACCACATTATTATAAATAGTGCACGTATAATTCAAGCCGACGATTTATAAGATCCACTTTAAGTACGATATTGTAGTTGAAGCGATCCTTTTATTAATGACGAATGTGATTCATTCGCTCCGTATGGTCCATATAGATTCGTGATGGACTGGCGATACAGGTCATGATAGGCATCAACATTGGTGAGATGATAACGCGCACGTGTCACTATGCACGCAAACGGAGAGTTCAATGGAACCTTCCCACGTGCAGCGACCCCGGCAATTGATCTCTTGATTCTTCGGAGCTTCAGTTTACGCGTCACGTTCCTAATTTTGGGCTCGATATTCTTCTGACGAATCGTACGTTCAACCCGGTATCAACCGTGCCTAAGATTATCCCGCTCAATATAATCGCATGAATGCGCACATTTGCAATTGAACGAATGGAGAAAGAAACCGGTTGATTTCTATCGTTTCTTGTGGATTAAAAATATAATTCTCATTTAAGTATTGAAATAACTTATATTTAAAAATGTGATGTCGACTACAACGCGAAAATCGTCATAATTTCTGCGTGTTTTGATATTACGAATTTTTTATAAAAACGAATTTATTATATTTTTATTATTATATTTTAATTCGGCGCGCATGATACAAGTTTTAATATTAATAACGTGTTTTAATGCAATATAAAATTATATATTGTCATGAATATATTATCATAAAATATTATTATTTTGCGATAATAATATATTTATGACAATATGTAATCGTTTCAAGATTATGAAAGGGCAAATAAGGTTCAGAATTTTGAGATGATGAAAGGATCAAATTAAGGATATATCGTACTTACCGTCGTTTCATCCTCATGCAAAACCTGATCGTATTCGGACATTGCCACACAAAAAATAATTGCAGTCACATCCTCGAAGCAATGAATCCATTTCTTACGCTCGCTCCTCTGACCACCAACGTCAAATAATCTAGCGAAAAAAGAAGATAAAAATAATCATAATTTCTCTCTCTTTTATTGTTACTTTATTTTAGAAAAAGATAATCTTGATAAGAAAAAATAAGAAATATTTATTAACGTCAATATTTGTATCTAAAGTCGTATCAAACTTTTATACTATATTTCCGAGTACACAGTCGCGTCATTTAATTAACTCTTAATCGACATTTAATTTCCCTGAGAGACCAGGCGGCTGATTTAATGGAGATCTAATGTCACCTCGACACGCTCGATTTTCAACAGCTAATGATGTTAAGAGTCCCACAAATCGAGAAAGAAATAGAGTCAACGCTCGACAAGCGAGCCCTCGAATTTTCAGAGTAATGACTCACTTTACGCTGACCATTCATAACAAGATAGTCACCTCGTGTCTCCGAAATGCCGCACTCGCCCACAAGATTACAAACATGAGTCACATAATGAAGCAAGAGCGATTAATATCGTTCATTTATTGCGCCATCGGACGCAAGACGATTCTACATAAAATCACGAATCTGTATATCTGAACTTATTTCTAATTTAATTTATTAATTTCTTTATATATTTAATTTACATAAATTAAATTTTTTATTTAATTTTCATAAATTAAATTTTTTTATTTAATTTTTTGTATAAATTAAATGTAACTTACTTGAAGTTGAGGTTTTTGAAAGAAAAGTGGACTTCCACGATTCCTGTCGTTTTCACTCGGGTTCTGAGAATATCCTGTTCTGTTGGTTGATATTCCCTGGCTCCTAATCGATCCAAGTCGTCCAGGAAGCTATAAAAAACAACGGATTCGTGAAAATGTAGCTATATCGTATTGCAGGATGTAACTGTTATACATTAGAGACATCTTTATTTTGATATCCAGAGTATCTTGACAATTAATTTTAATGATAAAAATTAATATTGGTAAATTTATTATGTATATTTTATTTTGAATATCTCTAACTTTTAATGATAATGAATTCCGATTTGTTCATTTGTGTGCGATTCTTTCTTTATAACACAATTATCATTATCTTAACAATTATCTTTAAATTTATCTTTAGATTTATCTTTATAACAACAATAAATTCTCGATCAAATAACAATTAATTGGCAATAAATCTACTCGTATAATAAATCCAGGTTCGATTCCGAATGATTAGTTTGACAGAGATGGAAGCTAGGGCGCGGTTTGCAACAAGTAGCGGGCAGATATAATAAATGGCGTTACTCGGGTCTTGGTAAACTACCGTGCGAACTGGCTGACTGCAAGCAACGTTTCCAACAGTGCGAACGTGTTAAAAGTTTCTCGCCAATTTTGTCTGTAAAATCGACGCATTACTTACAACTTAACGCTTATCAAAACGACAATTAAATCTGATTAAATATTTTTTTTAAATATATTATCTTATTATATAAGATATCTGCAAAGATAACAATAGAAAAAAATATAATAGAAAAATATAATAGAATATAATAGAAAAAAAATTTATGAAATATTTGTGAGTCATTGGTTTTGTTTTAGCTATATATCGTAAATAGAATATATATTATATTCTAACAAATATATTTCTCGATATTGAATTTGGAATGTTGGGGATGTGAATATAAAATATTAAATTGATAAATGTATGGAATACCTAATATCGATGATGAATGCTTGGACATTGAGTGCTAAGAATAATTATTTTTCAAAGCGAGAAATATCAGGTGACAATGATTCAACAATCGTTGAATTTCCGTATTACGTCCAAAATTATATAATTTCATGATAATTTCCAAGAAGTAGAAGAGAGAGAAGTTAAAACCATGAGGAGAAACCACGCAAGCGCCATCTTTCTAGGCCATTGCTCACGGCGTTTAAGGGTTGCAAGGTAAGAAATGTCATTCCTTTTGGCTACGTAATGAAAAAAAGAATCAGATGAAAAGAGAAGCAATCGGAAGCTGATGATAAAGAGGACATAAATGCATTTCTGACAAGGAGAAAAGATGCAAAGAGTAATAGCAGGAAAATATGAGAGAATAAGAAATGTTTCAATGGAATAAAAGAGTCCAGAACATGAAGAAGCGAAAGAGAGAAAGAGAGAGAGAAAGAGTGCGCAGGAAATGGAAGGATAGATTAAACCAGGGAGAGAGGAAGAACATCGAGCCGCCATCGAGGATCTGATCTGACGATTTAGGACACGTCAAACTCGAGGCGAACGAGAGAGTCCAGATAACATTTTTTTAGAGAAGGAAAAAGTTGAGATTTCTCCGATTGGAGAAAAAACGAAAATGAAGAGAGCGAGAGAGGAACGAATAAAATGGGGAGAAAATAGGAAAGATGTTGTATTCCGGAACCCGGTCGGCCATCTTGGCCGTGTGCCACGTGACACGGGCGTGGCGTGACGTCATCGGCGATCAATAATGACGAGAGCGAGGGAGAGGGAGTGAACCTCGAAGAAAGAGATAAGAGAAAGAGAAAGAGAGAGAAAGAGAGAGAGAGAGAGACTGACTATGCGCGTACTTCTCATACATTTCAACTATCAGAGCCCGCCACCATCGTATCATCCCCTCTCCCCCCATCCGGTTTTTCCCCCTTTCGAACGACCCGATCTTCCGCCAAACCTGTCGCATCTCCCCGACGCCCACCCCTCGCGACTTCTTCCTCGGGAAATTCGCGTTACCCTCTTCCGGTCTCCTCGCGAAATGAAGTCTTATTAGCTTTCGAAAGTGCGCGTTCCATGGAAGTTCTTGGGGATTGTTCATGCACGAGAATTGTCCCTCTTTACGGAATGTTCATTTTTCACTTGAAAAGGTTCACAGCGTATTAATGATGTATTCTTTGACCGACTCGCGGTTGATTTTTTCTAATCAAAATATCCGAGTATTTTAAAAGTTACAAGATTCGATTGGCAAGGCCTCCCTTTCCGCAAATTTAAAAATTTGTCAAAATTTCAAGAGTGTAATTTTATATGAATGTAATATACTTTGTATATTTTTCAACGCGAAATGTTTGCAATGATAAAGAAGAATTCTTTAACCGTGACTTCTTCTAAAATTAATTATAACGTATTATATAAGACTTTCGATATATGTCGTAAGGTGTATCATAAATTGCTGTTTTGCCGTATCATAAATAGCTATTTTACCGTGGAATTCATAACAGTATCTGTTTATTTGAACAAAATTTCGTGTATTAATATCAACGAGGCCATTTCTGTCTTATACATACAGATATTCCGTGGGTGGTATAGTTATAGGCGTGTGTTGCTCTGTTCTATAAACATATTTCTGATTGATGCAAATGCATGTGACGTAAACAATATTTGAAAATTGGACTCGCTATTTTTTTTTTCTTCACGACTTCGATTGTAATATCGTCGCTTTCATCGAAAAGGCAACGGTTTATACACAATTTTACCACGAGTACGGGTCTCCACCCTCGATGAATGATATATTAAGTGATGGCGGGGAGGATGTGTGTGCATGTGTATGCATGTGTGTGTATGTGTGTGTACTTGCATGGGTAATAAGTACGCGATAACGGTATCGTGCAACCCCGGTGCGAAACCGCAGTGCGGTTCATTAAAACGAAAGGACGGCGCCAGAAACGGAATAAGCCTGCGTAGCGAGCTGAAGAGAAAAAAAAAAAAAGACCGCCGCTTTAATACACCGGTTATATATTGCATGCAGTAGGCAAACATGTATGCCGCCAGTAAAATCTACCGCTAATATCAGCACCGCAATAGTAACCATATGACGTGACATATATGTATATCGAGAAAATTGCGCGCGATTAAATCTCTCGTGATCAATCTGTTTGTACAGCGCTTCGATTTCTTTCAATGTCCAGCAAGGAAATTTTCAACGGGGTAAAAAGACGTTTGTGATTCTAGGGATTTATCTCATTTTGCGATTATTATTATCGTGAAAAATAAAAAACAATTACGAGTTTCGTGTAATTAAATTTAAAATGCAGAATTTAATGCCTGTATTTTTTTTTTTAATTTTGCGTTAATCGATCTCTAACACTATAGAAAAATTGATAGGAAAGAATATAGATAGGGAATATATGTGATTGTGTTTCACGAGAATAATTGTATTTGCTCCGATATCAGGAAAAAAACTTTCTTTTTTTTTTCTTAAATCGTTATTTGCGATAAACTCGCTGAGTACCGTCATTTGACTTTATCTAAATAGATAGATTCGCAGTCATCATTATAAGCGTTCAAGGTATTTCGTAAAAAAAAAAGTATGTTTAGTATGGAGATAACTGATGAAAGTATTGGAAAACGGTACTATACTCCGAGATACAAGCGCTACTACTAAAATCAATATCCAGCGAAGGGGCAGCGCGGAAATATGCCTGCGAAACGCACTGAGAGAGAGAGAGAGAGAGAGAGAGAGAGAGAGAGAGAGAGAGAGAGGGAGGGAGGGAGAGAGGGAGAGGAAAAGGGAGAGAGAGAGAGAGAGAAAGAGAGAAGAGACGACAGGTCTCGTGTTCAGGATGTTTCCTCCTTCCATCTCCATCCTTTTGAACATGCGAATTCTCAAGAGTGAAATTCAAGTCCTGTGAATACCTTCTTCGTGACAAAACCAGGGGCAAACTATTGCCGATGCAAAATTTATCCATTCAAAATTAACTTGTTACGCGAAATTTTCGCAGTATAAATTTTATTATTTTGCCTCAAAATTTTCGATTTAAGTAAAACAAATTTATGTAAGCTTATCTTAACTTGTAAATTTATAAAGGTATCTTAACTTGTAAATTTTATTGCCAATTTTAACAAAAGTTGTGAAGAAAAAACGGCTTTTCGTGCCGTTTTCGCGATGTCGGAAATTCTTGAGATTTACATATCCTTCGATAGAGTAAAACGCGTTTTCACTTACTATTTCGCGGAGTCGTTCAACTGATACTCGTTGCTCCTGCCAAAGCACTCCTGTACTCCATTGTCGGACCACAACCTCTTCATAGCCGCCAATAATTCTTCACTAAAAGGTTCCGTGTCTTCCATTCTTTGTATTACGTCGAACACCATTTTTGCGTCCGTCTGTAACATCACAAAATTTTGAATTTTTATATATCTGAAATATTCCTCTAATATTGAATAGCAAAATTTGCTTTGTCTCAAACTTTATCAAAGTGTCAATAATTCTACGCTTTGCGAATAATAATACATCACAATATGAGAAAGATATCGTAAAATGACATAAAATACATTAAACGGTTTAGCATCCTTCTATGTTTGAATATTTTCAATTTATAATTACTTGACTTAAAATACATTAAACGTTTTAGATTCTTCTTTGTTTGAATATTTTCAATTTAATTACTTGACAAGAATAATAATTCCAGTCGAAGTATTTCCCTACGAAATAATTGGAGTTAAATCTCTAGCATAAATTCAATATTAGATGTTTTGCAAGATCAACGTTCCTGGTATACAATTACATTTCGTAATTATAATAAATAATACACATTTTATGGTGATTTTCACATATTATCATACATCACTATTATATAATTACATCACTATAATTTATAATACGTTATACAATGGCATATTTGCATGTATGTATAAAGAGTTCTGTGTATTAAGGAGAAATAGTCAATAATTATTCGGGCGATCTTGGAAGCAAGCATTGGGGCAAGTCAAATCGCTTTACACGATCGCTTTAGACGATTAATCGACCAGGCAACACATCGTGATTCGCCGTTAAATGCTCCATTCATTAGATAACTGTCGGCGTTCAGTGAACCATATTCTGGATGTCATGTCATACTTCTCGCGCATTAAAATAACCACATGCAATATTTAAATAACACGAGATATGCGCGACTGATATGCTTGTAACATATTTGCATAATTTTACAATTGACATTTCATTGAAATTGAATAATATATCAAATACACTGGTATATACACAAACAACATAAGATTCTCGCATTAAAATAAAATATAAACTGCATCAACATATTAAATGATTGATAATTTTTCTGACGGATATTTTTTTCAAATTAAAAAATTTATATTTTGATAATAAAAATAAATTTCAAAAAATTATATACTGTTTATTAAAATATATAAATGTTATATTATCATACAATTTTGTCCAACTATAAAACAAGCAAAAGTGTTTGATTTATATTTAATTGTTAAAATTCGGTAAAACATGACTCAAAAATTATTGACAAATATTATTATGAAATAATTCTGAATACATGATACCATGTGCATTATAATTTAAAATTTATACACAGCTTGTTCTCGATAACAAATCGCTATTTTTAAAACATAACGCATAAATATACATTACCTCTCGCTCGTTGGTTGAAAAACTGATGCCCAGGTTAGGCATTGCTCTGAGAATAGCGACTAGAGATTGTATCGTGTTACTGTATACGACGGGTTTGTACTGCTTGAAGTCTTCCGGCGTGAAGCCGCTCTCGTGGATAATTCTGAAAGCAGAATCGGACTCGCTTTAGCATGTAAAACGGACGAAATATTATTATTGTAATTTTTGTTACAATATTATTATAATTTTATTATAATTTTTTTTCTGAATATATTAAAACAGAGAGAGTAAGAAGGTTCAAAACAGCATATTCTAAAAATATAAAATGCCACGCACTTGAAAGTAAAAATAATTTTCTGAAGGAACAAAATATGTGGCGTCGAGCATCATTAATATTTGTATTAATAGATAATAAGTGAATAAACCCATACTCCATTTAAATCTCTCTTACTCTTTGTCGCGAATAATTTGCGCAGTTTGCTATAATATATATGCGTGTCACGTACGCAACTGCTCGAATTAATGTATGTCACGTAGTGCATCGTATATGTAAATGTATGAATTGCAATGTACACTACGTACGTATATTAATGTGACTTACATGAATGCCCATACATATCGTAACAATGTTCAGAGTCAACATACGTGAGTTATAGAGTCAGCGGCATAATACATATATAAATGAAATCGCGCAATATTAGATATAAATTTTCATGTCTCTCAGTTAAATATATTTTTACTTCAATATAATTTTTAGAAAATAAAACATCTTTTTTCATTCTCTTATATGCAATATATGTTGTACTTAAACTCGATAAAATTCAAGACTTTCAAAAATGTAACAAAACATTAATTAATTATTGAGCATTTGTCTCTTTTAACAATTTTCCACACTATAGTTTTTTTCTTCATTATATTTATATTTTAAAATAAAGACACTTAAAAACTTTAATACTTTCAATAACGTAGCGCATTTCATTTCTTATCTTTAAATGTACGAAAGATATAAAAATACACTTTGAATGATTGAAATCGTTAATATTATTTATATATATATATATTTGTAACATTTTTTCTAATATGATACTCCTCGCTCCGTCAAAGCGACCACGCATAAAATGACAGTTAATGGCGCATTAATCCCAACAAAGAATATTATACTGCCTATTACGTTAATAAATGACACAGAAACATGCAGTAGTGTCCCTCTTCCCTTACTATTTCGAGAGTAACGATATTAACGACGGCATAAAGAGCATATTACGTACGCACGCACATATCATCGGATTTATGGCTACTTGCACGCGAAGGAAAACTAGGTATAAGGGTGTATGTAAACTCATGAGCTTCGCTCGCCTCAGGTATCCACTGTTTACTACATTTACGTGTATCGATAAATTATGCAGTTAGGATGTACAAGAGATGCAGTTGTACACAAGGACCCTTATTTTGAAAATACTATGAAACTACAGAACCCTGATTAAAAGAGTCTACTATATATTTTAATATTTAAATAAAATTATATTATATATTTTATTTAATATTAAATAAATAGCTTACATTTTATTTCATATTTAAATAAAAGATGCAATATTATATTAACGATATTCAATTTTTTTCTATTTTTTCTATAATACAATTAATATATATTATAAAAATATAAGAAGATTGCGAAATTTTCGTCCGCAGGCATTTCTGGCAACTCCAAACACCGTGAAATATAATGAAAATATCCAAGATAAAAACAATACATGCGCGGAATTAAAATATCGGTGCTATCGAAATGAAACGAGCATCCGTATTCGCGATCGCAGTTTCCTTTTCGTCGACGGAACATGCACAGCGGTAACTTTGTTCGTGGGGTCCCTTGAACGGAGCCCATTCATAGCGCAGGACACAGGAAAAGAGAGAGAGAGAGAGAGAGAGAGAGAGAGAGAAGAGAGAAAAAAAAAAAAAAGAAGAGAGAGAGAAGAGAGAGAGAGAGAGAGAGAGAGAGAGAGAGAGAGAGAGAGAGAAAAGAGAGAGAGAGAGAGAGACTCATTCCATCGGAGGGAAATATGTTAATCTAGACAAGAGAGTGCACGCGGTGGTGCTAACATCTCAAACGAGCGCGCATATCACGGAACAGCTGCTGTTCTCGAACATGTGCAAAAGGCCGTGACGGTATCGTTATACTGCCTAGAGTATCGATCTCGCCGAGGCGAGGCAACAGTTTGCCTCGAAATAATGCCGATGCACGGACACGAAAAGATTAATCTGTTTGCACGTGCGAGAGATGGACGCGCGCTATTCTACTTATCTTTGCGTCGCGACGACAATAATTCACGAGGAAATTGTGTGCATAACGTACGGCATAAAAAGTCCTTTGAAATATATATTCCAGGATTTATTTCTAATCAAAAGATTATATCCTGATAACGCTTTTGCGAAATATAATAGATGTAACGAATAAAGGAGGATCGAGTTTGCATATGATGAAATCAATTTTTTATGTAATTCTTACGCTTCCTATTAAAAGTTTTGGCAAATATATATTGATGGACACAGTTATACACAGACATATAAATATATATAGGCAATGTGCATTTTAAATGGAATTTTGATTAGATTTTGAAAACAACTTGAATCGTTACAATTTTTCATAGATTGATAAATGTAAGAGGAATTAAGAGAAACAAGAGGAAATAAATAAACGAGGAAAATCTATAAAGATGTCTATAAAATAATATAATTTAAATGATTTGATTTTCAAGTCAAATAGGTATGCGTTATAATTGAAACTATTTAACTTTTAGAAAGCAAACCGAATATATCTGGTTAAATATCTATTTCATTTCCGTATTATCAATACGTGTTATTTAAATTATCTTCTATTCTTGGGTGAATTTCTCGTTAAAATGTTAAATTCGGTTATTGCATTTCATACAAATAAAACTAAAAACTGAAATTAAATTGCTGATAATAATAAAATAATATAAATTATATTTATATTTAATTAATATAACTAATTTTTAATTATTATATTTAATTTATATAATTATAATAATAATATATAAAATTTTTTTATTAAGAGACGTAAACATATATGTTTTAATTCTACACAAGACAATAGTCAGTAAGTTAAGCAATGAAAAATCTAAGTCACAGAATGGTTAGGATTGTTGAGGATTAAGATAATCGCTGAATCCTTAAAATATGAAAATCTGGCAGTCTAGTCGAGGATCAGGAAAGAAGCGTGGGAAAGTATTTCTCGTAATTAGTCTGTGTGCAACTGACTGATGAGCGTTCACAAATTGGCATTTCCGCGACGTCGCGAAACATCAAAGGATGCTAGCCTTGTTTGACACTGCATTGTGCTATTGTATCCACGGTCCATTCTTGTCACATTCTTCCCATCGTCTCATTTTCCAGACGGAAGAGCCGTTAAATTTTCGGTTGAGAAGTCGAATGACGTAAAGTTCTCCTAATTACGAGCTGAATATGTGAGAATCATCCTCAATAGAATCATCCTCACCATTACGTAAGGAACTCTAATTTCAAATAATTTTTGATGCCGCATTTTTTCATAAAATTTAAACTTTATTTTCTAATATAATCGTAATAAATTTTAATTTAAAGATTCAAGAGTAACTTAAAAATTGTTGCATAATTAACTTTTAGGATTAATTATTTTAATTGGTAATTAGGAGCAATTGATACACGTTGCGGAACAAACAACAGAATGTAATCTCGTTTCAATAATAGAATTCCTCCCTTCGAAATGATAATTAATGTGCATGTAGTGTAAAGCGCTAAAGTGATTATACTCACTTCATTTGTTTCACGATAGTACTCTTGCCGGACTCGCCCGCTCCTGAAAAACAGAAAGAGAAACGTTAATTGAAGGCGGTCAATCTCGCGATTACGTATCATCGAATTACGTTGCAAAATACACTTTGCGCAACGAACAAAGGAAAGATAAGCGTCCTTGTGTTCTGTTTAATTTCAGATTGATTCTGCCTCAACAACTTGCGATTATAGAACTTTACAAAGATATTTTCTATCGAAAAGTGGCGATAAATAAATTCTATCCATCAAATTATCGTCAAAGAGAAATTCCTCAGATATATTAAATTCAGTAATAATTTTGATATAATATATTTTCATATAATAGGGGATTATTTTATAAACTAATAGTAGTATAAATCATGTAGATATAATTTTATTATAAAATTAGAATTAATATTTATATGATTTATACTTTATTATAAAATTATAATTAATCTACATAATTTATACTACTATTAGTTTATAGAATATTAATAATTATCAGAAAAAAGACGATTTTCGATACATCGCGAAAATCGAATCGAGGGTTAAAACAGCACGAATCGCGAATCATCGCGAAATTTATGCCGCTCTATTTAACCGAATACATCAACGGAACCCATTTTTCTTGCTAATCACAAGCCTCCGCCCTTACATTTTTAAAAGCACTTCCAGTGTAAGTAAGCATCTATAATAGCTACTCACGACTAGAATCGTTTAGTATCGACTGAATACACGTGAGATCTCGAGTGAGCACTCTACAGACGGCGACCGGGAAGAAAGGAGTCATCATCTCGAGACAACGATGATGATCCTCTCGTCGCACCTTTCTCGAGGGGGTAAAAGCATCGAATAAAACTATAAACGAGTTAAAAAAATTGTATAGAGTTTATCGGGATGGATTCATCGATCGGAGTTCCAAAACTGTTTACTCTCGATAGACCGATTGTATCTCAAAGTCTAGTAAGTCCTGTTAAACTCTAACTCTCCCGATAACTCTAGTTATATTCTATCGAACTTACTCTGTACATGCTATAGCGTATACTTCCGGATGAAATGTGTACTCATAATCAGAACCAAATTATATTTACTAGTGTCATAAAATTTAAAATCTATTTTACACTATACTGTTCTGTCAAATTTTGAAACTATTGATATGTAGCTTATGTACACACATGAGCATAATTTAAAACAAATAAGAAAACTTAAAACAGACAATCTTATCTATTTTAAATTAAGGAAAATGAATAATATATAAAATGTGAGAAATTTTGTCAATTTCTATTGAATATTATTAAGTGTAATATTTTTTAAATTATAACTTTTTCATTCAATGAACCTCTCTTTTAAATGCAAGGTTGAAAAATAATTGGAGTTATTTATAGCGACATTATCATTAAAATTATGTTTTTTCGTTTATTATAACGCGATAACGGCAATAGAAATTGTTTGTAAAGAATAGAGTAATTTTATGTAGAATTAATATATATTTTAGATGCCAAACAAATTTTTTAAAAATCACTTTTCAAATCTACAAATCTACGAATCTATTTTCGATATTTTTAAAAGCGACATTAATGATAATAATGATATTTATATAAAATATATAATAATTTTAGAGTAATTTTTTATACATAATATTTTTATAATAATTTTAAATCTTATCTATTTCAAATATATATATTTTTTTCCGAATAATTAAAAAGAAAGTTGGAAAAAGGTATTCAGATACTTTGTTCTCATTTTATATAGTCCCAAAAATGAATAAGATTCAAAAAATTATTATAATATTCTTATACATTTTATATCAATATCGATATGCTTTTGTTAATATTAAAAAATTATAAGGCTATCGAATTATTTTTTTAGATTTTTAGATATTTTTATCAGTAACTTATATAAAATAATAATAAGTTACTTTTCGAAAAAAAAGAAAGAAACGCTAATGTGTTACTTTTATAAAATAATTTTCCCTCCTTTGTCTAAACGTTATTTTTATGCGTCAGCTAATTATTACTAATATTGAGTCATTTAAACTATAAATTTACTACATAGGAAGTCATCTGATTCTCTGACATGAAACAAAGATATCTCATAATTAAGCCCTATGTTTTAAATAACAGCTCAGTCTTAGAGAAAAGAAATATTTAAAAAGATACTTCAAAAATAAACAAGATACTTAAAAATTAAAATAGCATAAATTGGAATAGATTCTACATATTAATTAATAGATTCTACATATTATAATTCTATATATTATAATACTTGAAAGATAAAATAATGATTGTAATACAATTGAAAAATATTGAATGTAATGTTTATTACGCTGAAAGATATCTCGTCCTTGTTACGTTTTACGAAATGTAGTGAATCATATTTTACTATACTCCCTTCTTTCAAGCATTTCGATCGACTTGTGCAAATATACCGCACCCTTTGCCATTTATTTCATTTTACATTGATATACGCATTCACAATATGTAATCAATGCTATTCTTAAATACACAAGGTATATTTGACTATGCTTATAGAAGCTTATATAAAACTTCTGAAAGAATAGATCGTTTAATAGATGAAATACGATTAATACGTTATTTAATAAAACAAAAATAAAAGAATATATATATATGTATGTGTATGTGTTTTATTATTTTTGTATTTTTAATATCTTTCTTGTTATTTTATATATATAAATTCCTTATACATAAATATTTATATATAATATTTATATATACATACACATATAAATATCTGCTTAAATTCTGTCATAATTAATCATAAAATTTTATAATCTTTGTAGCAATATCTTGTCATTTACACAAGTTAACTCGCTTACACTCGATATAAATAAAACTATTAAAATAAGGAATAAGAAAAATAAGGAAGCAAGAATTATTTTTTTTCTACTTGATTTAAGATCGAAGTAAAAAAAGATTGGTTTCTCGTTCGTTTTAATGTTTTATATTCCGACACGCTACAAAGTCGCGACAAAGACGTCTCAGTTGCTGACATTTAATACCATAAAGCACCCTTGCATCGCCTTGAAATTGCGCAACATGCATTTATATTTCGCAGCCAAGGCACCATTAATCGGATGAAAATACTCGCAGCCAATTTGCGCACGTACATGCATACATACGCACGTTCCACCGGCGAATGACGTCACTTGTTATACCAATAAACAGGACCCACATTTCGCTGGAAAACGTATCTTTCACGGTTCCAAACTTTAATCCGGACTTGCAATTTTTAGAATCTATTGTATTCTCCAAACAGGCGAATATAATGTGTCGTTAAAAACCTTAAGCTTCTGGTAAACCATGTTTCTTTTTGTAATAATTAAGTAATAAAATCTTATTTTTTATTCAATCTCAAAACGATTTTACTTTTCTCACATATTAATTTAAATCATAATTTGACATAATAATTGATATTGGATAATGCGATATTAATTAAAGTAAAATTGGATATTATAAATATAAGTTACATATTATGTAATATACATGTTATAATTCGCGATGCAAATCGATCTTCAGGAAAATCGGATGAAAATTAAAATCAATAACTATTTTTGGGATACCAGAGAATGTCTCAGGACGAAACCGGGAATGATGAAAGGCGAGAAAGTAAATTGAAAATATGCGAAGCAATTAGTATGCAGACGGATAAGCGGAGACAATATGCCGCGATGCATTTTATACCGCCCCCGCACTGATTTTGCTTTTAATTATAGCACGAGGTCGACGAAGAATTTCTCATTAAGACTTCGATGAAATCAGGAGCACAATTAGCGCACAACAATATCAATAAAATATAATGCAAATTTAATGACGAGAGCAATTATCACATCTGCGAAAGAAATTTGCTGACACAACATTCGTCTCATTAATATCGGATATTATTGACAAAAAGCGCGATAAAACACGAAATCGACACGTGAAGATTCATTTTAAATATACGACAATCAAGGGAACAAATATCAACATAACTAATTAATCTCATTATAAAAGAATTTATAAAATAATCTAATCGATTCCGAAAATCTTGCCGACTTGAAATATCGACGAAACAAATTTTTGAAAAATTCTTACGCTTTTGCCATTATTCGCGATAATTTTTGACGAGATAAAAAATTGTTATAAATAATTCCAATACCATCCAAGCACGTACATTCAGATTACGTCTGAAATATTTTCTTGAAATATTACCATTAAGAGAATCAATTGGATGTTCTATTTTTATACACATACGTATATATCCTGTATGATACAGCTGTGATGCGGAAAACGACTCGATCGACGATAAAAAAAACGCGTTGAAATCGCAATCTTAAATTATTCTCTTAAATTCTCCGTCTTCAGCATGAAAAAAATCTGACGATAGACTTTTCCTGTCGACTAAAAATTTCATAACTCTCAACCCTTTCCCCCTCCTCCCTCCCCCTGTAACCCGAGGGAAACATGTGGCAGCAGTATGTGTCTCGGTAAATATCAGGTTCCCTGACATTCTTCATCAAGTCGCCGATAGATATCACGAAAGTTAGAGACCTGTGGAAAAGGAAGATCTAAATGTCTGATATTATTCTCCCATCTCTGTCTATCAGCGATTGTAAAGTTCATTATCGATCAAAATATTTTTGGTCAGATATCATATTTCGATGATAAATCTGTAAGTTCCCTCTAATCCGACAGCCAAATTCCCGATTGCAAATAATGAGACGCGCTGTCATCTCGAAACGCTAACGTCATCGTTACAAAGCAATGACGTCAAATGAGCCGATGTCGACGCAATTATGCGGATCGAAATGCTGCGGCATGGATTGAAAGAACTGTCATCCGACTGACGTCGGATGAGCGATCGGGCATTACCCTTCCGCAATAAGGAGGAACATGCTTGTTGCGCCATTCTTCCGGTTTTGCGCGTTCAATTTCCTGCGCGCCCGTCAATTTAAAAAGCTGTCTCTCAATTCGCGAGAACGAAAGCGTGGAATCTTCTTTAACCTCTCGTTCCGGACAAGCTGCTGTGAGACTTGACATTTACTACTTCATCGCGTGCGCTTAATAAAGAGTCCGTATATATGTGCACATCTCTAATTTAATTAGATATAATTATACGCAATATGTGTCGAATCGAATTTTGAAAAATTAATATCTTCCATCACAGTTTTTTCAGAGAAACATCATCGATCTTCGCTCCGGTATTGTATTGAGGATAATTGAAAACGAATTGCAAATTTTCGATCAATTTTTTGCAACAATCGACTTTTGATATAATTGGCCTGCAATCTAGAAAATCAGGTAAATCAATAAAGACTAAAAGCGCACGTGGTGCGCAACTCCTTCGAACAATCATAAATCCGCCATGGCTTATGAAATATCTAACGCGCGAGAAAAAAGGTATAGATACGACGTCGCGACATTATCGATATAATCACGGCCGGTCGTCAAGTTGTATCAAACTATTTCCGGAAGATAATTTCCAGGCCAATATTTACACGCCTTGACATAAAACTTATTTTTCCCACGTTTCAAAGACGCTCTTAAAACTATATAATTTTTTTTCCAACCAAGAACATTGCATTATTTTGTTGCGTTTTGCCACTTTTTTGTTTTTATTCAATGTAGAAAAGAAATGATTCTATATAAAATTGAAATAAATTAATAACTTATAAAAAAATTTCGAACTTAATAATAGTTAATTTTAAGCATGGTAATTAAGTGAGAGAATGTGTAATATTTTAATATATAATTTTATATATATGTTTTATATATATATTTTATATATTTTGTAATATTTTTTGCTACAAGAAAATTATTATAATTTATTATTTTCCAAGTCAGACATTATATTTCTTTTATTCATTATATTTTTTATATCGACATTTCACAATTGAGGTGTTATAACTCTTTTGCTCATTTTAGCTATTATTATAGATGCTGTGTACCAATTCAGCACTTTTATATTAAATATATAATGAATAATATAAATTTAATATTAAATTCAATAACATACAACAGTAATGTATAAAAATTTAATAAACAAAAAAACACTTGATAAAATATTAAAAAATTCGGAATCATTCAATTGCATCCTAATTCAATTGAGAAATATGAATAGAAATAGTTGTAATAGATAAGAGAAATCAGGCTCAGACAATAACAATAAAACAATCTGACTTATGTAATTCCGTTCTCTAACGTTACATTGAATCATTTCTTTTCTATATCGAGCGAGAATGTCAAATATTGTCCTGTCCTAAAACTTGAACGAGCACACCTTGCGCGTATACTTTCTCGGTACATATATATATTTCGGAAATCAGAGTAAACGGAATAATATATATATTTCAGGAATCAGAGACATACGTACCAAGCAGCAGGAGCTTGATATCCTTGGCCGCTTGGATGCCATCCTCCTTGAGATTCTTCTCGATCTGCTTGCTGCGAGCCAGAGCGGCCCGCTCTTCCGCGGACATGGCACAGCCCATCTTGCTACACGTTGCCTTCACAAATGCCACCCTCACGCACTTGCTGTATCACCTGCTGCTGCCAAACAGCGCGGCCGGATAGCGGCCGGGTCGCCCCGAGGAAGATGAGACGATCTCCTGGCGCAACTACTCCCCCTCCTCCTCCTACTTGCCTCCTCGTTAATCTCGTCCTCTTCGTCGCACTTCGCACCCGCGGCCGTCGTCACCACAGCAGCCGACACAACAAACACCGTAAACACTTTGGCCACCGCCAACACCACTAACACTACTATCTTCACCGGCACTGCTTCCTTCACCGGCACCGTCTCCTCCGCCACCGCCTCCTCCTCCTCCTCCGCCACCACGACCGCCGTCCTCCTCCTCGTCCTCGTCTTCGTCGTCTTCTTCGTCTTCGTCGTCACCGATGGCAACCTTACCGAGGCGGCAACCGGCACCGAGTAGTCCCCTAACTACCTGGGCGACCGCAGCCACCCGTATGCAACCCTAACCACCGCCACACTTGCGTCGATTTAACCGCGCGACTCAGCTGCGCCTGAAAACAGAAAGGAATCATCTAGTTAAATCGCGTAAACCACATATATCATTTTCTGCACGAGAAACAAAACACTATTTATAATACAAATATAATAATATAATATAATAATATAATAATTTATAATATATATATATATATATATATATATATATACACACATATATATATAATATATAATATATTTATAATATAATTTTTTAAATAAAATAAAATTTAATAAAATAAAATAAAATAAAATTTAATAAAATAAAGTAAAATCAAATTTAATTAAATAAAATAAAATTTAAAATAAAATTTATAATATATAAAAGAAAACACTATTATAATATTATAATTTAGTAAATTTCTATATTAGGCGCTCTTCATTCCGATTTGGCTCAAAGTTTGCATGAAGCTTTCTTCTGACAATTAAGAGTTACGATATTTTAAACTCGAAGAAACTATCGATTTCATCCTACTCTGCATTTAGACATTATGTTAGAAAAATCGATGAACTGGTAATTATTTAGTATTACATCTAAAAAGTAAACGCATAAATGGCACGCCTTGTTCCTAAAAAATACTGAGCTAATCCAATCTAATCTAATCTATATTTATTCTGATTTTGTAAATATTTTGATAATGCATATTATTACAAATGTGATATATAGATACATACAAAGGTATATAAAAATTTAGGTTGGATTTTCGATTAAATATTTTGGAATGAAGGTGCAGAAGATGCCGTCTACTTGTTTATTTAAAATTTTCATCATTATATGTCATAAAGAAAATGAATGCAAAAATCAATAGCCTTTTCATGATCTATTCTAGACACATTTTTAAAGTTATTTAACATGAAAACTAGTTGAAAAAATAAATTTTTTCGTAAGGAGTGATTTTACATTTTTTAAATAAAATACTGATATAAATTCGATAACATATTGTCCCCCAGGCTTTAAAATATATCATGGCTCTTCATTAAAGGCAGAAAGAAAGCTCCGTGCAAATTTTCAGTCAAATCAAGACTCTAATGTAGAAATTTTCAATAAAATAAAAAAAGACTTTAATATAAAAATTTATTCGAAATTTTGATCCAAGTGTTAGATCATATTTTCCAAATATTTTCTTTCATTGCTCAAAATTAAACCAAAAAATGACAGTTAATTGCATATTGCATTGTTACACACGATTCACATTTTGACATCTTTGATGCTGTATTACATCTTATGAGGAATCGGTTCATCGTTGTCGCGTTGGAATAATCGATTACGTACAACCGAGTAATCTCTGGATTAGATTGCCGATATCGGCGTTGTTTAACCAATCTTCGCCTCATTGAACGCGTACATCGAGTACAAAGAAGAGGACGATACTCAAGTTTTCGCTCTTCCAACAATGAGTATACAACCCAGATTTGGCAGATTGCCCATGTTTGATATTCCTCTCTCGACCAATTGTTTACTGATAACGTCGTTTGTTGTGTCTCGTTATTAATTCTAACCGGATAATAATTTTATTAGATCGGAACATCTCTCATATAATTTCGTTTAGTGCGATTTAAAACTTCCCCTCATGATATTAAGTAAAAATGACAGATGTCAAAAATATGTCAAAGTATTCTTGACGAATTGAATAAATTTAAAAAAATTAGAAATACAAAGAGAAAGATTCCACGTGCAAACTTTTATCTCGTAATTGACTAGTAGAACACTTGTCGTTTGATTAGACGTGATAGTGAAGTAGCTTTACGGTTTAGTCAGCCTAGTTTAATGCAGTTCATAGAGAGAAGTGTCGCCGAGTGGAAAGGCGACATTATGATAAAACAGAAGTCAAATTGCGGGTCTTGATGAGCTATTTAAGAAAACTCAATCCAAGTTTCTCTCTCGTTTCCCAGTTACCGAGAACAAACCTAACTTAAACGGAGTTTTATGAAAAGATAGCAATGCTAAATTAGATTCTCAATTTAAATGCAATTAAAATCTGCAGGCAATTACGCGATAGTTTAGTAAAAACAAATTAAATTTCAAAGCATCGAAACAATATTATAAAAACTTGGATATCTCACATGCCGATCTTAATACTAATAAGCTAAAATCATAAATTTTACATGATAAATAATTTTTTAATATAACTAATATAACTTCTTATTAATTTCGACGAAATAATTCGATAAAACGAAATATCAAAAATATCCTTTACTGCATAATTACGACTATAATTTATTACTAATGTAATAAATATGCAAGGAAAATAGATATTAAAATACCTCAGTTTTATCGATATCAGAATCAAGAATGAATTAATTTAATGCAATATATCTTTATTTATCTGATATCAAGGCTTGAAAGTATCAGTTTGAAGTCTCCAATTTTCACAACAACCTTATACGTTGACTTTCCGAGTTCGGAAGCGTATCATCGTAAATCGAAACTCATCGAAATGGTTTCGGTAAGTGAATTTTTACCTAGCGGAAATCTCAGCACGACGGGAATGTCCGTGGCTTATTCGTTTGTCGGATTGCATGCATATACATCTTCGCGAGCACGGCATTACATGGAAACACACGAGCGTACGATCAATAAAATGCAACGACCTGATATAATGGAAGCGATACGCGTCGCGCTTCATAAAATACCATCTCGTCGGCATAGTAAGACTAAAATGCATCCGACAGACGTAAAACGCGTGAGCGAAAAGAAAAATAAGCGCGGAAGTCGATCGTAATCGATCTTCGATTTATCGGGTTCTCTCCGGTTTCACCTCCGACCTCTCTCCCACGTTCTACTACTCGCGTAATTAACGTGTGACAGAAAAAAACCTCTTACGATATGCGGGACTCCTAACATTGACCCGCAGCAAGCTAATAAAAATTAATAATATCTATATATTTTTTATTTTCTCCAGATTCGAGACTATCATTGTTTAGTCTTTAATCTAAAATAACGAAACACAGTCGCTATCAAAGGATACAATAACGGTTTCTCCTTTTAACGATGATGATTTTATTATCAGCGTGGCTTTCAATCAGACACTAGTGCATAAGATGACAGAAGAGAAAGGATTCAAATATGTATTGCATAAGTCGCGTTTAATTCCAAACACAATGGGAACTTTCTACGTGTCTTCACATATCTGAATAATTAACAGCCCTCGCATCAACGCATCCATTTTGAGAAATCTACAAAATTGAATCTTTTAATAATTAATCAACATTACAGTAAAATATGTTACATGTTATTTGTGATATAAAAGTGAAATGTTGATTATTCAATGTCATAAGTAATCAATGCACATTTGAAATTTTTTTTCTCTGCACTTAATCATTAGAAAGTGAGAAAGCACACTTCTATGCAACTTATATATATATATATATATATATATATATATATATATTTTTTTTTTTTTTTTTTCTGTACCTTTCTCTCTCCCTCTTTGAATGGTTAATATAACAGTGATATGAAATCTCTTTCTCTCTATTTATATATGATCACGCGATCTGTATATATACATATGTATCCCGGCCAGATATCCGGAATTTAAAACCATTAAAAAAATAAAACCAGACGCTTTGCGTCTCACGTTGTTAAGGAAGATTAAAATACATTTTATGAGAATTGTTGCGTTATCGAGGAATTATATTTTCTTTTTATATGCCCGGAGACTAAAATATCCCGTGATTTTTTGACGAAAACACATTAACTTATATATATATATATATATATATATATACATATATATATATATAAACACACACACAAAATATATATATTACAATTTTATTGTATATCATGAGCGACGTATCGTGTCGCTCGCTAATATATTCTGCGCATCACGAAGAGCTTAAATGAATCATAAAGCGAAATTGTTAAAATGTTTACCCTTACATTTTATACTCCGGTTTTCACCGATATCTTTCGTAGACATGACCGCAAAAGATACGATAACTACGTTACACACGAATCAACAACAAGTAGTATAATATTCACAAGGGATTTTTTCTTTAGATTTAAAAAAGAATGTAATTATCTCGAAAAATTACTTAATTGCTTTCTTAATTAATTCTGAAGATACTACAATAGTGAGTCCTTCAAGATTGAAACTTAAAATCGATCACTTCCTCTCTCTCTCTCTCTCTGTCTCTTTTTCTCTTTCCTTCTTTCTAGAATATCCTTTAAGATACAAAAGTTGAATTACTTAATTCAAATTTTTATTAAATCACATTAAATAGTGCGTTTTTAAAAATGGGAATAAATTCTATCTTTTTTATTTTCTTATAAATTTTACCTTTTTTATCTTTTATTTTATCTTTTTTTTATCTTTCTTATATAAAAGTTTCAAAACAGAGAGACCACTTAAATATGGATGCTAAAATAATTGGAAGGAAAAGCAAAAGTTTAAATAATTATATATATCTACTATTATATTTATCACAATTCAATAAATAATGAAAACGCGAGAATAAATAAATTAACTACTAAACGTGCGATATAGACAAATAGAAATAAAGCCATATAAATAATTCTCGATTAATTCGTCGACTGCTCCTCTGTATTTTCCTTATCGAACTCTTACCGTAAAAACGAGAACATATCGCAGTTTCTGAAGAGCACCCTTACGTTTTTACTACCCCGGGAACAGGATCGTAGCAGTCAACGGGTAAATCGAGCGTCGGCGTAGAGCAGTCGCGCGTATTCCGAAAGAACCCCCGCCCTCTCTGTCTCTCTCCGTCTCTCTCCTCCCTCCCAGTCTATTCTCTCCGTCTCTCTCTCTCTCTCTCTCTCTCTCTCTCTCTCTCTCTCTCTCTCTCTCTCTCTCTCTCTCTCTCTCTCTCTCTCGCTCTCGCTCTTGGAAAAGTCCGCGGCCAGGGGTAGCTCTCGATGGTGTTACTGCGGACGCTCGCACACAAACGAAACTACGAACTCTCCCCGGCAATTTTCATCGATAGAGATCAAACGTGGACATTTACGTACCTTTCTCGCGTATCCTGGCTGACGTTGAGATCCTCTCCGTCACTCTTTCTCCCTCTCTCTCTCTTTCCTTTCCTATCCGATTATCCGAGTCTCCTGGTCTTCTCCGTCCCCGGCTCCTGTCGCGATAGTTGTTCACTCGGTTCAGTCTATTTGATCGATATTCCGGGAGAGCGGTTTCCGGCAGGAGAACGGTCCATCCGCTCGATTCAGCCGGGGGATCCGGGAGGAGGAGCAGTTAGGCGAGGCTCGATCCGCGCGCGAGAGGCTCTCGTTCCGGTTAGGCGATGACAACGGGCACGCACGACGCGAGAGAGAGAGAGAGAGAGAGAGAGAGAGAGAGAGGAGAGAGCGAGCGAACGAGGGAGCTTGCGTGCGTGCGTGCGTACGTCGTGCTTGCTCGCTTGCGTGCGCGCGAACGACAGATTACGGTCCGTTATCGCGTCTCTCGCTCTCCCTCCGACGATGGTTTCTCGTCGCTTCCGAAAACGAGGGGCGCCGCGCCGGAAGCCCGTCGAGACTACGTCACGAACACGACCACCGATCGCGAGGAACGTCGGGATGACAGCCGGCTTCGCGGCGATGATGCCGCGCGAAGTTAGCCGCGTAAAAAAAATTCACGGAGAACGAGACGAAGGACCCAGGCGCCTCGTGCTCCCCGAGCCCGAGAGTAAACGGCTCGTCGCTTCGAATCTCGAGGGGAGGGAGATACGCGGACCCGGCGTAGTTTCGTGCTCCGCGAAAGAACCGCACTCTCCTAAGGACACCGAGCTGGACGCGTACTGGCGACGACTGGGGGAATCGGCCGACGATCGCAGCGACCTCTCGCCCCGCCCGACGACGCCACCGCCGCCGCCGCGACCGCGCGTCGCGTCGCAACGCGATGTCGCCGCTGGCGCGCCGGCGGCGAGGGAGGAGGGGAACGTCGATCGATCCCGCGACTGGCCGGCCGACCGCGACGATTCACCCTCGCGATCCCTCGCGATCCCGACTCGCGAAAATGCCCGGATGACATCTGACGGCGTCGCCGAGTCTCCGGGGGAGATCATTAGGGTTGATCGCGAGCCAACCCCACGTAATTATATTTCTCGTACTATGCGGCGTTTTTATTTCGCTATATCGTTGCTCGATAACTTCGATTTCTATTGGAAAATCTAACTTCTCTTTGTTTATAAATGTTAATTAAATATGAATAAAATTATTGATGCGTCTTCGAGTCGAGTTTTATTATCGCAATTTAAATTTCCGACGATATGCGTATCTGTTTTTCTAGTGATTATAACTGTCGGCAAAATGTTTTACAAAATTACGCGCTTATAAATATGTGAAGAAATTGTCGGACTTACCTTGACATTATAACTTGGCGGCACCAAGACGATCGATCTTGACGAGATTTACATACACACGCTGCGACATTAGAAATCTATAATATTCTAAAATCATCTGAAACCGAATGACGTACGCAATGATTTATGCAGCTTGCACATGTAAGGGAATACAGCTTGCTTTATTACCGAGTAACGACTTTATAACGTAATCGCTGATAGCGTAAATAGTATTGAATATAATTGCGGATTAAAAATGCTGATTACACAATAAAATTGTACGACACATCTTCTTCAGATTCGTATTCCGCGCACAGACATCATACGATACTCCCGATCGGAATTCCTGGCTAGTAAATCGATTGCTTTATCTTAATTGCACATGGTTCGAAGCAGGGACCAAACGTCGTCAAACTGTCAAATCGAACAGCTGATAATCCGCCATCCCTCGTGTCTCGTTTAAGCGAGGAAAAAAAAAATATAAATATTGCCAATCAAGCGTTCGAAAGCTTCAATCTTCGATCGTTTCGAGATCACGAATCGATGATAACACCACGTGCTCTTGTCAGCTCGACTCGTCGTCGAGATTACATCGACTTCGATCCCTGTTTAGAAAACGCCGTGCCGTCAAATTGCTCGCGTATGTTGTTTACTTTGCACTTATTTACATGTACATCGTGTATGTCTCTTATACACTCGAGAATTTCTTGAAAATTCTGTCTGGATCGTTTGCCACAGTAATCGGAATCGAAAGCTCATAGCCGATACACCTTCGTGCTTCGAAGCTCGCCGCGATTGCCGAGGATTCGCATGTTTTGAAAGCTTCGTGGAAAAAAAAAAAAAGAAAATATAACGGACGTTCAGTTGCTGATAAGAGAACGAAAAAGAAACAGATGCACGGTAGAGCATCATCGCTGTTTGCAGAACGTCGTACGTTGCTTTTATTACTTATAATATCTCGCAGTTTCCTCTCTTCTATTCTCTCACGTTATTACAAAGTATTGCTAAAAACATGTCAACAGTATGAACTTTCGATTTAGTTTCTTGCTTTCTTGCTTTTTATTCACAATACAGAGTGTTTCGCAGGGGAACGCAGATCCGCTCTCACCTGAATCACCCTGTACACGTTTCCTACGCGGAAAACTTATATAGCGACGACAGAGTGTTAATGTGATTCTACTAACATGTCACGATTTCGTTACACACACGACGCCACACAGCTCATTTAATATAACTACATCGTACACGTATAAAAATAACATTTCTATTGTTAAAATATGTTTCAACGTACTCAGAGCGTGTTAGAAACAACTAATTCGATGGCCGTCGCCACTGTGTATTTGCCCGTCTTCTTAAAATTGGATTCAAGAGAGAGATATTTGATCTCTCGTACATAAACTACAATTATATTTCGTCATATATAAAAAAAGCATATAGTATATAGATATATATATGTGTAGTTTTTTTTTTTTACTGGTGTGCATATCACACGCACGCGCGCACGTATGTAACACAAGAGTACTGCGAGACGTGAATATTGACTTTTCTTTCATACGAAAATGCGAAACTAAGAGTAACTAAGTACTATAATCGCTATAATCGAACTGTTACATGCGTTACAAATCCCATGCAGCACAGACCAGTGTTGTTACATTGCAGCAATATTGCTGCAATGTAGCAACAATGGTCTTTGCTGCATGGGAATACTTCGTGCCTATATAAATGAATCGAACGATAACACTTGTAACTGTCGTATCCGAATATGAGATGCATCTTTCTCTCAATTCCTTGAGAAATGTAAAGCTACTCTCTCTAAAATACACACCTAGCTTCATAAAATTACATGCGATCTTCGTGATAGTATAAAGACACAAATATATATTCGCATGTGTATAATATATTCCTGTGGGACACTCTCTCTCTCTCTCTCTCTCTCTCTCTTACGGAAAAAATAGCGTTACCCGTTTTTACGTCTTCAGAAAATAGATCTCCCGGATAAAGATTAATCACCGTAGTATAAAAATACGCGATTTGATTTGCCATGATATATATCTCCCCATCAATGTACGAGAACAAAAACACCCTCGAGATTGACTAGAATATCGTTGACGTTACCGGAAATCATGCGCGTGCGTGCGTGTGCGAGCGCGTTTAAAGTGCGAGTAGTCCCTCAAAGTTAAAGGTAAAAGCGAAAAAGTGTGTTTACTGCTTCTCTACTTAAACGGATCACCTTCTGTATACGCTAGTTACAGTTTTGTGCACGAATCGCTTGAGTGAGAGGATCACGAGGAGAAATCTCTCTTCCGAGTGAACATTTACTATCTTTCGACGATCGACGTGGTTGGTGCATACTCTACACACGCATGTGCATCATCGTGCTGTCATTACGAGAACGGAGGAAGGTAGTCGTTCCCCCTGCTTCTCTCATCGCGAACGTACGCGATGCGGGAATACAATGCGACGCGGTTTTCCTCGGCGCGCTAGGCTGATGAATCTTGGAGACGAGGAGAGAAACGAAAGCAGGTGTATACGATGCGTATGAAACATATGCGTAAATGCACGTATATACATGTTCGCGCGAATCGAACCAAGACGCAAATAAAGTTACGTTAGATAGGCACAAATATATATGTATATATTACAATGTATCTTTTATTACCTAAAATATATATGCATTTTGAAAGTATCATGTCGAAAGACTTAGAAGGCAGGCTAGGGGCAAAACGACATTCGGGAGCCAATCACCGGAAGGGCGCAAACGAAAATGTGCCCAGGGACAAGAACGACGATCTACCGAGCACATCTCATGATTCGGCTAAATTGTTGTCGTACCGCGCCGGCGAATGTGAACCGATGTACAAGAATGAGCGGGTTTTCATCAATTTTTGTTGCGCCGGTCGCGTCAACAAAACGGAAACTTTAACAAATCTCGAAGTAACAATGACGATTATTCCCGAAATCAAATTTCCGATCAGCTTAACAATAGGTGAATTTACACAAAACAATATCCTGGCGGGATAATCGCGATAACAACAACATGTGCGACGAAACGAAATAATTTATCAAACCATGTTTGCCAAATCCATGCTGTATTCGCACATATTCGTATTTTAGCTCTACCTATAGTACACAAAACAATAACACTAAAAATCATTTGATTCGGGTAATTCTATTTTAATTAATATGATTTTTTTTCGTGTATATATAGTAAATTATTGTATTTAAACGCACGCCTAGCTGCATACGATTTTCTTATTTGTGATTTTTCTTCTCTCTCTCTCTCTCTCTCTCTCTCATTTTTTTTACTCTTTAATAATATATAATATAATAATATACTATGTCGCATATAAAAAACAATTACTTAGTGTAGAGTACAAGATCGCTCCTTAGTTAAGTTTACAAGTTTTTTTGTTTTTCGCAACTATTTATATAAACGTAAGATGTCGTCCATCTCTAAAATGAACATGCTTCCGCCGCTCCCAGAATAATTAGAAAACTGAATTACAAAAAGAAATCGTCGCGCCGATTCGTCAAAATGAAGCAAGTAATATTTTATCGTTACGATGTACAAAAGTTAAGTTAAAAAATTGTGAAGCCAACGCGAATGCGTAAAATTAACACGGCTAAATTTTTCTCAAGCGAACGAGACACAATATACATATAATATATCGCGTTCTACTTGTTATTCCCCTTCATTATCCAAATTTGCTAATGCATCTAATGAGGTTGAATGTCGGATTGATTTTTCATTATTGAATATACTTTAATACAGACAACCCGCATTTAAATGCAAATAAATTTGAGATTACGCGTTACCCTCGTACGCCGCAAGGTACGCGAGTTAATTTCCACTTGATGGCGATAAGGACGATGTTTCTCACAGAAATGTCACACTTTACACACGGATTGACTTTAATTGTACAATCCGTTTTATCGGTAACATGTGTTATTCGTCGTATTGCACAATACTTGCGACTACTAAACTAACGACGCGCGATTTATCGCGATTTGGGATATTCACATGGCAACGCGAAATCCGACATTGTCGCGCGAACGTTGGGGTAACGCGCGATTAAACAACCGAGAGGTCGCGAACCAAGATAAACCGTTGTCGGATAAAAAACAAAAGAAAGTACAAAGGGGAGAAAAATAAAGGAGGATACAGAAAATCATATAAATAGTCACAACAATGTCAAAAACGCGATGTAGTCGGCGGCAATATAGCCGATCGCCGGGAACGGGGGATCAGCATCATCGTGAACTGCCGTTTCTCGCTCTTGGTCGGCGTAGTAATCCCAAAGTGACCGTTCATCCCCGATTTAAGCTACAAATTGATGAGGTGTCATTTTTGTTGGCAGGTCTGAGCGTTCATCTTGCATGTTCGTGTCTGTGGTGTGAGATCGAGCCAAGGCACCGACGAATCCGGCTGCTCTAGCTGAAGAGGCACGCGACATCGCGATGTTGCTGCGTTAACAGAACAATCTGCTCCACGTTGCGCCTCCGCATCCTACAAGATTTCCTCGCTAAGTACTTTTTGCAATCTTGGGACAGTTTGCATGCATATCATACATAGCGAGAAAGAGAGAGACAGAAAAAAAGACACCCGTCAAACGTAGTAATAATGATTGGATCAGCGCGCTTGAAACCGAAACAATTTTCAAAATGGTACGTTCCTGAGCACTTCCTACCTTAATCTTTCTTTGTATGGAGTTTCCATACCTAGATAAAAAGGAAAATCCGCGTTATTTACCTAGAAGAGAGTTCACACTCCTTAAACATTTTATTTCTAACAACCATCCTAAGAAATTATCTGCGATAGATTTTGCGATTTTTTTACAAATCAATTTAAAGCTCATTATGTCGAGAATAAAATTCGCGTTATTTTTTTTTATCTCCTTTAAAGATGATTGAATCTTAACTGTTCGTGTCTTACATGTTTCATTTTACGGAAACAAATTTCTAGGAAAAAATTTTCCGATAAATTAATCGTTTCACGAACGCGAATAGAAATGAATGTTACTTACCATACTCGCGCTGGTAGAAGAGACGAACGTGGTAGCAGACGTAGGCACCGTCAATATTGGATAATATTATCTACTACTGCAAATCCGCAAGCCCCTAAATTGGCAGTCGACATCGCGCGGACAAGGTCTCTCGTGTGGGATGCCGCGACTTCCAATGGTGGCCGGCGGGGTAAATTACTAGATTCTATTGATCATAACAATCCAAATTTCTATCTCATTTTAGCTCAATAATTGAATAAATATAAAAAAAAATTGAAAAAAAGAAACATGCTATTTCTTTTTCATATCATTGCGAAAATTTACTCTTACCGAGAAGAGCAGAATTCAGCCTTTGGCAGACTGTTTCCCTCTCTTGCGGGTTGAGTTGCCAGCCAACAGGGGAATTCCACGGATTGGAATATGCCAATAGGCTGAAAGCGTCCTGCAACATCTTTTTATTGCTGTCGTTCTTTCCATACTGTTGTCTTAGGTGCATCGATTGTGAATACAATTGTCTGCCAAATTCCAACATCTTCTCGATTGCCTGTTTGTTTCCGCCACACAATTGCTTCTTGTTACTTTTACTTGGCGTACTATCAGTAATGTTGCTGTTCTGCTGCTGATTTTGATTGGCACTATTGTCGATTTCTGTAAATAGGTATGTTTGTTTATAAGAATAGTACATTTTACATTTGTTCAAAATAGCTAATAGCATTTCTTACGTAAAAATAATTACATATTGATTTAATTAACTCGCTTCCTTTTACTTCCGTCTATTACATAAATTCTATAAGATACTGATATAAACATTTTATCTAGAAAAAAACAGTCTATCTCGTCTACGTAAATTATTCATATCACAACATTAACTACATTGAGATCTCACCCATATCTACATCTTCCCCATTTTGACACTTGTACCCATTCGATCCCAGATTACCATTCTGATACCCGTTACTGTTCTTGATACCATTCACAGCATTGACCCCGCTCTCCTCCATGTCTACGTCATCCTCTATCTGACCGTTGACGAACTGCGGGCCGCTGGTGCCGTTCATCGCGTTACTGATATTCATCTCTTCCACGGTACCGGTCGCAGATTTCACATACGCTTTGGTCGATTGTATCACACTGGTTTGGTTTGGATTGCCATTCGGACAGACCTCCGAGTCACTGCCGTTCACCATTTCCACGAATTGGCGGCACTTGAGCGCGAACAGCAGATTCGGATCCCGATCAAGCAAACCGGGATATAACCGATTAGTTACATCTATCGCCTCGCCGACGCGACCGGATAATACCAGCTTTATAATCCCTACAAATCATCATTGAAATATAATAAAGGTGACAATATAGATTTAATAACAAAATTGCCAGTCTTTATACTAAAAATTTTTTAAAAATAAAGGAGAAAATTATATAAGATTTTAATCAATTTTAATAAAGTCTTTTTATATCTTTCTGTTTTTTAGTTCTTCAAAAAAAGCGGCAACCTTTCGAATGAGCAATCATGAAGCGAGCCAACACTTACTTTGTCGATTTTTAATGGAGCTGTAGTCCTCCTCGAACACCTGACCCGTGCTGCTGGCGAATGCCTCGGCGCTGTCGAGGTACCCATGATGGACGAGATACGTACACACCATTCTGTCGAATTCGTACAGAGTACTTCATTACTCTCGAAAATATTGTAAACATTGGTCCATTGGCGATTTTTTCCCGCTAACTGCCTCGATTTATCCGCGCAAGCGTTTTTGAGAGGAACTCTCGCAAATCAAGGAGGATCTTAACGGGCAATAATGACAAACGAAGAAGGAGGAAAAATAATCACGAAGAAGAATAGTAGAAAATCACGCACCCGGTCCCCGCCTCGCTTTCTGGTTGGATATGTACCTGTGAAGGATTGCCTGCCACTGGCCCTGGCCATGGTCTGGCGTGGGATAGTTTATGATCTGTAATCTCGTCCGTACACGCAGTTCGTTGATCATGTCCCCGATGTCGAAGACAAACGGCAACTGTCCAAAGTTGGCATCCACTACCTCGCCTGGAGTCTGCAGACCGACCGTTGGAAAGAGATTGGTCTGCGAAAACGAATTGCATTTAAATAAAACATTAAATATTTTAGCTAAAGTTTAGGTCTATCGTATTCGATCGTATTGAATTTAATTATGTGATTTCTGAATAATAAATTTCAAAATTTTATCATTTAGATTAGAAAAAAAAACTGAAGCACTTGTTTGTCGTAAAAACTTAAAATCAATTATCAGTTTTTTTCATTTTATCATTTAGATTAGAAAAAAAACTGAAGCACTTGTTTGTCGTAAAAACTTAAAATCAATTATCAGTTTTTTTCTCGATATGAAAAGGTAATTATGATTAATTATTAAATTATTATGGATATTATTATTAATTATTATTGAATTATTAAATTATTATTGATTTATATCATACATTACTGGGATTAATAAGATTAGATAAGACAATATGCGAAAGAGGGATTGCATTTTCTCCTAATATTTCTTCATTAATATCGCTTCTCTTGGTCTCTTACGCATGTCTAGACTTTTTAGAATGTAATACAATCTGTTACAGTGTTATTAATTGACACAGAGAATGGCTTACGGGGAGGTCCGTAAAAGCGATGCCCAAATGATGACCATTTTTCGTGTAGAAGGCGGTGTTGTCGACAAGATTAACGCCGCAACCGATCACGTCACCGGTGGTGAAGGTCGGCCCGTAAGGTTGCCCGGTGCCACTTGAGCAGAAACTGTGACCGTCGTCACCGTGATAACCGTATGAGTGCTTGTCCCATCCTGGTAGTCTATTTACATTGACGTCGCGCGCCGAGAGGCCAATGCCCATGTAACCGTCCCGTCCCTTGCTCACGATCTTCACCTCGAAATAATACAAGCCGCAGGCAGCCGGTATTGCATGCGTTGTGCGAACGCTGGCAGCGTCTTTGTGAGTTTTGCCGTAACCTGGGGAAAAAACCGATGGCCCTTTATAGGAATCCGACAATTATAGGTCATACAGAGAGATTACAAGTTGCAAATAAAAACGTATGAACGTTAAAAGTGGTGAAACAGGAACGCAATTTAAACGGGACGTATCTGTCACTTGAGATTAAAACCGAGGTCACATCATCACATCAGGTGGTTTAGAGATGCAAGGACAAACACTATGCGTTCGAATGTATCTTTTCCACCTACACGTCCAATTGTTTTTCTGCTGGACTCTGGATGAACATGATTATCAGAACGTATACGGAAATACGGAAAAGATTTCAAGGATAGTTACGTTATTGAAGATACATTGCATAACTAATTTCTGTACCATATATTTCCTCTGCGTTAATCAATTCTCATCATCTGCGAGAAATAGATAGAAATACTTATTTATTTATTTTATAATTTAAATATGTATATTTCGTGTTTTACTAATTTCAAGATTATCTATTCCAGGAGAAATTCAGGTCAAGTCTCGGAAAGGAAAATTTCTCCAGTTCACTTATTATGTCACTCACTGCGAGGCAAGTTTGGTCGAGCAAGGGTAGCTAGTCTTCGTGTCGAGAAATGGATAGAAATATTTATTTATTTATTTAATAATTTAAATATATATATTTCGTGTTTTACTAATTTCAAGATTATCTATTTCAGGAGAAATTTCAGGTCAAGTCTTGGAAAGGAAAATTTCTCCAGTTCACTTATTATGTCACTCGCTGCGAGACAAGTTTGGTCGAGCAAGGGTAGCTAGTCTTCGTGTCGAGAAATGGATAGAAATATTTATTTATTTATTTAATAATTTAAATATATATATTTCGTGTTTTACTAATTTCAAGATTATCTATTTCAGGAGAAATTTCAGGTCAAGTCTTGGAAAGGAAAATTTCTCCAGTTCACTTATTATGTCACTCGCTGCGAGGCAAGTTTGGTCAAGCGAGGGTAGCCAGTCTTTGTGTCGAGAAAGAGATATGCGAGAACCTATGGGCTCCTTCTCGAGATACGCTATGCGCCTTGGACACGATGCGAAATATTGATTTCGAGTAAGTCGCATAGTGTCACGCGGAAGAACGCGCGATCTAGAGACGCCCAGATTATTATATACAAGTGAAATGCGACCAAGCACTTGCTTTCACGCCGTCGTAACTTGAAACGCGAGCGATGTATTTTTGGTGCATAACATCGCAACACACGGTGGCGATGAAGAACGCGCGCTTCAGGAAGCGACTTTCGCGCGCCCGAAATAAGAAATTTTAATGCAAAATCATTTCTTCGACTTGCCTTGTATAGGTAATAAAATATCACATAATTGCGCGAAAATTCCCATGTAAATACGTGCTCTTTCTATAGAATTTGACGCCAATTTATCATAACGTTGGGAGAAGAGAGGAGGATTCATTTATCCTGAACCTGATCTTTCTGTTTTCCTGAAATCTTTTATTCAATTTTAAATGTCTCGATTCGCGTGATCCGAATAAAATGATTGGGTGAGAGCAAGCTTGCTATGAAGAAAAAAATTAATAAACCTACTGCATGAAGTTAAAGCACAAATTGATCCGTGGAAATACACGATTTAGCAGAGATGTAAGTAGGTCATTAGGTCAGCGCGCGGGATATCGATGCAATGTTACAAGCTTTATCTGCCGATCTGTGATCTACGAGTTTGTATATTATGCGCATGCCCCGCCCTTGTACAATGTAATATACCGTATCTAATATACCGTATCTCCATATTCCATCGGGCATCATTTATGTAACTTTCGGGTATTTTCATGAGATTTATATTTTTGCGAAAACTCTGTGTGAAATCGCTGCACAAACTGCAGTGGAACTGTTGTAAGCAATTGTGCGTTTGATGTAATATTAGCCCACAGGGATATCCGGTTTATTCCAAAATAGTTAGAGAGGAAATCGGATATTTGAATATATCGACAGCCTTTCCGTAAACAACTCCGATAAAATGAAAAAATGTACTAGTTTCGTAGAATCTAAAATTGTGAAACATGCTGTCGTCTTTCGTCTGACGTATTTCTTCGATTCGCTAGGACTCTCAACCGACATGAATTTTTTAGATAAAAAGCATCATTTTATCGAATCAAAGTACGCGAACAGGCTTTTACACTTTACATATATCTTCGCGAAAGAAATTATTGTGATAAATTATCGTCAAATAATGACACGATATTAAACAGTAAATTATTTCAGATGTAATGAAAACCCTCAAGTAGTATTTAACTTTGAACAATTTTATTTACAGAAAATTTATTTATAGAAAGAGCCACGGGAAATTATCCTCGATTTAACTTTAATTACAAGGACTTTAATAATTATTGCGTTTCATAAAAGTGATAATCGGCAGCTCATAAATCTCAAAGATTCGCAAGATACGGGAAAGATCAAGATACTCATGTTTACGAAAATCGAATGTGATTAAGTGCAAGTGCAAGGAAAATACAAGAACAGTTAAGGGCTAACGGTATAGATGCATGGGTGGGCGACCGTTTTCTCAGACACTCCTAACTTAATCCAAGGAATATCACGTGCATCTGACAATGAGCCACGCTTCGTAAACGATACAGATGCATCGGCAAATCTGCTCAAGACGCGGCTGATTTCTTACACCGCGTTTCGACTCGAAATCGTTATCGTGGACTTGCGCGTGAACAGGAGAGGCTCGAGACTCGCAATCAACGATCGGACAATTTAATCGGAATCGCAAAGAGCAACCGCGACTCTCGAACACGTCACATTTTGCGATTATCGCGATATGTAAAATTCTCGCACCTTACAGAGTGCTTCAAGATTACTTGTTTAATTAATAATTTCAAATTTTTAGGTTTTTATTTATTTAAAAAAAATCAAGGTATCAATAACCTGCGAATTACCAAGTTTGAAAGATGAAATAACAAATATATAATGATAAATAAATTCGTAATAAAATAATAATTCATAATATTCGTAATAAAATAATAATTCATAATAAAGCTAGATAGATATCTAAAAATGTACGTATATAAATTATAAATGTAAATATGAATGTAAAGTATAAATAAAATATTTCAATCCTTCAACTAATTGTAAATAGAATTTAATAGGGGGGGGGGGAGGAGATCCTGAAGATTACAACTACTGAAATATTTACGGGCAAATTGGAACGATCTGAAACGAATGCTACATAGACTCCGTGGAAGAGACAACGATCGAAGTTAAATTAAAGAGGATTCACCAGCAACGGATATTATCGACGCGCAGCATAGCTAAAGTCGAGTGTACGCGTGTATTATGCCTCATCATGTCTGCCACGTATCACGATATCTTATTTCATGCTTTCCATTCATAAATAGTTGCAATTTTAACGGTCATCGCGATTAATAATATCATAATATAATTCATAATTCATAACATTCTAATGTATTTATCATACGCGGCAAAAAATGGAATATATTTGTATTCTAATGAACCGCACATATAAATGATGTTCTTAATATTTATCTCTGCTATATGGTTGTATAAGATACATGTACACACGTGTATATATGTGTGCGTGTAATTTAAAATTATACATACCATGTATATGTATGTATGCACAATAGACAAATCTTATTCTGTGGTCACTAACATTTAACATTTTATATTTTATTCAATGTTGAAAATTTAAATTTGAACAATGTTGTGTGAATATTTATATTAGATAATAAAAATCCGTGATCATTACATTTTATGCACTACATTACGTATCAGTATAAAATTGTCATATACGTATAATAATAGCGCCCTCAAAGATGCTTTTTTTTTTTAAATAAAAAAAAATATCATTGGCATCTCGTTCTTTCTCTCTCTCACAATAATAATTAATGAATAACAGACGCGACGATTTTTATTTGCATCTTTTACTCTGCTTTCTCTCGACACAACCTTCCTGTCTCGTCATGGATCGAGGAAAAATAATATTTTCGTTCGCTACGCAAGACACATCACGCTCGTCGAGCGTGAACGCTTATCCGAAGCAGATATATAATGCACATTTATGTTTTAAATACACGTTGTACGTTTCTCATTTCATGCATAAATGCAGTAAAGGAACACGGGAGATAAATGCTCGCGGTATTGTCAATACCGCAGTGTCGAGTCGTCATTGTCGTCATTATGCAACCCGGAACTTACGAAAGGTTCGGGATACACTCTGTACTCTGAGGGTAGAAAGAGAAAAAAAGAATGGACCGCAATTTTGCGGCTTTTATTCTTTACCGATACAAGGAAATCTTCATAACAAAGACAACGGAAAGAATATCATTAAGCGGAATTTTTGCGAGATTTAAGTGTTAAATAAACGTGCCTCCCATTTAAAGATATACGGAAATTTTTATATCAAATTTTAATGACAGACTCCTCGATGAATTTATAACAGATATTTTTGGCGGTAATTAAAATGGAAAAATAACGGCTTTTTCTTTTCCACCATCAAATACATCAATGAAATCTGTTCGATAACCTCCTCGTCATTCATCCTCCTTCAGTAGATTCCTTAATGAATTTATCCATACCTTAATTAATTTAATTATAATTGGAAAATGCTTTTTGTTTATTTATTCCTTTCGCTAAAATTTAAAATCCGACTTGTATGAATTCGTTATCCATTTTTCGTGAATTTGTCGAAAGGAATTTAACTTAAAAACGCGCTAACTTACCGAAGCTAATGAAAGTGGGACACCCTGTATATATCAGTAAACTGACATGCATGGGAATTTGAAACGCCAAAAATTTCTGCTTCAACAAAGAACCTCGAACACAAGAGTCGACTTGACGCGCGAGGTCGAGTCCACATATCAGTCCATGTTCGTACGACGTAGCTGTCATTGACATTGTGCGTGTCGTGTGTATATATGTATATATATGTACGTGTATGCGTCCTCTCTCTCTTTCCCTTCCTCCTCTCTCCCTCCCTCTCTCTCTCACCGTATATCTTTGTCTCATTCGATCTCCTTCTTTCTAGGTTTTTTCCCTACCAGACGCACCAGCGGGAATCGAAGAGCGTCCCGATTTCACCAGGCTGGATCTCGCCAGGATCAACCTCGGAAAACGGACGCGACATCGAGCATCGTCGTCGTCGTACGCGACTCGACGCCGTCGACGTCGACGTCGACGATGACGCCCCGCGTAGAGAGAGTAGCAGCCCGAACGTGCCGGGGGACTGGTTGGCCGATCAGCTGATTCCTTTGTTTAGGTCGCTGACACACACGCGAAAAAGTGCCCTGCCATTTTCAATCGATACTCCGTCCCTGCCCCGGGAGCAGCCCCGATCGCTGCCGCGGCCGCGGACACGAGGACCCGGGACCCGGGGATCCCGTTGACAGGCTCGCGGGCCGATCGCGCGGAATCCGCGCACGAAGGCGTAAACGCATCGCGGGGGGACACGCATCGCCTGCCGCGGAGAGATCGCGCGCGCGTACACGGGCTATCCACGTACCTTTGTAGTGAACGCGGAGATTATTTTGCGACAGGCCTATGTAGTTGTACTTGTCCCTCGTGCTCCAGGAGCGCGGCAGCGGCGTCTCCTCCTCGTTCACCATCGGGTAGAGCAGCTTCAGTCGATCCACGGGCTCGCTCTGCCCCGAATTCCTTCGCCCAGGTTCCATAACACTCCGTTCATCGCTGGTGGCGGCCATCATTGTCATCCGCTGCCCCACTCTCTCGCTCTGCTCGGCCTGCCTGTGTGCGATCCTGGACTGCGAATGCCGTCGCGCACGTCGCACGCGCAACTCGCACTCTCGTGACGACACGCGAGAGCCCGAACGAGGAATGAACCGAGACGCGCGTGCCACTCGCTCGCGCGATGCTCGCCCCTGCCTCCTCCCCGACCTCTCTTCCCATTGGTCCGCTTCGCACGAGCCTCCTGGTCGGCGGCCAATCGCGTCGAGAGCGCCATATTGTTGCGTCCCTCGTATCAAGCGCGTGATTGGTCGATTTTGTTTTAATTCATGTGTATTATACAAGTGCTTCGAAACGAGCCTTTATGATCAGGATTGTGAAAATATATTTTCTGTCCTACTTAACTGCGCTGTCACACTTTCTGCATTCGAGATAGTTATGTTATCAGGTATCGAAGGAGAAAAAAAGGAGATTAAGATCGAGAGTAAATGTATAAGAGAGATTCTATATTTTTTTCAAGAGAATAGATTTTTCACGATATAGTGAGTTCGAGCTTGGCAAACCCGAGATATCCGAACTTAGTTTTGATAAGAGGGCCACCCATAAATCTCCTAAAGAATTTAAATAGAAAATAATACATATTTCGGACAATGTCTATTTTAAATATGAATTTGAGTCACTGAATAGGCTTCACTATCACCTTTTTATCCATAATACGGTGTTATTATCATTTTTTTTCATCTACACGCAGCATAAAAGATATAAAAAGGTTTAATTTATGCTTCTTTATGGATCTAAAATTTCTAAATATACATATTGCATATATTACATAAAAACGAAAGAAAGAAGTATGTACATTTAAATCTCAAAGAGAGAGAGAGAGAAAGAGAGGAATCTATGATCGATTATCACGCATCTGAACATCGATTGGTCGAATTTTTAAACAGCTGTTTCCGTCAAGAAGCAGTGCAGTATATATATGTATATGATTCTTTCGGAATCATCTGGAACCATCCGAAATAAACTTTATTTTCCACGACTTTTGTACATCACGTTAAAAATTATTATTTTCTAGAAAAGTAGTCTCTTGTGCATAATTAATATGTTCGAAAGAAAATTGAAAGCCCTTGGTTATATGGAATGGGATAAAGTTAACGGAAACAGTAAGTGATTTTTGACATGCATAACCTGATATCTTGAATTTTGCTCAATATAACTTTTAAAGTGAAAAGGAGTTAAAAAAATGAAAAAAGAAGAAAAACATTCCGAATTTTACATACATGTTAATTTAAAAGCCAAATGTTTGCTTCACAAATTATATATGTTGCATCATTTATCTTATGATTTCTAATATCGTTTCATATTTCATTTTGCATCTTAATCGAGTGATTAAATATTGATATATTATAAAGAATATTATAAAGAATATTATAAAGAATATTGCGATTATTATAATTATTTTCAATCATTGCAAAAAAATATATACAAATTATATTTGTCTTTCTGTAAATAATTTATGATGTAATAGACAGTACCTAGTAAAAATGTAGCAATATGATAAAAATATATATCATTATTACTAATTATTCAAATATTTTAGATACTCAGCACTTTAGAAAAGTAATTTTATGGCTGGAAGATCAAAAGATACGTCATTATAAAATAGAGGATCGTAAACAATTAAGGAACATTACATCCCCAGAATGGCCCAACGTTTTTGAGAAATATTGTAATGACGTCAAGTGTCCAATAACAAAGAATGAAGCTGGCCAATTAGAATGGTTCATAGGGTACGCTATTTGGCTTGAATTTGGAGATGATTGTAAGTATTTGAAGATTTAATTAATTTTAAAGATTAATTAATCAGTCTTTAAGTATCAATAGTTAGATTGATAGAAAATGTGTACAATTTATAGGTAAAAAATATCAACAAATTGTAGGAAGTAAAGCAAAGGTTAAGAATGAAGTAAAAATACCTAATATCAAGTCCACAAATCCTTTAGATAACTTAGATTGTGAGTAAACCACAATTTACAATATCTTATGTAAGATCATTAATAAGAAAAAATTCTAACTTTTGTTTTTCTTTTTATTCTTAGTCGATAATGATGCTTTCACAACCGGAGTCAATTCAATAGCAAAATTACTAAAAGTACCAAAACATTCTGATCATCTTGTTACATTACAAGCATGTAGCAAACTCGTGTGTAATAAATTGAACGCGGATGCGATTAAGCAATCTAATAATGTCGTATCTGTCAAGGGTAAACCCCTAACAGCAATGACTATAGTACCCAGTTTCAATATGGGTGATATAATGCTAGATAATGCTGCCAAAGGCCTTTCTTTGCTATATATACAGGATCTCAGGAATCTCCAAACGAAGATTAACGAAACGATAGTCGCTGTACAAAATATAACGGCTAATCCGAAAACAGACACTAAATTAGGAAAAGTTGGCAAATGAACTATTCGTGTACATAATATTTTAGAACAGCATGTGTTTAATATAAAATTAAACAAAGAATATGGAATATATCAAATCTCGAAAATATTTACATTTGAAATCTCGAAAATAACATGAAATTATTAAACACGCTATAAAATGAAATATTTATCAAAATAGGATAAGATAAATGTTAATTTATTTTTACTTTGTTAGTTTGTGCCAAGTAATATATCGATTTTGTAAAAAAATACAACGTATATCATTCGTCACATTTCTCACATTTACAAAATCGATATTTTATACATGTAAGCATAGATGTAAACTTTTGCTATTATAACAAAATACTCAGCTCTTGTATAAAGAAAAGTTATCTTACTAACTTATTTATATACAAGCAAGTAGACTGAGAATATTGGAAAATAAATTATTGCATCACATTACAATACATAAGTAATAAATATTTGTAAGTTTAATTCTGTTAGTTTATTTAATAATAATTGGTGAAAAAAATTGTGTTAAATTTTATAATATAAAAATTATTTTATTCTCTACATTATTATAGTAATATTCAACTAATTTATATTTATTAGAAATATGTCTTTTGAAAGAATAAAATAAATTTTTACTTCATATATAACATATATGTCGAATGTAAATTATTTAAACTAATTAGCTGAAAATAAATTTAGTTTTTGTAATATTTCTATTATTTCCTTCAAACTGATTTATATTAATACATATGTATAGTATTTTAATTCGATAGTAACGAAAATCTTGAGAATATCAGAGCAAAAGAAAAAACTGCCTCCTATCATAGTAATGAAAATCTTGAGAATATCAGAGCAAAAGAAAAAAACTGCCTCCTATTAAACGTTTCACTGATAAGATCTATTGTATATGTATGAATATTTTTTAATAGAATATGTATCTTGATTTGAAAAAAAAATTGTTGGAAAAGTTCGCATTTTTATGATAAAATTCTATAGCAAATTGAATAAAATCTGATAAAAAATAGAAAGATTATAAATTGTAAACTAATATCAATGAGTTTTTATAAATGTCTTTACATATGTTTGTTCATTTTTGACATTACTTGCTTGCCAGCTTCTCCCTTTTATTATTCATTTCACTATGTTATAATATTAGAGAATCCATTAAATGTAAATTACTATAATATGTATAAGAAGATATGTGAATACATTGGAATGTATATAATAAATTATCTCCTTATTCGAATTTTTTAAAAGATTTATCAGAAATACTGAAAAACAGTTGATAAGTTAAAGAACTCTTACAAAAAGACATTAATATGTTATAAGTAAAGTAAAATTATGAATGGTAAGAAAGTAATTTATTTCCCTTTAAAATATAATAATAATGATTTTGGAGAAAAAGATAATAAATATTCCTTTTTTTTTTACTTTTCAGTATTTCTGATGTCATAGGCGAGTACAATATAACAATATAACAAACTTTGAAATAGTACAAAAGCATATTTCTATCTATATAAATATTTACATATTATCAAGAATTATATATTTTCGAGTTTTTTAATATTACAAAAAGCATATATTATTCATCGGTAAATTTAAATATGTAGTTGTAGCAAACATGCATCTGATATAAAGCTACATTAATTGTCAATGCATTTATATGTATCATAAGATATTTGTCGATATATTTGTTTATTGTAATTATTTAAAAATTTATATCTCATATGTATATAATTTGATATTTTTAAAAAGAAGGTGTTTATTGTATACACATCTAATGGAATTAAATAATCCAAAGAACTGAATTGTATATATATTGTAAAATTATGTATATTTATAAAAATATGATAATTATCACAGAATTTTTATGAATATCAATTTTCTTAATATCAATGTAATATTTTGAATACATACATCCATATTTATCCTTTTTTTTTGTAGCAGTGTATTGTGAAGAATTTATATAAGCTTGTGAAATTATGTATGTCAAAAATGTAACTTCTATGTTGAGTCTTTGCTTAAGTTATGATATATATATGAACACCCTTAAATATTATACAATGCACGCGATTTCTTTCTGCCATCACAGTTTTTGATATTGCAAGAAGAAATCAATGTGTATTTTTTTATATTTTGTTAAAATTGATAAGAAGCACCTTGTACAATGATAATAATGATAATTATAATAATAATTATTATTATGTAATTTTCACACACGATAATTAATAATTGACGATTTTATTTGAGGACAATATATTAAAACTATTAAATCTGAATATACATTTTTGTATCAATGAAAATCTATACAATAACTACTGTTTGGAAATAGTTTTTTAAATCAAGTTGATTACAAATATTAATCTGCATAAATTTAAAAATTATTTCTATGCTTATATTTATTATTAAAATGAACAGACTTCTTGTGAGCGCATATTCTAATGTAGATTATTCTTCATCTACTAAGGCACTCTAGATTGAAGCTTTATCGTGTAATATATCATCAGATTGATAGTTCGGCAGAGTATATTTTCTGGCTACAAGCCAAAGAATTTATAATTTTAATTAATTTAAATGTGATGACATTTATGATTTATGGAAAAATATATTAAATTATGAATAAATTTATATCCTCGCAACTTAAAATTTTACATAATATCTATAAAAGAAATATTTTAATTGTTGTGTGTATTATGTATATATGTATATATAGTTTAAATATTTCAAAATACAATATATTAGATATATACTCATCTTAGATAATATCTCATTTGAATTTTTTTATAAATTTTAACTTTACAAAATTTCGAATTTTACTATGAACTCTCACAAAATGCTGTAGTACAATGTGCTTAACTAGGTGAGCAATTTTATAAATATGTTGTAATTTCTATATATATATACTACATGATAACAGCTTATAGAGGTAACAAAGTCGTTACATCTATAATGATATATAATAGCTCAAAAATGAATGCAGCAAAGAATATAATCATTTAAATTTAGAACTTTTGTTGTTTGTGTACATTGAATAAAAGTAAATTATATGTATGTTTATATAAATTAACGATATTTCAGGAAACAAATATTTTTTCTATAATAATATAAAATAATTTATAAATAGTTAAGAAAGTCTACATCTATCTCTGTTTCCAGAAGGCACTGGTTGTAATACTCTTCTGCTTCTTTCTTCATCCTCTAGGGAAGCTTGGAGAGCTCTAGCTAGTGCTTCATCCTCGCTCAATGTTCCTTGAAGACTTCGAAACGAATGTGAATTGCTGTTGCTGCTATTTTGTGATATTGTCGTTTGAGATTTTTTGTTTAGTGCTTCCAACCTACGTAGTCTCAATGCTTCTTCTGCTCCGATGCAAGCGTGATCGGTGGGATGCCTGTGCTTTAAACAAAAATTTGCACCACATTCGCTGCACTTCACTGGTACCATTTCTTTGACCTTGCATCCTTTTGAAGAACATTTATTGGAAAATATTTTTCTTTGATTTTCTCTACAGTCATTATCTATGTGTAATCCTACAGCCAAATCAGGTGGATCACCACGTTTTATCGATATAGGAACATTGCACAATGGACATACAGGAACCTGCACATCCTTCTTGTACGCACTAGGACAGCCATGACTTGCATATGATATATGATCTGTGCAAAAAATTGCCGCACAGGCATCACACTTTAATGGTAAGAAATCCAAACGATTACATGTGCTCTCAGAACAATGTTCTCCCAAATTTGGAAACTCCATTTTAATCGTGTTATAATGTTATGAAAAGCTACTATTGACAATCTGGAGATTTCTGCAAAAATAATTTTAATAAAATCAAAATAATTATCGTTTTTATAATGAGTCATATGCATAATCTCTTTAAAAATGAAAATATTTTACTAACAATAAGCAATTTAAATGGTTGATCCTATTCACATCAATAACAATTTCTATTTTAAATCAACAAGCTTTTCCTAATCAACAAAATGGATTTGAACATTTTATTAGGCTACATTGTTTTAAAATATACACATTCTTTGATGCAATAAAATTAGTTTTGCCATCGATCAAAATTTCGAAAAGAGTATTATAAATGTAATTACAAAAAACGCGAAGAAATAACGCAATTAGCGTAATTAATATTGTAATAACGTACCTTGACTCAGCCAAAATGAAAAATTACGATGACAGGTGCCGTATAAGTTTCCTTTTCTTCTTCTTACATTCAATACAGATCTTTAAAAGCGTTCGTGAGAAAATGTCGTACAGATTTTACAACTCGACGTTGCTAGAAAACACGAGTAATAATTTCGTCAGACTTTTCGCGATATCAAAAGAATATAATCTCGCAATTCCACGCGATGATCTACGTGTCATACACTAATGAGGCAGACACGTGTATTCCCTTTATATACTCTTGCGCGGCGATAAAAACCGATGACCAACGATGATTGACGATTTTCGGACCTACACTCTTCGGAGGAAAGTATATCTCAAGAATATTATCAAAGTACAGATATAAGAGATATCGAACGTGGTGCTATATCACGAAACCACGACGGTTGCGCGTTTTGCGCGGAGGCGCGAATGAATTAATACTAGCCGCCAAATTTAAATCTGACGTTTGGCATGCCGCGCCAAACGTCAGATGAAAATCACATATAATCAAGTATATTAATATTACAAAAATAATAATATTATAGGTGCAAATGTTGTTGAATCACAATTACAATTAAATTAATGTGTATTTAATATATTATTTAATATATATTATAAACAATTATGAATTTAATGTATTATGCAATAACTTGGAAAAATAAAATGAAATATTATTTGACAGAGGCAAAATATATAATATTTACACACACATATATATATATATATATATATATATATATATTGATATATACACATATAGATATTTTTTTATACATCTAAGATATTTGTAATTTCAGGAATAACGCTTTCAGGTATCGCGCCTCGTAAACGACCGTCCGTTTGCCTTGAGGTGAAACATTGAGCATGTCTTGTATATCAAACGGCTGATCTATTACTGTCATTATGTCTTTACCGTAAACTGAAATTTCATTGAGTAAAAATGAGTATATAAATTATGCGAATACCATTTCGAATACAAAATGTATGTACAATATACCTTCGCAATGTTCTAAAAATTGGATGCATTCTTGCAATGTAGAATCTTTCAGGACCACTAGCTGTTTCGCCAGTTGCTCCAGGAGCGACAAGAAGCATCTCTTCGCGTAGAACCAGGTGTCGGTGCCGAGTTTTTTATTGTACGGCTCCAGACTCTTCATTACACGAGATATGCCGAATTCGTAATTTCCCTTAGAGCAGTATAGCGTTCCAATTACCAGATTTACGATGCACAAATGAAAGAGTTTCTTATCCTGATCCTCAAACGACACCGCCTCTTCCTCCTTCTCAATCTTCTTCATCAGTTCCTCGGCCTCCGCGTTTTGCGAAGTCATGATATAGCTGACGCATAAATTTGCGAGAACTATGGCGCTTACATCTAAAATCTGACAAAAGAGGCATGCAAATGAGAAATTGAAAATCGAGAAAGACTCGACGGAATTGTATTTACATATTTTCGTACATTGTCGAATCTTTTTTTGACAATCGGTTCGTAAAAACGTGTCGCATCCTTGAACTTATTCTCCTGCATGAAAAGTGTATGTGCTACATTTAATTTCCATATGTCATTCTCGTTACAGAACTCGACGCTCTTTTTAAAGATCTTCTCCACTTGAGTGTAATTCTCTAAATCCCAATAAATTTTCGCTTGTGCCATCAAGACGGGAACGTATCTGTCCAAGGCTTCCTCGTAGTCGTTGACGGCCTTCTTGACAGCATTATCGTCGTGATTCAATCTCGCTTCCTGAACCTGCTTAGTCGCTTTACGCAATGCTTCTGTATGTTTATTAGCGAGATCGTCGAATTTGCGATACGCTTCCTCTGGCGAAGTTTGTTGTGTTATTAGTGCATCCAGAAAATCGTACAAGTACTGAAAATAATTTCAAGAAAATTATCTCTTTCACAGATACTTTAAATAAAAAATTTTTCATATATATAACAAGTAGAGAAAATATAATCTTTCAACCGGATATAGATTTGAAAATTCTTTGATTCTTTATTTTTACAAAATATGATTTTTTTATAAATAATGAATATATATGTATGATTTTCTACAAATATTTACACAAGTTAGAAAAATATTTATTAAATAATTGTTTATATTTATTAATATTTATTAAATAATTTTATTGTTTGTTAAATTTAAATTTAATTTTTTAAACATTAAAAAATATTTTATTATATATTAAATTTTTTTATTAAATTATTTCGTTAATAAATAATAAATAATGTTTAGTATATAAAAATTTTTAATATATCAGTGATGTTGGGGATGTGGCACATGATGTTGATGTTACGGTCCTGCGTTTGTTGTCAGAAACTTAACCTGTATTTTTTTTCTTGCCAGAAGATGTATCGGTCGTGACGAAGAGTAATATAATAATATTGCTTCAGTGAACAACGATATGACGAAGTGCGAATTGAATCAAATATTTCTGGGCGAAGTTGCGTCCATTCAAAATTATGGAGCTTTTGTCAGAATACCGGGTACCCCGCAACAAGGTTTAATACATCGGTCACAGGTATTATTAGATTCAAATATATATGTTAAATATTAATATTTCGACGGTAACGTAACGCATTGATATCTATGCAATTCTGTCAGGTAAGCTCGGCTCATGTCGACAATGTTGCAGACGTTTTGCAAAAGGGCGAACGAGTCTGGTGTAAAGTGATCTCTGTAGCAGAGGATGGCAAGATAGGGCTGTCTATGAAACATGTAAATCAAGGAAATGGCATGGATTTAGATCCTAATGGTGTGGAGTTACAAAGGGACCTACAACGGCGAAAAACTCCAGGAATGGTTCAGCGTAAAGCTATACAGTTGGAAGCAGTACTCAATACCACATGCTCAAAGTGTGGGACAAGAGGACACTTGTCCAAAGATTGTTTCATGTCTCCTGATGGAAAAAAATATGAATTGATTCCAGAAGTTGAGGAAGAAATTGTTCCCTCACATCCAGTCGAGGAGAAGGTGGAGAAAAAGGAAGAGAAGAAGCATAAATTGAAAAAGAAAAAGAAAAAGTCCAAGAAGAGTAAACAATCTACCAATGACTGTGACATGGAAGATAAAGAGAAAAGTAAGAAGAAGGTAAAAAAATCTTTTAAAGAACGCAAGAAGCATAGAAAAAAACACGACAGCAACTCAAATGATTCCTCCGATAGCTCATCATCCAGTCATGATGTGAAAGCTCATAAACGAAAACACTCAGAGGACTCTGAAACTCATACAAAAAAATACAAATATTCCAAAACCAAGCATCCAGATTAATTGATGTCAAACATTTTTTTCATAGATAAAACTTAATGTGTTCTATGTATATGATAAGCAAATACTGGCATACAAAACACATGAAATGATTATAAGCATTTCATGTTTAAGTTGATATTTAATAAATGATTAATTGTAAAAATTAAACTCACCGGTGTCAAGTATTTGTAAGTTAGATGTACATTTTCAGCTAGAACATCAGCAGCTAGATCATAGTACTGATATTTACAGTATAAAAGTAACAAATTAGCAAAAGTTTCAGGTGGGAATGGATTCTGCTGCAGCAAAAATTGCAATTTTTCAAATCCCTCACTCGGTTTTGTGTCCATATTTATTAATGCTTGATTATGTAAGGTAACAGCATCGAGTTCCTCTTCGGAACGCGGTGGCATATCCGTTAACGCCTCTTTCGCAGCATCGTCTGTAATATTAGTATATAAAGAATAGTATATAAAAGGAGTATCTATTTTTTAAATTAAATTTGCAATAATACATAAAATTACAATTTTGCAATTGATATTCTATAGCAGCTTTCAGATTGAACGCTTCTGTCAGAGCTGTCTCGTGCAGAGTCAGGGTATTTCCGACACTTCGAACTTCGATACCCTCGGTAGTCATTCCCACACTTAGCTCTGGATGTTCTCTTATACCATGCTCGATAATACTAGCTAAAATTTTATTTGAAAATAAGCAAATACAATATTATTTTGTATGGATAAAGAAGATAATGAAGATAAATTCTTGTACCTATATGTTTCAATGATGCTGCATATTCTTTCAGTTTGAAATAACAAAGAGCAACATTGTACGATAGATGAGGTTTAAAACCTGCAATTTCCAATGCATTTGCAAATTTCTTGAGAGCCTGCTCGTATTGCTCCTCCTAAAAGATGCAATTTATATATCTTTATTAATTAAACTCACAGCTATCTATCTACCTTGTACAAAAGACATCCTAGATTGATTTCTGTATCGACATCATCGGCGGGGCACTGATCAACGAGATTCTTCGCAGCTACCATATCTTCCTGCCCATATTTTATAGCTGCCTGTAGTTTCTTTACTTTGAATTCTAAGTTACTTTGATTGATAATACTGGAACAAACTGTCCATGCTTCTTGATACATGCAAGCTTGATGTAATGACTGGGCATAGTAAAGTTTGTATAGATTTTCTTCTGGACATAATTCAACCAGTTTTTCATAACATTGAGCAGCAGCTATAAAATCTTGCGTATAAAAATAACAATGAGCCAGAAGAGATAAGCATGGTCTAGACTGAAAGAACGCTTTATTTCTTTAACAATACTTATGCAAATTGCAAAAAAAAATATATATATATATATATATATATATATATATATATATAATGTTACTGCATAATATACATACTTCAGGATGAGAATCTAAAAGATTTAACAGAACTTTAATACTTTCAGTATATCGCTGTTCTTTTATCTGTAATAAAAAATCGTATTCAGTTACATATTTATTTAATTTCAGATCAAAAGTAATGTTTGTTTTCTTAAAATGTTTCAAAGCTATCGCCACTTTTGTTTAGTAGACTTTTCATTTAATTTGGAGTTACATTTGCTTGATATATTTAATGAAAAATATATATAAATCTTAAATATATATATGCTCTATGTATATAGTGCAACATAGCTGGTGATGGATACCATAGAATAAATTGTTTTCGTGTATTCTCCATCCTTTATATGCACATTTTCTATAAACGTAGACATAGTAAAACACAAAATAAAACCTTTAAGTATTTAGTATTATTCCTTGTTTGACTATGTGAAATATGGCTGTATAAAACACTTATTCGCGCGCATTGTTTTGACACTACACAAGATTTGTTGCCAAGGAAACGACGCGAGATAATATTTCAGTCTTAAATTGCTTATTATTTTTATATTACTTTTATCTCTATTAGAAATTGATGTTTGAATATTTCACGAGATACAAAATTTACTGATAAAATATTTAGTACAGAAAGAATCATTATATAAATTTGTATTATAAAGTACAAAAAAATTATTCCTTTATTCATATTTTCATGATACATTATATGCAATAAAAAAACGAGTGACGACATTTATATGAACTAATATCCAGTTATTTTATGAATTTAAATATAATATTACGATCACAAAAAATATCTTTATTGCCATAATAATTTATTTATATTGCTTAACTTGTCCCTTTTAATCTGATCTAAAACAGCTGTCAAATTATCAATCTTATCTATCATTATTTCCAATTTATGATCTTGTGTCTTTAGCAGTTCAGTTGCTTCGGAAAGATCTTTTTCTAACATTGTGGAGCGTTCATTCGTAAAAAATGGCAAATCTGGAATTTTCATTGGTTTTACAAGAACCTTGGCCATCTGCAACAAAATACACTGATAAAAAAATGTCAAGATAAAGAATATATGATATAATAATATTTCTATAAATAATACTTACACATATCTCGTTAGTAAGTTTGATACAATTCTCTAATTCTTTTGCGCATTGCAGTGGATATCTTTCACGAGCATCACAGACTTCAAATACTGCTTCTTCACATTGTTGCTCGAGATCATCTGAATTCAAGATCAAGGAAATCATAATCAGACAAAATCATCTTCAATTTCGACATAATAAGGCGCAGTGTAAAACACACTTACCCATTTCTGAATATACAACTGTCTTTACACTTTATTATTTTATATTTGTGAAATAATATGGTATAATAATAACTTTTATATTCTGAAAAAATAATAAATGTCATAAAAAGAATTTACATACGATAAATAATTTTTTACATGATAAAAGACGCTTAAGTCAGAATGTCAATATGTCAAAGATGTGAAAGATGATTCTTTTTAAATGATATGACGCAACGGCACTTTCCGATTTATCAACTCCATTGAAAAATCGGAATTTAAATTTTTTAGTTTAGCTGGACAAGAATAGAATGAAATGTTTATATGAATATATTTAAAAAAATGAGATCAAAATCGAGAAAAGTGCAGAAGTTCAGCTAAGAGGAACAAAAACCCTTTCTTAGATCGATCATACGATTCGATTTGTTTTGTTGTCAAATACATAAGATTTTCGAGGTGTGATATGTGAATTACGAGAATTTACTTATTAATCGTTGATATCATCCTAATTGGAGCTAATTTCTAGAAGTCGCCGAAATAGAAAACCGTATATTTTTGAATACACTTATCTCACGGACGGTAATTTTCCAATCAAACCGACAGGTTGCCTAAACTGCCTCACCAAAAAAAGTCACGCATGCGCGTAAACGTCCGTCCATACTGCACGCTTGAAGAACGAATAAAATATAGCAAGTATGTGTCGCAATGATATTCGTGTCCAAAAACTTTTTTATAACATAGAGAAGTAACATTACTATTCAATAATATAATTAATGTAAAAAAATTTTAATATATTCATCGTATATCCTGTTTTTTCTTCGAAAAATAAATGCCAATTTGTTTAATCATAATTTAAAACTGACGGTTTGACAGATCTGTTTAAATAATCATATGATTAAAAAGCAAAAGCTGCGTATTATTTATTAAAAATCGACTAACGCGAAAGAAATATACAATTTTGAAAACTTTTTATTCATTAGTCATGAGAAATAAATACCTAGATGCGTAATAACTACATAAACTTTGTATGATAAGGCAGAGAGACGAAATAAAGTTCCGTAAATAATTACCAGAGGCGCAAGCGTTGAGAAGCACATTGCATATCGCCTTGCTCGGTATTAAATAGGATTATCATCCAGATAATAAAAAATAAATTTGCATGATTGCATAAAACATGTATGCATAGCGATATACATTGAGAATTGAATAATCACGAAATTAAAATAAAGTAAAAAAAATTATTATCTGTATATTAAACACATAATTGATTTAACTTTTCCGCGTTCACAAGGATACCTATTTAAAGAGGCCTTAAATTACATAAGGATACACGTTGCTACTGACAATGCGACGTCGTGCATTTCGGTTGATAAGATCACGAAATGCATGAATTTGCACTTTGTGACCAATGGCGTTTGGTATCGGATGTAATAAAAAATGCACATTTTCTAACGTCATTCGATACTCAAGTGCCGTTATTCCCATATCGCAAAGACCGTTGGATCGTTTACCGTTTAATTTAGTCGCCTCTTTAATTCTCGCGCAGCCAACGTCAACGACAGTTGACAACGTCGATGGTTCTCACAGCAATTCCCGGAAGCAACTTTTCGAGACGCAGTGTTATTTCCTGAGGCGAATAAGATACGACGTCGGGAAAAGAGGGGATAAAAATAGTGGTGACCCTTTAAAGATCGGATCTTAAAGAAGAGGAAGGATAACACAGTGCTAGTAACCACTTCACCAGCAACATGAGCTACTTGAAGTCGATTGGCACCACCATCATTTATATCGGCTTCTTTCTGGCCCTCATCACGTTCATTCCTGGTTTACCACCGGACACGGAATTTCGGGAGTACAGGTATATATTACATTTTACATATATATAAGTATATATTGCATTTTATATGCGTACATATATCGCGCGATTCGGACAGCAATGTGATGATCCACCGGCGCAAGTGCCTCATCAGCTGTTTCTGACCCTTTCATTCCGTTCTTGACCCTCGACGCTTTTCCAGCATAGTGCAACCGCGCGATATCGATCCTAAATTAGGCCCGAAGAATCGGCTCAACAATGCGGAAAAGCTATTCGAAGGCAGACTTCTCGGTCCAGAATCCTATGCTACCTACGACGGTCAGATCTACACCGCCGTTTACGACGGTTACCTCCTGAGGATCGATGAGGACGACCTCGTGCCGATTGCTAAATTTGGCAAAAAGTGCGGTGAGTCATATGCAATAAATAAGAATAGATAAGTATACAATGACGTGATTTTTATCGTACGATGTCGATAAATTAGACGAAGTCTCGATCAAGTTTCAAAAGCAGCTGGTCAAAACAGGTGTATCAAAAATTAAGAAATCTAATACATTTTAAAAGTCTCTCATGAATTTGATATTATGCAAGATTTCTAATTTTTTTCGTAAATCGTACAATTCTCATTATTGCACTATCATCATTACTAGAATATTTTATAAACATCTAATTTACAAATATCTAATTTACATATATATATATATGTATATTAGCAAGTATTTTAAATTGAATAAAATTTCAATAATAAATCGATTAAAAATATATTAATGAAATATTTAGTAAATATTTCATTAATATATTTTTAATCGATTTATTATTGAAATTTTATTCAATTATATATATAAATTATAAATTTGAAAGAAAGATGGAATAATCATAAACATAAACGATATTTTAATTAGTAGTTAAGTTAATTTCATTATTAATCTATTATTAATCGATAAATTGCTCGAATATATCGGCAAACGAGAGAGAGAGAGAGAGTATCAGCTGATATAATATGATATTTATAAATCAAAATTACTGAATTTTCTAAAATGAAAATTCAGGATAAATATACAAATAAAATTAAATTACATATTTATTACTTAATAGTAAAAAAAGTCGCTTCGTTAATAAATTAATATTAATATTAATATAAATAATTTTATCTATATATTTGAATTTTGTCTATTTATGTCACCTTGAATTTTAATTTCTGAAATAAAAATAAAATATATGCGAGTATCAAAGATCAGTATTTAATTTATGTGAAATAAAAAAATTACACGCAAATATCAGACTAAATTAACATATACATCTGTTACAAACTATGCTATTAATCAATCGATAAAAACACTGTAGAGAATAATTTATCTACTTTTTTAAAAAAGTTCGACAAATATGTCTGTGTAATTTTTATTATTGAAAATATTTATTTTATAATACTTATATTATTATATAAAAGTACTTATTTATTATTACTTATTTATTAAAAATTATATTTATTGTCAGAAAAGTTAGAAACGTATAAAATCTATGTCACAAAAATCATGTTTCAAACATAAGGCAAATAAAAAAAATCATAAAATATCATAAATATTATTTTCATTAACATAATTATCACTTAACAAAACAATTAACAAATTTTTAATATAGAATAATATAGAATAATATAATCAACATAAATCTTATATCAATTTTAATACAATTATCAAAATAACAAACAGTAAATCGTTCAAAGTTATGAAAAGGAATTAAAAACATAATTGAGACAAAATGTATGATAGGTTGACTTCTTTGTATGTTTTGAACTCCTTGGCATCTTTTACAACTTAATTTTTGTTAGCAATACCGAAAAATAAATCCGTTAACGTCTGCGGTCATTGTTTATACTTATAAAAACAAAGAACGCGAATTAACACGCTTTCTCAGTTTATTCTTTATTCTCGATATTCTCTCTTCTCCTTCTTAATAGCTCTATAGTAGATATGAAAAAATTATTAAACAAATTATCAAACAAATTATTATATTGTTAGGATTATTAAGAACTAACATTTTAAGTATTAATTAATACAATATAATTGTAAAGTAATATATATATATATATATATATATATATATATATATAATTTTGATATATGATTAATATAATTATTTATATTAAAATAATATTTAACAATATTCCTCCGCGAATCTTACAGATGGCCAGTGGCAACAGCAAAAATGTGGCAGAATATTAGGATTGAAATTTGATAAGAAGGGCAACTTATATGCAGTCGATTCTTATTATGGAATTTTCAAAGTAAATGTTGCAACTGGAGATTACAAAAATATAGTGAACATTTCTAAACCGATTGACGGGAAAATTCCATTATTACCTAACAGTATCGATATAGCGGAAAATGGAGACCTTTATTGGTCTGATAGCAATACAGATTTCCCACTTTATGATTTAATGCAGGTGTTATCATCAAATCCATCGGGCAGGTAACAAAAAGAAATATAAATATAAGATTTAATTTAAATTACACACACACACACACACACGTGTGTGTGTGTGTGTGTGTGTGTGTGTGTGTGTGTGTGTGTGTGTGTGTGTGTGTGTGTGTGTGTGTGTGTGTAATATAAAAAATATATATATTTATATTGTTAATTTATATTTTAAATATATATATATTTTTTTCATTTAATTTTTATTATGTATATAAGTATGTGTAGATACTTATATAAATTTTTCCGTCCGAGGTCATTATCCGAGATAAGTCATTGTGTCATATCGAAACGTAAACTTGTTTACTTTCAAAAAATTATAAATATTGCCGACGGCTTGTAGATAAGAGAAGGATGAAAGAAAGAAGGGATAGCGTGACATTTTATAAAATCAGCTAATTTGACTTTTGACAGTTAAATTGCCAAATATTGATATTCAGTTTATTCTCGTTTTTCTCTCATTCTTATTATATTACATTTACATTACATATATATGTAATATAAAAGATATAAATATATCAATTACAGGCTTATACGTTATAATGCTGCTAAAAAGAAGAACGAAGTATTACTAAAGAATCTTGCATTTGCAAATGGAGTTATACTAAGTGACGACGAAAGTTTTGTACTTGTAACAGAATCAGTGGCATGTCGTATAGTAAAGTATCACTTGAAAGGACCAAAAGCAGGTCAACACGAGATCTTCATCGAAGGCTTGCCAGGTTTACCAGACAATCTTCAAAGCGATGGTCAAGGTGGTTTTCTCGTCTCTTTAATTATTGTTATAGACTCTCAGCATCCTCATATTACTGTTTCTCTTGCACCACATCCATACTTAAGAAAGATGCTTGTGCGATTGTTAGTGGTGATGGAATTGCCATTTAAACTGTTGCATGATATTTATCCCAATACTTTTGCGGAGAAAGTTTTGGACTCAATTGGATCATATCATATGGGAGAAATATTTAATACTTTGAAGAAAAGTTTAATATGTAGAATAGATGCTTCGGGTAACATTATGCAAATCCTTTCTTCGAATGATGACACGATCAGTGGTATGAGTGAAGCTTATATACATAATGGCTTTGTATGGTTTGGCAGTCCGTGGCGAAATTATATCGCGAGAGTTCCATTAAAACAAGCTTTTCCTGATCTGGCTGAAAAGCAATCTTCTCGTACAAAAAGCGAGAATGTCGCTTCAAATGTAAAGTCAGAAAAAGCAAAGCAAGACACGATATCAACATCTACACCAATCACATCTAAACCAACTCCTACAACGTCTAAGCCAACCGCTACTCCCACAACCACTGCGCCAAAACCATCCCCAACTCCTAAGGTTGATAAATCTACTACTATTGGCAGTAACAATGCAAAATCAACTTCGAAATCTGCAAATGCTGAAGTCAAGAAGAGTGCAGAAACAATTAGTGACACGAAATCTAATACGAAATCCAATTCGCCGAATGCGAAATCCGAAACAGATAATAAAAAAGAGGATGCTGCAAAAAAAGATATTAAATCTGGTAAAAGTGTAAAAGTGGAACAAGAGGCTTCTATTAAAAAGAAAGTACAAAAATCATCTCCTGAGAAAGTTAAGTCGGTAGAAACAAATCGTCCAAGAGACGATCTTTAATAAAAGATAATTTAACGATGATGCATTGTGATATCATCAACACTTGTTGAAAATGATACATTCCATTTTTCAGATATTCCAATGCAAAATAAATGATGATGGTTATATGTAGGTTATATATAGATTATATCGATTTTTCATAGTATTTTTCATTAATTTGTTTTATATACAATTATATGTTGTTATATCCAGTTATGCACAATCAATTATATATATATACAAGGTGATTAATTATCGATAATACAGTCAGAGGGATATTTATTTTATTCATTCTGAAATATAAAAAATTAATTTAAATGTAGAAATTTGTTTTGATATAATTGAAGATGAAGTTTTGCTTTAAGAAAATCAAAACTTTTACTATACTAATTTTTACTATACTACTTTTACTTTTTATTACTTTTAAACTAATATAACTTTTAATTGCACTGCAACATAAATTGTTCAATTTACATATTATGATACGTTAATTTGTTTTTTAAAAAAATCATAAATAAAAGCTATGTATATTACGAAAAATTGAAGTTACATATATAACAAAATCTATCATAACTGCTGTTATTTTTTCAAATAGAGCATTTTATTTTTATTCGCACACATATATATTCTATTGAAATATAAAAAGAAAAAAAGAAATTTGCTTAAACTGATGAGATAAGTGAAAATTATACAAATCTACAGCAGTCCAAAAATATTAAAATATGAAAGATTTTTACTAATTGTCCAATTTTTCAACTGAATTTTCTTTTCAATAGATATGAATAATATTTTGTTACACTTTTTTTGGATTTATTTCTTCATGTGAAAACACTTTTTTTTCAATTTTTCCGATTGTATTATCAACAATTATTTTTCTTGTGTACATACCAGAATAGAATGAAATAACGCAACAATACACTAAAAGAATTCAGCATTGAATAACTTTATTAAGGTCATTAAATAAGGATGAAAGTTTAAAGAGTGAGTTTATATGTTAGCAAATGATGTATATAGATATAAAATTGAAAGTACCATTCTCGCAAATTTTCTTATATATTTTCGACAATATATACTAATTCCATAGTATATATACTAATTTTCATATTTTTATTGTATATTTTTATGTATTCTTAAATTCTTATAATGTATATGAAAAAAAATTATTTTTGTTTTATATTTTTTCACAGCATTAATTGCTTTGGACATCATTTCTGTTTTTATCTTTCAATTTCGAATATGAAGATTATATTAAAATAATTAACCAGTATAAATCTATATGAAAGAGATAATATATTTTAAATTAAGTGTTGTTTTGCATTTTATTCGTGCAATAATTTTGCGTCTATTTTGCTTAAGTCTATGCTTATTATTTTTGATTCACTTTTATTTTTAATTTACAATATATGAGAAATATTCACAAAACTATAATTTATGTAAGTTACGCATAAGTGAATAAATCTCAAAATAGAATATGTGATAAAGAATGATGGATATTTTTGTTAAGTTGGATAACCATTATATGAATTATAATAATAACTTTGTTGTATGGTGCCAGGTGAAATGTAAAATAATTATAAGAATATATTGTATAGTTTAGCAATTATAAAATAAAAATAAATTTTTAAATAATTATATTGTATCTTTATAGAAACATTTAAAACTTTATAGTAATAATGTTATTTGCTCAAATTGACATGAAACAAATTGTAATGTAATTTGATAGCTAAAAAGAAAAATGAGAAAAATTCAAATTATTTTTATATCTTTAAAATCTATAAACTTATTCTTTAATTTGATATTTATATGAATACTCTCTTAATGATACTCGTTAAGAAATTATTAAGATAACTTTTATTATAAAAAATCTTAAATATACAATATTCTCTCATAAGATTTGAACTATTGAAATATATACCTATGATAAAAAATATGTATGTACATTTATTATCAAAAGCCAATATTTTTAAAGATCAAGCCATCTTACTATATAAGTAGGTAACAATGTTTTCACTTTATTAATTAAGAACATTTGTGTTTTCCAGAAAACTGTTGGTTGTTTGATAAAGTGCCAATATCCGTTTCTTCTACGTACTGCCCATTTTTGTGCATTTGTTAAAGATTTTTTATATGTTAGTATATGTTTGTCCTTTAACTTTATCCAAGGTTCATGTATTGTGCCTAGGCCTAATTTAATTAGTTCTTCACCAATCTTTAACGAATCCTATTTGCAGAAATAACATGAGCATGATAGTATGAACAATATATACTCAATATATATACATATTTATGTAAAAATAATAATTGCTTCTCTTACTTGATCTTTCTGTGACATTGTAACTATACATTCCAAATATTCCTTTTTTTTCATTATAGGTATAAATGTTATATATTTATTATTCACTACACATTGTAACCAACTTATGCCTAGAAGATTGACATATTATTTTTAGAGCTATAGACTATAAATGATTTGATACGTACCATTACCCGTAATGTCAACACCACTGATTTTTACAGGTAAATAACTCTTATTGTTAAAATTAAAAAAAGGTAATAAGGGTTGATGATTGACCATTAGTAGAGCACCATGACTCGGTTCTACACGCATTACAGTGCCTTGAAGTGAAATTCGTGATTGCAAAAAATGAGATGGGACATCGGACGGTTTCTTAAATTTTGCAAACTGAAAAATAATGGAAGAAAGCAAGTGTGAGACTCGTAAAACAAGACACTGACGACAGTAAGTAGGGGAAAGAAAGAGAGACGATTTATACTTACAGGTCTTATCCTATAAAGAGCAACGAATAAACCGGCGCTAGCGATCCCATAAGTGATCAGCTGGAAAAAGAAAAACCGTTAGCGATCATATGACAATGCAGAGGAGAGAGGTTAGAAAAGTGTCACATACCTTGCCTGGTCCCATTTCGTCCTCCATACAGATTTGAAAACGCTCGAAAATTGTAGGTATTTTTTCGCGCGTCATAATTAACTTGATCTTAATCTTCTTAAGAAATGTCGTTCGTAATGCGTCCTCTGCGATCGATCAAAATTGAAAATATTCGCACATCGATTGCGATCGTTTGACACGTTTACTGTCACGTCCTTTCGATTCGTTATTATATCAGCGGTTTTTTAAAATTTGTTACATCAGCGCATTTTTAAATTGAACATTATTATCATTATTGAACATCGAAACTTAAATAATAATAATTTTCATAATCGAAACTTTTTTTATAAATTGTTATAGATAGACGAATTTAATATCTGATTAATTTAGACGAAATCAAAGGTTTCTATTAATTAAAACTCTATAAAAAATGTGTACAAAAATGCTAACAGCTAAAAAAAGAATAAATTTAAGGAAAACGATTGGAATATAATCACATATAATTATATAATCACTCAAATAGTGAATTGTTGTATATGTTCTTGAAATAGGCATAAAAACTTATTTGTAGACTTAAACCATTTCTGTTTCCCTCAAGATAATAATTCACACACGTCAACTAGCTGCTCAAAAAACCCGAAAAAGTTTAACTTTGATAAGCCCCGATATCATCTTTCAAGAAAATTAAATCTACTCATCTACACAGACTGATTTAAATAACTTGTTATTATAATTAGCACATTTGTGGCACGTTTAACATTCCAATACCTAGCTATTGTTGTACTTTCGTTTTATAGCAAAAATTAGACGTTAAGAATCCGCTAAAGAAAGGAAACGCTTCGGCTAGACGGACGCCGACGTATTACGTGTTATTATGTAATTTATGAAAACTCGATCGTAAAAAGAGACGTGACTCGAGATCGGAGTCGCGCTCCAATTCCGCGCCGCCGTCCGGAGCGTGCGCCGAGAGGCGAGCGAGCTCGCGTGCGACATCAGCTCGGTTCGGTTTCCCATTCGGTTCGAAGAACCGACATTGAGTCACGGCACCGCGTGATTCTCTCGGGACGACGGAGGAAGAAGACCCCCGCGGATGGCAATCGTGCCATCGCATCCTCGCACCAGTCAACGTACTGAGCGCGATTATGTTCCGGGACGGCCAATATCTGGAAGTGATCAAGGTATCGCGTGCAACAGCTGTCAACAGCTGGCTGTCAAACGTGCGCCCGCGCGCGCGCGCGCACACTCGATTTATCGGCCGCGCGTACGAATTCGTAAGATGCATCTGCAAAGATGGAATAACAGCGGTATCCTTTGAAATGTACTCTGTATTAACGATACTTGTCAATATCTTCGATCATTGAAAAATGTTGCCTGCTACAACGAATAACGGAAGAATATGTATTTATGTTTCGAACAGACGTACTCTTTCTCTCTCTCTGTAATATCAAAACATTGTATTATTATTGCGACAATTATTTGGAATATATCGTTTACATATCTCTTATTGATTTCGCGAAACAATACGGCAATTTGTATCAATTTGTATATTCTTTTACAGTGATGTGTACGTATGTGTTCGCAGGCTTCGGAGGATTGTTTGGCAACCGCCGTGGTAACCGTGCAGGAAAAAACGGTAGAGATCAAGAAGCGAAAGGTCATCACTAACAAGTGGCTGCAGGTCGAAGACTGGGCAGCGCTTTATAAGATATTGGAGCGAGCGATCCTACGAAATTGTCGGGATGACGGGTCGCATCGCAAAAGCCGGGGATGCGAATGGAAAAAGTCCACTCGCCAGTTGGAAGTCACGTAAGAAACGCAATATCGATTCAATGATTTCAGATTAATTTTGTTCTTTAGCCAGTTGATTGCATCTTGCTCATTTTATTAATTTGAATGTTCAATATCTAAGTATTTTTAATTAAAGTATTAATTTTTGTAAAGTGATTTGTTAAAAAATCGAGAAATACATTATATATATATACACACACTCACATATATATATATATATATATATATATATATATATATATATATATATTTAACTAATCTCGTCTTTATCATGAATTCTCTTTTAAGAAAAAATATAAATTAAAAAACATTAAATAATTAATATAAATAATTATTATAATATAAATATTTAATATAAATAACTTTAATAATTTTAATAAATTATAAACAATTATAATAAATTTAATAATAATAAATTATAAATTTCATAAAGGCGAATTTAGTTTTAAAAAAACTATATATACAATTATAACATACATATATACATACAAAACTAAATATTTTTCTTAGAAAATACTTGATGATAGACAAGCTTAGCTTCTGTGTAAAAAATAAATAAATTAAGAAACAAATTTCTATCATAATCGAAAATTTGTATCATAAAGCAGTAAAAAAATATTACATATTTTACATAACAGATACACTTTCGAGCATTCGGAATGCGCAAACGATATATCATCTTTGCCCACGATCCAAGTACATGTGTCACCAGCTCGAAAAAAATCGATAAAACGAGAAATAAACGAAATAGATACTTCAAAGAAAAGCAAAGTGATAACAGATGACGATGCGGCGAAACGAACGAAAGAAGAAAAATCTCTTGATCGAACGACTGATCGATCGAAGAAAACACTCGAGAAACCGATACAAACTTCTCCGAAGAAGATTGAGACCCCACGCACTATTGCGTCCGAGCAAGAGGATCTAAAGAGGAAGAAGAGCCGGAAATACATGCTCTCCGATGATTTGGAAAACGCATTATTGGAGGAGTATATTCCGGACGCACCGAAAGCGAAAAAATCATGTCTGGACTTCAAATACGTACCCAGCCGAAAGAGCGCATTAGAGAGTATGCGTTTAACATCAAACGAGTACACGCCGACTCTTTGCGACAGCAAACACGTGGTGGAAAGCGTGAGCTACGTGCCAAACTCTATCGAGAAGCTAGAGATGATTCACGAGACTTACGAACCGCGCGCCACTACGACGATTCCTGATGGTATTCTCGAGGAATATGTACCCAATTCCAAAGGAGTCAAATCTTCCATAGAGGAGTACGAGCCTGATTTCAAATCCCCGAGCAAATTGATGAAGTTCGATGATAGTTACGTGCCGTCCAGTGTGCGACAGAGCGCGCCAAACAACTTGAAAAGAACTCCGAATAAATCGGAAAATATTAAGGCGCAGAGATTGGAGGCGAGTCGAAAGGGAACACCGGTCAAGAAGAAGATGGACCTGTTTTCGTGAGATATACGAATGTTTTTCTTAAAGCTACATGTCGATACAAAATTCGATAGTAACAAAGTGATGGAAGAAAATTTCGCAGGGTAAGAAAACAGATTTTGGATACGAGACTGATGTTTATAAAAAAATTATAGTTTATAATACTGTTCATATATAAAGATTATCTCTGATTTTTGAAACTCATTATGGGAGCTTTCCAGCAACGACACAGAGCGACACAGCGTATCATTCTATCTTCTTTCATATCAGTAAACAACAAAGATAGAATGATATTCTGTGTCGCTCTGTGTCGTTGTTGGAAAGCTCCCTATATATACTTATTTCGAGATATAGAAATAAAAAAATGAATGTTTTCATCGTTATAGCAAGGCGTAAAATTATTTTAAATGCAGTTATACAAAAAAAAATGGGAGCGATAATTTTGTTAAGAGATTCAGTTTCTATATCTCGAAATATGCGAGTTTTAAAAAATCGGTGAGTTAAATGAACATTCACCTAGTTTATTTTAATACAAGTATGTAAAAACTTCTATATATTATTTTAATAATAATAATCTATAATAAAATGCTTATTTTTCTCTTGATATAGTGTAATTGTTTCAACGATTGATCGAATCAATCTATAGTGACTACGATATATACATCAATATCTTGGAATTGAAGCAGATGATTATTTCATTTCCAAGCTGTAAAACTGATTATTTTATTTCGTACTAACGTATCAGTCCTTGTGCAAGTATATCACGGCGCAATCCATTCAGCGATCCTCTTCGGCATCGCTCGGAGGATCTTCGACTAAATTCTTTATCAGCTCATATTTGTTCTCTACATTTTCATTTGTAGATTCTTTCATTTCAACGTCTTCTTGGTTAAGTCCTTCTTCTTCGTCATCGGTATCGTCATCGGCACCTGGATGAGCGGGAACCTTATGCGTCGGACTGCCCATTGTTTGCATGGTTCCCGGCTTCTGCCACATTTTTTGCGACCCCTAAAAATGATACAAAAGAAACCGTAATCAAAGAAATGACATTTATATGAATCAATTTATAAATTTTAAAAATTTACCTTCATTCCGCTGACCTTCTCCATGTAATAATCGTAAACGAATTTAGCCATGTGCGGCATATCCTCAATTTCCATCGGAACCATCGAAGGTACAGCATTGTTCGGTCGTTCGCTTGGATATAATTCCTGCGGCAGCAATTGCAGCTTCAACGGTCTCTGCATCAATTGGTCAAACGCTGGCGTAAGCTCGAAGCAATTCTTGAAGAGAGATACGCGAGCGAAGACATAAAGACCGAGACGAGCGCGTGACATCGCCACCACTAGACGTCTCGCGTCCCTCAGATGACCAACTGCGCGCGTTTTTACTAAAGATAATAAGATATAGTCATTCTGCTGACCCTGATATTTATCGACGGTCGTCACCTTGTTCGGTCGACCTATTAAAGGATTGTTAGCACAACGAATGTTTATCACGTCTCTTATCAAATGTTTCTGACCGTTATATGTTGTTAGAATACTGATCTTATCAGCCGGATATCCCAACAGACGCATATACATGAACACCGCAACGCAATACTCGGCTTCAGCGAGATTCTGATAGAAGTAGGCGCTAGGCTCGCTCTCGCCAACGCCATTGAAATCCTCAACATTCACCAGTTGGAAGTCGTATAAGAAACCGGCGTTCGCTACAAGATACTCAGGGCTATGTTCCACATGCGCCAAATTGCCCAATTTCTTGTATCGCCAATTGTAAAGATTGCAAATACTAGGCCTAGCACGACCTTGGCCGTCAAGATCGACCGTGGGAACGCCTAGTCTCACAAATCTTGCGAACAATGATTGTTCCATATTCGAATACTTCTGAAAAGCCATATTTTTAATAACAGGCGGTAACTGATGGTGATCTCCTATCATTATCCAGCGTTTTAAACGATTATATCCATCCTGGGGATTTTGCAGCAGTAATGGTATAAAAGTTTCTATTTCTAAAATTTGCGCAGACTCTTCCATGAGGATATTGTCATATTTGAAACCCATATCAACGAGTTCACGTCGTTTGAGCGCCGCATGCGTACAGGTCATAGCAATTACTTTGGCTTCCTTCACAAGTAAATACTTTGATCTGTCGAGACCCGATCGTAGTAATTCAAATGCACGGAACTCTTCTAATTGCGCGAATATCCTTTCGATATACCTATGCAAATAACACCTCGTTAAAAGTTGCCAGATTGTTTATTCTGTAAAAGTGTTTTACGTGTATTCTTACCTGAAGCAGCTGTACGCAATCTTGAGATCTTCCTCGTATGAATTCCGCTTGAAAAGCGGTTGCGGAGCGTTATCGAAGAATTTGTGGAATGGAAACTCTTCATCGACTATGGAAGATAAAACAGACTTGTCGCTCGTATGTTGCCTCTGTTTAACTCTAGCTTCGAAGCGATCCCATCTCGTGGATACTTGATACATGAAAAAATATCCCGCTGTTTCGCATGTATATGCAACATCGCCTTTCACATTTAAAGATTCCTGAATAAAAAAAAAACATTTGAAGCACATTTGGACACCCCACATCAATAGCTTAAGAAGAAATTAATCAATACCTGCAATCTCTGAACCTCTAGAAGTAGGTCCAAACGCTTTGCAAGAACATAATTAACTCTACCATAGCGACTGAAATCTTTTTCAGTCTCCAGAGCTTCCTCTCCGTGACCGAGACGCAGTAGATGCCTCTCATCGATATCGAGGGCCATTATCTTCTCGAACAATTGATTGAGAGCTTGATTGGAATGTGTCACGATCAGCGTTCTCTGATTGGGAAAATTATGATATAGATTCGAGATGATTTGCACAGCGACATCCGTTTTACCAGTACCGGGCGGACCGACGACCAGCGTCAGACCTGGCTGCATTCCAGCTCGTATTGCCTCGACTTGTGTCGGCGTAAAGGGGATTTGATTTCTGTAATGCAACGACATGTTTTTTTTCCTCTGTTTGAGTAATAACTTTATAAATATACTACGAAAGAGAGTGTAAATAAAATGAATGCTACTAACTTTTTCGGTTCGTTCGCTCTATATGGACCTCTACTGGGTGGTACGTGTGGTTTAACTCTAATAATTTTCTTAATTGGTTCCTTGTTGTGCTTCGCTAAAATATCCTCAAAAGTCAACTGAAACGGCCGTACGAGATTTCCTTCGTCCTCTGGGTCTGTTTTGATTTCATACTGAGGAAAACTAGCTCGTAGATGATCTATGTCAAGAAATGTATCGTTGAAATCCATCGTCGCAATTTCATCCGACATTCTGATAAAAAATTAACATATTTTAATAGTCAATTAAATTGCGATTTTACGTTGTTGAATAAATTATCATGCAAATGATCGCTGCAAATTATCATAAAAATATTGATCTATTCTCCAAATGACATAATAATTTAATTACTGTTTTGAAAATATTGTTAACGATGTAGCTATGAAAGGACACATTGTATCTGCTATTATAAATATTAGATAACATTTTTTGTTTTTAATTGATTCTTTCAATTTTGTTTTCAACTGATTCTTTCTCAAGCAATAAAATAAATATATAGAACCAGTTTTATTATAGTTACACATTAGATATACAGATAGTTAGATAATATAAATATTACCTAGAATAGCATGCTGCACCGGGATCACCATATCCGAGAATTATATCGTGCAGCCAGTCGGGCACGACGCATTCAGTATTCATGAGCTCCCTTATAGTTTCTAAAACGGCTTTGAAATTGTTCTCCTTAGGTTTACGCCTCATTATAATATTAAATCCCTCGTATACGTCCTCGCCACCGTGGCTCGCGTTATCCATGTCGATTCGATATTGATTGCAGTCCAGCCATACTCTATAGGTTCGCGAATCGCCTGGTAGAATCGGCCTCGGCTCAGGGCCATCTTCTATCACTCTACCATTCGAATCGAGCATACCTTCGACCTCGCACCCTCGTACCGTCGTTAAACCCACTTGCGGTACGAACGGGAGCTTGTGACTATACTTTGTGCCTACAATAATATAATAGTTATTCGATTACTCATTTGTTATTATTATATACGGTTATTACATAGAAAAAAAATGTGCAGACAAAATTAAAATTTTTAATCAATTTTGTTATATATCTTCATATAAAAAAGACAAAATTTGCTGCAATATATGAAGCATACGAGGTCGGCAAACATATTTTATTTTTCTCTATATTCTTTACTTACAGAATAATTGTATGTATTCTGTTTAACGTTTGTTTTACCTATAGGATTCGGTGGCTTGACTGTGATGAGGAAGCACACGTCATGCTTGCGAAGATTCTCCCATTCGGATTTAATCTCTTTGCGAACGCTAAGATTTATTGTAACGTCAGCGCGTACCCTTGACGGCCTATTCTCACCGACATTAGGCTTGGCTACCTCGACTACGGCGAATTGCGTAATAGGTTGTGCCATTCTGGCCCATCCACCGAAGTAAACGCCGCCGTCTTCTGCTCGCCTGCGAGCGAAAAAAAGAGCAAAAAATTATTATTTTAATTTCGTAAAAAGGGAAGGCATTTAAATATGATACAGCATAGGTAGATAACATACCAAGGACTCAATCTGCTTACAGCATCCTCGATGTCCTGTCGTATTTCATCTGTGAAAATAAATGGATAATAAATATACAAATTTAATGATTATTAATAAAATATTAATATATTATATAAATTATTAATAAATAATTAAAAACAAATGGATAATAAATATACAAGTTTAATGATTAACTTCATTATTATCATTAATCATAAATATTTAGATATAAACAACAAAGTTGTGTCTTTCACTCGCTCTACCTACACGTGGATTCCAAGCGGAATAAATTAAAGTTCCGTAGCAGATAATCGTGCAACGTGAGGAACTGCAAATTCAGTTTTGGCAGCGCCAGACAGCCTTCGCCAGAAAAATACTCGGTCGGGACGATGCTCTCGTTCCAGATGATGTCTTCGGTCGGATAAAGGGGCATCTCATTCAACTCCTCGAGTTGCGATGGCCTACGCTCGTGTCGCGATATCTGAAATTGAAAAGCTTTTCTTAGAATCCAGTATCATGCCTCTTGAATTTACGTTTCTCTCTTTTCCTTTTCACACCTACCAGTAGCTCGCGCAAAAATTCTATGTCCAGACGATACCAATTCTCCTCCTTTTCCCGTTCCTTCGGCGGCACTAAATTCAAATAACTCGCGATAGATCTCAGTTTTTCCTGGCTGAAAATAAAAATTAACGTCACTCGTCACGTTCCATCGATCCGCAAGTGTTCGCAATGCTTTATTATAGAAAAAAGAATTTTATATATAGAATTATTCATACCTGAGCGAACCGAAATGCTTGTAAAGAGCGTCCCTGACGTCGACGCTGGCTACGTTGGCCAAAGCGAAGCTTCTCAGGTCCGGGAATTTCACGAAAACCGCATTCTAAACAGAATTTTAAATACCTGTTAGTCTCTCTCGATTTCAAGAATATAATTATGTTTAATAGGTATGCGTTATATATAGCTTATTAATGACACAATTGGCCGCGAGAATTAATTATGGAATTTTAAATTCCTGTTTCGCAATATTTTTTTTCATCAACAACAACCGGTTTATGGAAATCACATATATGCAAAAAAAATAAAGATTATTGTCCACTGATAATGCGAAAATAATTTGACGTTGAATATGCGAATATGAGGTAATTTTTTTTAAATATTCTAGTAATATGTGACATGTATTTATAAAGTTTATGTACTTGAAGAGACGTAATTTTAGCGTAGTGTAACTGCGTCATGTCGTGATCCGTCAATGGGTTGCCAGTCTCCTCGCTGATCTCGAATCGAGCATAGAACTTGAGCATTTCTAGAAGCTGCAATCAAAAAACAGGAGTGATTATTCTTCGACAGCTAGAATCTAAAGTAAAATTTATTGTTAACAAGCATTACGTATGGCCTTTTGTTCACAGAGAAACAGCCATTGGCTGCGAGTGTCGATCATCGATAAAATCAGAATCAACAGAGTAGTTGCATGTATAATCATTCTTCGACGTCATAGTCAAGAGGATTGGTCGCAGGTATGTTAATTGTTCTTCTCGACAGATTTTTCTTGCTCTTTAAACGATATGTTTATCAGAGAGGTTCAAGATTCGTCTGTCAAGGAGCCGATATTTGTTTTCTACCTTTCATTCATTGAATTAAAGATTTACTTTCGGAGTCACTTTAAATACATGTATCTAAAAAATCGAAATGACATGAAATTTCTTATTTTTTTCAGACAACTTGCCATAGAGATACATTTGATTTAATGGAAACGTGCACTTATTTTGCGAATAAAATATATATTCTATATATTTATGTATTTATATTATAATATATTTTCGTTAATAGTCATTCTTTCTCAACGGAGATTAAATTAATCAGCGCAAAAACAGTGCACTTAATAAACGAGCTTGCGAACCAATTATTATGGCTCATAATTCATCCGCATGCTCGACATACCAAGTAACTCTTCGGGCGCAATTAGTCGACTGACGTTCGAAGGCAATAATGTGCTGAACATTAATGAGAACAATTAGTCATGATAATCGAATATCATAGCCTTCCTTAATATATATGTTGATTCTCTTTTACAATATATTTACACATTTATAAAGTTACGCGAATGTATCACCGACATTTTAATTTTTACATTAAAAAAATAACGGGAATATTCATCTAATATATACTTCTTCGCCGCATTCCTATTCAAGCAGCGTAACGTTCGTAAAGCAACACGATAATATGCAATATAATTCTTTGCTTCTCGCTAGAAATAAAGCTTTCCGTTTTTTTTTTTTTCATAGAAGATATCTATCCTTTTGAAACACGCAAGTGCTATCTCTACTCTCATTGTCTTCACGAGCGTGGCATCCTTATTTGGCGCAATGACACCTTAAAAAAGATTACGAAGAAATCTGAAGGCGAACTCGATTTCGGTGAACCGGTCCTTCCGACCATTGTTCCAGCATGCAATTAAATGGGGTGCTAGACAGGACGAGAGGAAAAAAATACACGGTGCTCAATCGCACAGCATAGACCCCGTTCAAAGGCTAAAAAGTGGGAGAAGATATCTCTTTGATCGCGCGCTCCGCGTAGCCGGCAGACTCCGGTGAGTTCTTCGTTCAGTTCTGTTCGTAGCGCAAGTACGTGAGCGTGTCTCATTGAGCTCGCCACTCCAACCCACTTATCGGGGTTCGATCGTATCGATACATCGTATAAAACACATCGATTTCTCCGTAAAGATTCACGCTAAGACTTTTCTCGCGATTTCGATAACATTCTAAGTCGCTCTTCACGAGTAAACGTGATTTTTCCGCATTAACCACCTTGTCAGTTTTCGGAATTTTTTAAGTGAAAGTCAACATTAATAAATAAAAGGATCGATAAGGACGCCGTGGCATTCTCGTTCCTTATTCGAGTGTCAGCCGTCGAGACTTCGGAAAGAAAAAGAAAGGAAAACGTGCTGACTATAAAGGAAGTGATCGTGACAGATCGCGCATTAGTTGTCACCGTCCAACCGGAAGAATTTTCTACGGAAATTGCAGAAAGCGGTACCGCTCTTCAGGTCGTGAATGCCACAGTGACCCGAGACAGTCCATTGACCCCGATCGAGCGTGACGTTTCTTCCCCGAGAGAGGAAGAAAGAGAGAGAGAGATCCTTTGAAATTCGTATCATTTTATTGGATCTTCTCAGTTCTAATTTCTCGACCGTTTTTTTACGAAAAAGAGATTCGTTTTGTGTGATAAGGAACGAAGAGATGCGGTAACGAGAGCGAGAGACAATGTTGTCGTTTGGCGTGAGTTATAGCAGGCAGCTTGGAGCGTCATCGATCAGAGGTATGTAAACTTTCTTAGGCTGAATCTATAATAGTCCTAAGTCATGTGGAATGTCGGAAGCAGCCGATGGATCAATAAAAAAAATTTCCTTTTCGAGAAAAAAAAAAATCTTTTCTCTCATTGGATCAACAACATACGATCTACGACTTAGAATATTATTATTGTAGACCCAACCTTACGCTTTATTTTTCCTCGTGTTTGTGCGATTGATTTATGTGACTAGATGTCCTTGTTTTTATGAAAATTTTCTGCTTTCCATTTTTGCCAATATTGCTTAGAATATAATGACGATGATCGTTGAATAAAAAATGAAATTATCATTAATTAGCTAATTTCTCGCAATGTACAGTTTTATCATGTACAATTTTATCTTCCAAGACTTCCGACAATATGAAAATGTTTCTGTGTAGAAAAAAAGGTGTTGTGTACCTTGCGTTAATCAACAGAATTCCAATAATATTATGACGTACTGTTGTAAAGTCCGTCTTTTGTCAATCTTGAAATATTATAGCTCCGTCAAAATATCCATGAAAACAATGGTAATATTCAGAAATCATATCCGCGTATAAGCTATGATTAATACTTATCGCTTCTTGAACATATTTTTTTATTTCATAAATGCACCTCCGTTTATCGCGATTTTTATTCACGGCGTTTGCAGCAAATTACTTCATTAGCGTGAACGATAGGCTCATTAGTATTCCATGCGATGTAAATTTTTGTTTCTACACATAAATATAATTGCCTGTGTAGTTATATGTTGGGAATAGAAAAACTCGAAGCTGATAATTAATTGATTTATCAATTATCAGAACGAGCGATTGAACTAACGTTATACAACGGCTTCGATTCACGTATTGAACGTAGGAAAATTCACGGTCGTCTGTAAAATTCAATATTTTCTCAATAAGGAAGACGCTTTATTGAAAAAGATTATTAGTAGATAATTACCATACAATGTCGATATTAACGAATACATCATACATATATGCGCGTTTCTCGGGATAAATAATATATCGTTGTCCACTCGGGGAACATAAATCCGATAAAAGTCGTTAAAAAACAGCGCGTACTATAAATCGGTAGAAAAAAATTGCAACTAAATAAATGTAAACGATAAGATTGATGCCTTATCGTGACATTTCATAATTCTCATAAAAACCTGACTTAATGAAAAGATATAGAGTGTATTAAGCAAGCATCCATGATTATCAATAGAGCGCTTTTCGTTCGTTCGTTTCTATTAAAATAAGATATCTCAAGCAAACGGCCTCGTCACGCGTTTTCATTCCATTCGGAGCGATTATCTTTTTCTCAACATGTGCCAATCGTGAAATGTCAATTTGTTTTTTATGCTTTCGCGTTCTTGTCCTATATAAATTTACATTCTATCGTATACGAATGACCCTATCAAATTTCCTATATAAATTTACATTCTATCGTATACGAATGACCCTATCAAGTTTACGAGCGACGATTAAAATTGGATGAAAGAAGCAAATTCGCGAAGAAATTTATTATTCTCTTTTTTCACTTTATGTTTTTCCCATTATTTTGTACCGATAAATGACGTAAATTTTGTCCGGTCATTATAAGCATTATACAAATTGCACTTAATTAAACGTGGACGACATTTGCGATAATTAAGTCGTAGTCACAAGTATCCAAGGTGACGGGTATGCACGATTCACATACATGCCGTGTAAAAATTAAACATTTTTATTTCAATATCCCGAGAAAAACTTCTTAGAAACTACGCAAAACTATGATTGTGCGAAATTATGACGTTCGATGATTATTTATTGCGCTCGATGAAACACCGGTAACACAATCTTTAGATTATTAATGGCTTATGATATGTAATATCACGTTCTCGAAGTTTACGATCTTGATGTTTTACACAGTAAGAAGTTAGTTACAACGATCAGATCAAGAAATTGACCCAGAAACGTCGAATAATTTAGAACGAGCGAGAGAGAAACAATATAATGATTGTAGATCGTACATCGTTTTGTGAAAAATAATGTTATCCAAGATTACGAGAGACCGATATCATTTTAAATGAAAGTCGCAAAAAAATATAAATAAGACGTTTACTTTAACTCTGATAGTGATAATAGATATAACATACAATAAATTTCGCTGGAGAAACGTGTTACAAAATAAATAGAATTAACACGCGATTCTTTCAAAAAACCATATGTGTATGCACAATTAAAATATAATCTTCTCTTATCTCTCAATTGCAAACAATTTCCACATGACAAATGAATTGCTTAAATGAATTTTACAACTTTCATAACACGCAAGAGCGTCATGTATAATTTTTATGAGATAAATTACTTGTTATTTTGCACTTGCTCTCACTACTTGCATTTTTTTTTTGTTAAAATGACTCAACAATTTTAATCGAAAATATGACTTCGTGCGAACGATACCGAGAATCTACACGTGTACATTCACATGTGTAATCTGGTGCACATGCACGTGTATGCAATAGTGGTCTAGCGCCGGTAATGAAGAGTTAGTATGCAGTTAACAGAGAGAAAGAGAGAGAGAGAGAGAATCATATCCCTTCTTCTTTCACAATGATTGTTTCATATCGTGCATCTGCCTTTAAGTGCTAAACTAGGTTACCATCTCTATTACATTTATTTATTACCATCTCTTTACATTTCTTATTGCAAATTGCGTACTTTAGATTAACGCGCTCATTTCTCATCTCTCGCAGAAGAGAAGGAGAATCATGACTATTCTTAACTGAAGCTGCATTACATAAATATGTATGCGATACGTTTTATTATTTTCTCGAATCTCTTTATTTCTCGTATCCCTGGAGTCCGATACATCTTACGTGATAAGCCAAGCCTAGTATAAGATAAACGAAACGATGTCGATATCAGTCCGACCTCACATGACGCACTCGGAAACTTCACGACAAACGCTTTTCTAGAATGATAGACACGTGACATAGAACCGCGAGATCGTTTGACGAGATTCCTTATGATTAAAGTCTCTACATTTTATTATTTTAATATACACTCTATCTTCCTTTAATTTTACAACACTCCATATTATTTTATATATATACACACATAGAAAAAAGAACATTCTTGTTTTGAAAATATATTTAGTTTTAACATGAAAATCTTGAAATGAGATTATATTGCGTTAATTTAAGAAAAATGTAATTGCTTACTTGAATGAAGCCATTTTATATAGTTCAATCAAGAAAAATATATTCTTACGATTTAAGATTTAATTTTCTCGAATGAAAAAGAAACAATGTTAGATGGAAAATAACATTTTTAAATCAAAGACTATAATTTTCTTAAAGTAGAATTAAATAATTATATATTCTTCAGGTGACAATTACAATATTAAAATAAAATTATAATATTGTTAAAATTGAAAATTATTAAATTCTTCTAAGAAGATTATAAGTTGTTGCGTATATACGAAACAATGAACGTGTTAGTTTAAGTATATAAGTTTTGATTTGACACTTATTTTTTTCCTCTGTGTATATATATATATATAATATCAGATAAAAAAAACAAACAAGAAGATGTCCTTGTCAGATTAACAAAAATTCCATAGATTGTTACAATAATCTTTCCGAGAGGAGAGTTACAATTGCGCAACGAGACTCAATTAGTGCGAAACAAATAATTCCTTATCAGAGCCGCGTTTACAAACAATTGGTAGCAAATAATACATCGACTATGCTATCGAGCTAAATCCTTCCGGGTGTCTTTTCAAAAGACTGCGGATCAATTCAAAGCTGCTCATGCGACGCTTTTCAGGTTCCCTCTGGTTGACTCTGGTGCTCTGGCTGCTCGCGATCTCCCCGAGCTTGTCCTTCGACGTATCCTTCGACTGCTGCCCCGAGAACACGTCATGGCAGCACTCGGCCAACTGCTCGGACGGCACGAAAATACGTCTTCAATGCACGAACGGCATCTTCCTGATCGATCCCGAGCAAAACGATTACGACAATTTCACCGTCGTCTACGAGGACGATACCGCCTGGCTGCGGCTAGGCATGAACAATGAGAAAATCCCGGCCGGCAGGTAAGATCTCGCAGCTTCCGTCCAGCTTATCACATGCGTAATCGTACCGCGGGATTATTCTTTCGCTCGTTCTTTCAAGAAACGAGAGAGAGAGAAACTTGCAGTTCGGGATGTTGAGAAATACGAGGAAAATCCTGATGTTGCAAGATTTCCCAAGCATGATATCCTGTTATTATGCGATTAATAGGCAATTAATATTCGCTTATAGAATCTTCTGTAATAGATCGTCGATAAATCTGTGATAGATGGGCGGTGTTTTTATCACTAATCAATTTTGTTTTTATTCAGTTTTTGCGTAACCAATTCGACGCGGAACAAGGATAAGATAGCCCTCGTGTGCTTCAACGATGCTCTAAATGAGAGTGTATCGATGATGTGGAAGAGCACGCTCGTCTGCATCGTCAGCATCATCTCAGCTATCTTCTTGATCGCTACCCTGGCGGTTTATGTTATACTGCCGGAATTGCGGGAGCTCCAGGACAAGGCGATGATGGCCGCCGTCACCACTTTGGCGGTCAGCTACACCGTCCTCTCCATTCAACATGTGCGACCGATCATGTCCGATGATGATTACACCACTTGCGTATTTTTCGGTACATATTTGCATAATTATAGGGTAAACCGGTGTAATATTCTGCCCCGGCAGGGAAGATGCTCCATCGCTCAAGCATAAGCTTACTAATAAGCGTTATTGAAACAGAAGTCGATAGTTGACAATATATACAATAATCAACCGCGCAGAATTGCTCTAAGTGTGTTTTACATTAAAAAAATATAAAATCAATAATTAAAAAAAAACATTTTGTTTGTAGATTATAAGCAAAACATATAAAAAAACACAAGAGGGAAATGGTGCAAAGAACCATTGCTAAAAGTAAATGATGAAAGTTAAAACACTATAATTAAATATCAAAAATTTTCTGGAAAAAATAGAGAAATTTGCAATCCTTTATATAAATATTCGATCAATTTTTATTAATTTAAAATATGAAAATTTTTATGTTTCATCGAATTTTATAAAATTATTTTTATTAATTATAATTATTTGGCATTTTTCACTGAATCCAAGAAAAAACGCTCTTTTCAGTATTTTCAAAATTAACCTCAGAATACTTCAATTAATCAAAAATGATTAATGATAATAAATCTTTATGAACTCCAACTATTAATAAAATATATTCATCATAAATGTATTTTATATTGATATATTGATTGATTATATTGATTTTATATTGATTTAAGCAAGTGTGAGGCATATTATACCTTTCTATTTTACATTATAAAATGAAACAGTATTGTACTTTTATCATGGAATTCGCGAATATAATAATTATTTCTCGCATCTTTTCAATCTCTCATTAATATTATATTTGTTTTAGCATTCATATTGTATTTTGCCTTCATGTCCGCATTTTTCTGGCTGAATATCGTGGCCTTCAATGTGTGGCGTACCGTATGGTGAGTGACAGACAAATAAGTCATGTGAGAAATACAGGATATCGCATACACAAAACTATAATAAATCAATCGATGAAATATTTTTTTTACATATCTTCAAAATTTAATTATTCGCATAGGTTTAAGAACTTCAGGGTGAAAGACCAATCGCTCTACTATACTTATTGCATTTGGGGATGGGGTGGCCCGACCTGTTTCTTAATCATCGCGTTGACAATGCATCATGTAGAGGGACATCATTTGAAACCTGGCTTTGGCGACTACAGTTGCTGGTTTGGCGGTAAGTTATGCAAAAACTAATTCTCTGTTGCTTCCGAAAAAAAATCAAACAGACATATAAGATGTACGGTCTGAAAGATTGTTTCATGTTGTTATTTTCTAAAATAATAAGAGATAAGACAGGTGGTCTCGTTTACTTTGCAGGAATCGCGCAAACGTGGGCGTATTTTTATGGGCCGATCGGTATTTTGTTAACGTTAAATATGATCTATCTCGGCCTAACTAGCTGGCGTTTATGGCATCAATATCGCGATTACACGGGAAACAAGCTGCGAGCCCTACGATTCAAATGTATGTTGTACATTAAACTAGTACTCGTCATGGGCATCACCTGGATCTTCGAATTAATGTCATCCGCCATCGATACCGATATAGAAGAGTTCTGGTAAGGACGATCTTTAAAATACTATGTCTCGACGCGTGAACATCTATCAGTTATATTAAATAAGATAATCGGCGAATGTTCTCGTCAGGATACCGACGGACCTGTTGAACGGTCTCCAAGGATTCATCATATTTCTGCTTCTGGTCGTGACGCGGAAAAGAGTTCGGAAGCTGTTGGCGAAGAAGCGACCTTGCGGTATCGCTTTCCCAAAATCCTGGGCGGCCTATGAAGACGAGGAATGCGAGCAAGTGCTTCCCGAGGAACTTGAATTGTCTCAACAGGGATAATAAAACTTTTACGTTCTCCCCTTTTTATCTAAAATATATTTCCTCAGGCTCATTACACGCGATTAGATGTAAGAAATATTGCCTAAGAGAAAAGACAGTCTCGGATTATCTGTATATTATCTGACAAGAAATCATAGATAACGCGATTGTTGTCATGCTCTAAAATTCATACGGTTTTAAAAATAACTTATCTGTAAGCACATTTTATTCCCTATGTTATTATACATTTCCATTATATATACAGAGTGTTTCTTAATAAGCGCGACAAATTTTAGGAAGAATTTGGAACAAGTTCAAGAAATGAAATTAAATGGATATTTTTTAGCAAAAAGGTTATTTATGAATATTTTTTCAGTCTCCCGTATTGTTATAAAGGGATGAAACTAGTGACCCTTATTCAATTTTTTATTAGAACTTTTTAATGTTTATATGAAAAATTCCCCTTAATTTTCGACAAAAAATCATCTCCTAAATTTTTTCGAAATTATTAAGAAACCCTGTATATTAAATACGCGTTATCTCCACTATGTTGATCCGTTATCAGTCTCGTTACTAAGATTCGCGAAATCAATTCAGCCAGTTATTTCGACGTATCTCTTATTAACGTATACACATTACCTGTTCTTGTTATTTGTTATTCTCAAAAAAGCACGACCTTTGGCTGATAACGGGTTAAGCAATAAATATCGTGTGTTTTTACGTAAATTATCGATTATTATGGATTATTGTGCCTTGTTTTTTTTTACGATTAACGTAGCGAAATATGTTATTATTAAGCACTGTACAAGAATCTCCATAGATTAATTAGGTAAAGATTTAATTATAAATTAAATATAGATAATTTTTAATTAAATATAAATATAGGTTTAATATAGCTTTATTAAATCTAGATTTACTGCGTGGAAGAATAAAAATATAATGAAGATTATAATTATTCATCGGTGCGTAATGTTATTTCGCGCTCGTGATTCAGTTTCTCATTCGTAGAAACGTGACGACAAGTCATCACATCTCTACGATTTCCCATGAAAAAAACGTGTAAATCCGATTCATTCACGAGTATCGGAATTTTAATCGCGTCTATATTAAGCGTCATAAATGCTCGTATCTCTTTACGCATCATGTAAATTTTTAGAGACACACCGAATCTTTGCAAACAGTAAATAAATTATGTAAGAGAATTCGTCCAATTCTGAATCAGTCCAACTCGATTATCTCTCTGGCAACATCTGGTATAACAAGCTATTGAAACATCTGGTATAACAAGCTATTGAAAAATAATTTACGGTACAAAAGTCGCTTGTCTCTCCAAATTTGAAGGCTACTTGAAGGCTTTCGCCGCAAACGAAACAATAGCCGCGATATACATATGGCACGTGCTCGTTAATCAAATATGTATCCTTCTCGATAAAATCCGATCCGTCTGATACATGTGTGTATATGTGACGTAAGTCTACAAAACAGACTCATAAAAATTATCGCCGCGAGCAGACATTGAGTGTGTAAACATACGCCGCACCTGTCCTACTTTCATTGATTTTGCGTGTAATTCGTAATGCGTCATCTGTCGTTCAAGACATATTAATACAAATTAACAGGATACTCCAGAAAGGTCACTAAGCGAACCAATATTTATTTATAAATTAATCTGACTCTCCAAATCCATTTCTCTCTCTTTCTCCGATTCCTCGGCCAAAATGTCAAGGATAGTTTATGTCATCAAAATTGTTGGTTCCATCAACATTTCCTTTTTTTTTTTAATAGAAAAATCAATTTCATACTGATCGAAGAATGGAGGTGATTCGCAAATCCGGATATTTATTATTATACTATCATCTTGTCTACAGCGATATAAACAATGACGCGAATCGAGATGACAAATTCAATTACATTTGCTCACTGGTACTGACAAGCGTGATATATTGACGCAGATAGATAGTAGGTCACAATTGCATGACACGGACGAAATTTGTTAAGCAAATCGGATCGTGACAATTTGATGGGACGAGTCATCTTACGTTCGATGCTCGCACAAGATGGTACGCGAATTATTCTAATTTAAATATGTATTTGCAAGCATGTATATTTCACGAGCAATAATTCCTTAACATTATTCATGCGTAATCGCGTAAGATTGCGAGAAACATCGTTATGCAAATAGACGTTTTTCCTATTAAGAATATAATCTTTAATAATTCTTTGCAAATGAGTGAAGTATTTTGTCATCTATCTAATATGTGCTGATTCATGTTGTTATGCGAAGGTAGAGATTTTATTATAATCACAGGATTCTACGCGTTGTATGATTTTTTTTCGTTTGCTTGTATAATGATATTGAGTAACTATTTAATAAAATAATCGTTTGGATAGAGATGAAAAACTCGAGAATACGTAACAAAAGCGAAAGAGACGATCGATAGACATGTGCAAATGTACATCTAGTGTTATATTGTTTGTTCACATGTATGACTTGTATATATATTACATCATGATCGATAGAAGTATAATGACAGATTAGACAGACATAAAAATTGATCCACGACAATCCCGGAACTTTGCTTAATAAGATACACCGTTAAACAAATTAGAAGCGATGGAAAAGGATATTGCAATGATTTTTACATTCCTCTCACAATTTCCTATCTTCAATACAGGAAAATTAAATGTAAGAAAAGAAATTAAAATGTTTTTATTCGATTAATTTTCTTCAATCAACTCATGCTGTATGAAAAAATATTAAAAATGCACACGACTATTATTGAGCATACATGCTTTAAATATATATACATACAATGATTCGATTGTGTTCAGGTACAAGAGAAAAATGATGCACGACTGTATAATGCATAGCAGTATAAATAGAACAGCTTGTATGCTAGAATACATTGCATGTCTCGACAGAGTAGTTGTAAAAAAAGTATATCCAGAAGGGGAGAGAACAAATTACTGCGGCTCAACGATCCGAAAAGATGCCCGGAACTATCTGTCCCTTCTCAGGGGAATTATTGATTTATCATTTTTTTTAGGTATTCTAAGCCAAGTCCTAAAGAATTTCAATCAGAAAAACTTATGTTTATCATTCTTCGAAATAAGATAAAATAAGAATAATAATATTCTGAAATATTCTAAAGCAAGAATAATAATATAATATTATTATAATATTAAAATAATTATTAAAAAGATCAAAGATATATCACATCCTTTTATATTTTATTTATATAGTAGATTGATAGTTTATTTTTTTTCTCTTCTATACGTCAGTATAAATCTCACATCGCAAGACAAAAAATATTTTTTTATCTGAACCGGAACCATTTCCGGTCTGGAATATACGACGGTGCAGCTGTAATACACTCGTTCGCGATTCATGTCAGTGTTTTCTCAGAGTACGTGACAAGACGAACACGTGCTGTATTTATGCACGCCCTTGCGGTCTAAAGTTAACGCGCGTTTATCGAAGTGGCCGATGAGTAACGCAAACACACAAAGGAAAAAAAAGAAAATGAAAAAAACAGCGAAAATAATAGAATTTTACAAAGAGCGCGACTGTACGTAAATAAATACCGCGAACTTATATTATGTACGGACATATTACGTTAATTTCCCTAATATTTCTCTTAAAATACTATTATATTATTTTCACAATTTTACTTTGTCTAATCGTTCCAGGCATTGTAATATTTTAAACGGATAAAATGTTATAAACGCGCAGAAGAAATTATCTTTGCAATTATATATTTATATAAAAAATGTTGGAGATTAAAAAATGTTTAATTTTATAAAAAATGATTAGAATAAAAATTAGAATACAAATAATTCATTATTAATTTATAATTAATTTTACGAAATATATTATCTCATAAAATATTTCATAAATGATAACTAATTCATAATTAATTTTAGAAAAATAATTTCATAAAACAAAATTGCTGCGTTAAGAAACAATATTTTGAATAATTTTTTGTGCGAAAAAATTATATAAATATATTCCTCGATAAGAAAAATATCAGATTAAAAAACATTTGTTTCTTTCTATATTGGTGAATAAGAAAATAAATTAAATGTTCTTGATAAGTTAGATAATTTAATTTCTACGTTATTCGCTTATTGATATCGTTATCATTATGTGTACATTGATAATCCTTTGATATTTCACCAAAATTTCGAATTATCAATATTGTCCCATGATAAATAATGTTCACTTAATCTTTAGGCACATTGGCGTCATGTAAAATTATATTAAATATCAAAGGCCATTTGTATATATATACATTTATGTGCGTGTAAGCATGTAATATGTATGCAGAAGAAAAAAAATATTTCATTTATTTTAAAACTACTCCTACATTAATATTATAATAAATTAATATAATATTATTATATTATTATAATATAAATTAATATAATAATTCAATGTGTATCAATAAATTTGATAACGCGATCTTAAATTTTTTCACAAAAAATATAAAAATTTTATTATCTGTACCAGTGTATTTACGAATAAAGAGTGCATTATAAAAGCGAACACAGAGAGACATATGTGAACGCAGCACCGACGCGTGCTATTGTGTCTCCAGACCCGCAGCTCCGCCGCAAAGACTCGCTCGAGGTCGTCGAGGGGTACAAGGGGGGGATCAGGGGGCCCCCGACCAGCCCCGATGCGGCGGAGAATGGGAATGTCATGGCGGCAGACGCTGGCAGGGGTAGATAGGTAGGTAGGTAGGTAGGTAGGTAGATTGCCGCGGGGACATTGGTATGGCCAGGTATGGCGAGACGAGTAGGATGCACGTCGCGATGAGCTGACAATGAGTGAATCACTGATGGAAGGTTCGCGAAATACAATCAAGTAAACGGCAACCAGGTGACACTTCTTTCTCTGGGAGAAGATACGAGAAAGCGAGCACGCGAATGCGAATGTAAGGGGAAAGAGCCCGCGTGCGCGCGCGCCTATTTCAGCGTCATGTATCTGAAGAGAGTGCTGCTGCTGCTCGTTGTTTGTGGTATCTCAGGAGTGAAAAACGCGCTCGCCGACGCCGAGACGCGAAGCGGCCAGACACATGATGCCGGCACGACCTCGGTGAACATCGGCAAGTGTTGCGAACCCGGGGAGCTGCTGCTCGACGATCGGTGCACGCCGTTGCCGGAGACCAACGAGACCGAGTGGCGACCGGAGTTCGTGGCTGAACCGCGAGACGCGGCAACTGGGAGATCGAGATTCGTCGAGCCCAGATACGAACTGAAGATCGGACGGCCCAGGTGCAGCCCCAACGAGCATCAATGGCACGTATACTATTATCCAGCAGGACCGGATCGTCTGGCGATTCTGCCAACCGGTGTGTTACGTCACTACATCGTCGATTTGACAGCCAAAGTGGTGAACGAGGACAGCGACGTCTACGGCGCCGCGATGTCCAATTTCAACGGCAACGATGACGACGACGACATTGAACGCGCGACCATACATTATGATTATCCATTCGGGCATTATTGCGCTGACAAGGTGGTGCTCACTGGCGATCAGCTGGTCGCGACGTATGCCATGCTCTGCGTGCCGGATGTCACCGCGCGTTGGACCGACACCGACTACCTGATGAGGCACGCGATCGATCCCGCTTTCCACGCCGTGTCGATGGCCTGTTATCTGATCGTCGCGGTGGTTTACTTTGTGCTGCCGCAGTTGCGTGACCTTGTCGGCAACATCATCTCTAGCATGGCTCTCTGCCTTGTGGCCAATCAATGCGCCTCCACCGTCAGGATATTCACAGAGTTCGGCAATCACGTCAGCTTCATGATTGCCGGTACGTTTTTTTTTTTTCTAATTTAATATGAAAACGCTAGTCATTTTCCCCGCGCGGCTGAACTTTTACACTGTCTGTCCGCTTCTTGAACTTCTCAAGCATCTCAAGAAGATGCAAATAATTCTCGAAAATTATTTCCTGTGACATGATCCAGCAAATCAAAGCATATCTGATGTTCCATCGATGTTGACGCATCGTTTTAAGAATAAATTTCTCTCATGAAATTAGAATGAATTGTGTCTGTAGAAAGAAATGTCTTAATAATACAACAAAAGAGTCAGATTCAGTAAATTTATGTAACAATGTGCTGAGACACTGCACAAACCACTTTACGAATTATTTTCTCTCAAGCATCAAATAGCTGAGATATTTGCGAATCATATCCTTTAAGTAATACTGTTCAGAGAATCTTATGAGTCACGATTCAACGTGCTCGCAACGGAAGGGCCAATTAATAAACGCGGCCGCTCATAAACGACCTTTTCCTCTGAAAGTAAAATTACCAGACCGAAATCAAATTGCCGGATTGAAGATGTATACTAAAAATATCTCATTATCCTTTTCTTTTTTCAGACATAGTCATGTACGTTTCCCTGATGGCCGCCTTCTTCTGGCTCAGCGCTCTAGGCTACTACGTGTGGAACACCTTCAGATCGCGCAACGTTTTCCTCAGGGTGACCGATGGCAGAAAGTACTGCTACTACTCGTCCTGGGTCTGGTGCCTGACACTCTGCATAGCCGTTACCGCGATCTTCGCGCATTTCGCCCTCGAGACTAACAAGCCCATCGTGGGTGGCACGACCTATCCCGCTCAAGAGACCGTGGGTTGGCTCGGAATCTCCGTCATGTTCACGTGTATAGCCTTCACCGTCGTGATCGATCTCTGCTTGGTGTTGACGACCGCAAACAGGATCAAACGGATGAGCACGTACGGTCGAATTCATCACAAAATGAAGTACAGCTTTCGCATGTTCGTCCTTCTGTACGCAATCCTGAGCACGGGCTGGTTCTCGCTGATACTTTCGCAGCTCAAGTACGATGCTCTGATATACTGCCATATCGTTGTGAACCTGCTACAGGCATTGTTCGTGCTCTACGTATGCGTGTTCGGTCAACGCAGGGTCACATTCTTACTCGGGAAAACGTGCAACTGTTGCAATTCTGGTGACAACACTGAGGGTCTCGATTGGGGCGAGGAGATGACAGCCATCAACGCGGGTTATTAACGCGACATTTATTTTTTTATACGTAGATTACGATCTGTGACGCGTAACACGATCCTAATCGGAATCATAATCGAGCAATAACTATCATCGCGCGTTTACATTGTACGGTCATAGTGAGGAATACAAAAAATACTGAAGATGCATGAAGATGTACGAAATTAGAAACAGTTTTGCACATTTTATACACTTGCCAGATTATATGTTCGAGAATTGATGATATACATATTTCTCGAGTGAGATCAAACTTGCCTTCAGATTTATCTTCAAATCATAATTCTTTGTAAATGTATTTTTCATGCGTGATTTTTATCATATTTATTATATATATATTACATTAAGAGTATATATACATGCATATATATAAATATATATAAATATATGCATATATATATATATATATATATATATATATATATATACATACACACATACATATACATACATATATATATATATATATATATATATATATATATATATATACATATATATGCATATATACTTAAGATCAAGAGAGATTATTCTTTATAGAGTGTGAAAAATGCGTGGATATGTCTCTAGAAGAAAACAGTATTATGTACGTAGTAACGTTATTATGTAAAAGTAAACGTAAAACGTGCAAAAAGATATATAAAGAAAGAAATACGTATATTCGAGACAATATTTGAGAGATAAAAATATGGCAATATATTGTAAATAATGATGCAAGAATTAGGACAATATTTCAATCGATTCAATATAGAAGTAGAATATGGACAAAACAGGAAAAGTTATCAAGTCTCTCACAGACACATTCATTGAAGCATCTTAAAAATTTAACAAATTTTTAAAAAGTTATAAATGAGATTCATAAGCGACTGAAATTCTTGAATTGATAAACAAATGACATGGCACTGGTAAAATTGTGTATCTGTGTACTTCATTGTTTGGTGATTATGTGTGCCTTAAACGAAATTAATTTCTTGCCTTATAAAAATGTACGCGAGACGTTTTTTGACACTTCGCAATTTTGACACATCTAATATCTTATATGTATCGATGTTTATAGCATATCATCATCACAAATGTACTGATAAATTCTATATATAAAAGTATATATATTTGCAATATCAATGACACTAATTAACAGACATATCTGTTATGCAAATGTGTTGCACAATGTAGTTAATTATGTGTCACTGAGCCTTAATTTTATACTTTTAATATTTTTAGTATTTATATCTACGTAGTATGTATATATAAAATTTGATTTTTGTATGAGAAAGATATTAGATTCGATAAATTAATTCAAATCAATATCTTGGATTAAATTATTTAAGACATTTTGTCTACTTACCTGTCCAAATAAACTTCCCTCTGGACGATGTAACAAATTAGATAACTGGCAACGCACGACTAGATGATTGTCATCCATGACAGTATTGAAGAAACGTCTAGTGGGAAGTAAAGCCTCGAGATCGATGACGAGTTCCAAAAATCTTTCGCAATATCGCACTTTGTCCGGTAGTACAGGTCCTGTGAAGAATATTTATATTGTTGGAGTTAGATTAATTTATATATTTAATATTATCGTGTTAATTAATAAAGTTTATAGAAAATGTTTTTTATATAAATTTTAAATGAAATTCAATTTTTTGCATAAGACATAAAGATACATACCTTCTGCAGGAATTGTCTCCAATATTGTCATAAATTTTATCATGAGCTTGTGCAAGAATCTCCTTTCCCACTCAAGTTTCTCCTTTTGCTCTGGATTATCTTTCTTTCTTATAATTTTCCAATATTTCCTCCATTTTGGATACTTTCTAAATTCGAGTTCTCTTCTACCGTGTTGCAAGGAAATCCACATAGACACAGATACCAATCTTTTGACTTCCTCTCTAACTAATAATATCTCCATGGAATTGAAACAATGATTTAAAAACACTATTAATGCTGTCTGTTCCTTTAAATCAAAATCCATTATGCTTTCTTCTAAGCACGCTTCGAGAACATTTTGGAAGAATCCAGGAAAGTGCGTCGGATTCTTTTCAAACGCCTCCCAAACTTGCACTCGCTCTCTGAATTTCTCATTCACCATAACAACAATGGACATGGTGTGCGCTCGCGTTGCATTCTCCGCGTTGTAATTCGGCCAGAGAAAATTCTCCAGGTACTGACTGAACTCCAACATCATGATTCTTCGAATGGAGAACTTGGATGCGCATATTTCTTGTACATAAATGTCTTCCACTATCTGAGGTTTGAACGGTAGATGCGTATCCGTAGTGTGTGGCGCCCAATACTTATTGGCAAGCTGCACAGAAATATATGTAAGAATGAGATATGGTACAAACTTGCAATACAAAAGCTTGAAGCAAAAATCTACCTGATTATTAGATTCATTAGATTATTATCTTATATTCATTACTCGAAAAATTCTGTAAAATAATAATCGAGAAAAGATACCTGGGTGATCCTGTCCGCATTGATCTGTTCGACAGTCGGAGCAGGATTATTGCTCTTGATAGGCGGTAAGTTTTGACTCTCCATCGTCTTAAACAAATTTTTACAAATTATAATCAATCAAATGTAATCGAATATTAACCTCACTTTGTTCCGGTACAAACAAGACACAACTTACGTAATCAGTGTGCAACATGCAACTGGATAAAATCGCGTTTGATTTGGCGCTGCAAATGTTTGAAAGCGCTTGACCAATCAGGATAGAGAAGTCCTTCTTTCATTTGTCCTGTTCAATCAAATGATTCAAAACATTCATAACGCCAAGTAAAATATAGGGTGCTTTTCATTTAGCGATACAAGTCGACACAAGTGTCATTCTATTTTTGTTTATTGTTATTCATTGAAAAAAGATAGAATGACGCTTGTGTCGACTTGTATCGTTAAATGGAAAGCACCCATAATCAAACTCACAATCAATCATAGACACGAAATACATAGATGAAGTATCAATTATCGAGGAGGAGGGATAGGCTTAAGCATTGGAATGCATCGGAATGCGGTTCCTTTCAAGCAGCGTCGTTCGTAAAGTTAGGTTCACTAGGGTTGTGTTCGAAAATCTACTCATCGAAATTAATGTAGTAACTTTTTTAATCGACCAATCAGGACAAGGAACATCTTGTTCTGATTGGTCAATTGAGCATTGCTCCATTTGACGAATAGATATTCGAACGCAATCTCGTGACGTTGCTCTAGAGAGTCTGTCAAGATGTTTTCTTCATCGATGGAGCAACGAGAAGCGATTCCTTCCACCGTTTTCCCCTCGAACTGAGCACTCCGCGACTGGAAGCTCGCGACACGACGAGTTCGATGATATACTAACGGACGAGCGATTTGACAGACTTCCTGGAGCGACGTACTTTTACGATACCCACGAGATTCTGGAGCACGCTGTACAAAGGATATGCGCGCCAGAGAGTCAGCGAATCGCAGTCGCGTTCTCTGAAGGGACTCCTTCGTGTCGTGACAGCCTGAGATAATCCGCGCTGAAGACGAGGATTTCCCATCGATATGGCTGTCGTCGAGGAGTTTGATTACTTGTGTCGTCTGTGCGCGACCAAGACCGGCATCCTGATGGGGCTGCCGATTTTCGAGGCCGGCGAACAGATGCGCAACATCGATAAAAAGATAGCAGCTTGTCTGCCGGTTCAGGTAAATGCGACGAGCGATCGCGAGGCACAATATCGATGGATTAATTTTTCATTGCGATCTTGAGCATCTTTCAAATGTTTCATACGAGGATTATGGTGTGTAAAACGATATACATTTCTCTTTGAAAGCTTACATTTTTATTATCGATTTTCTTACTCGTTTTATTAAGAATAATGTCGAATGATTTTAATGGATATATTATAAATTTTTATTAAAAATGTAAGTAAAAAAGAGATAGCTTGTTTATCTAGATTTATTGTGAATAATGCACAAGTATCTTTCGGAAATACACATCAAATTCTATTAATATAATTTTAGTATTTTTACTTCAAATAAAGGAAAACAAAACTATTAATTTGTGCTGCAATAAAGTAGTCAGATTAAGTAATATTTATTTAAAACACTGTGTATTATAGTTTAATAAATTTCAGGTATCATTGACAGATCAATTACCCAAAGTGGTTTGCGAAGAATGTGCGTTTAAACTAGATCAGTTGTTTGATTTTCGTGAAAAATGTCTACATACGGAAGGATTGTTTATGAAGATGTTGAAAGAAATTGGTAAAGAAGAAGTTGTGCATATATCAGAGCACAATTTAGCAACTGTGGATAATATGGGCACAGTTCGGAGAAACTTGAATAACATACAGATTAATAATGAAGATGTACAAAATCATTCAGCTATATCTCATGAAACTGCAGAATCTACCATACATACAATGCAAGTAATGGATGAAATGGATCTAGCTGGTGGTGAACAAGTGGTTACTCAGGAAGAAATAGATCAACAAGATGCTGATATTCAAGTAGCAGGCATTGATTGTTTAGGCGATACAGTGAGAATGGTCGATGAACATATACGAGAAGTAATTGAAGCAATCTATGTTTATTTTTTTTGTAAATTGAACATATTGAGTAATTTGTAAGTGTTTGTGAATTAACACCTTATATATGCATTTGTATGATAATATGATTATATTGTAATTAAAAGAGATTAATTCTTGTAAAACATGAAAAGAGAAAAATACTTTATTTATATAATTTCTGAGAGTATTCAATTAAAGAGAATATATGATTTGTCGTTTTTATGAGTTCTAATGTACATTATAAATTGTAAATTATATTTTCTAGGTTTCAAATCATCAGATTGCAATGCATTTGGAGGGTGATATGACTGTAGTAGGAAATTTGGATGGTCATTTGAGTCAGTTAGGAATTAATTATGTTACTTCTATCAGTCCCGAAGATCAAAACCAAGAGCAGATAGTACATTATTGTGAAAATATAAAATATGAGACAAATCCAATAAAACAGGAGTATCGTAGATTACAAAATAGTTTAGCTACAGAAGAGTCGCAACATGTACTTGAAAATAATGTAAGTATTTGAAACAATAGAAATCTTGAGCAACTTGCAAAGAAAAATGATTACAACTTAATATACGTTTTAGCAGAAGTAAAAATATAAAAATTACTTATGTGATATTTACATTTCTAGTTAAAATTTATAATTTGGAGATTGTAATTGAAATTTATAATTCAGGTATCCGCGGATAATTTTGGCTCTTCTCAAACTGATGCAGAAGGTGATATAGAAGAATCTTGTCTGAATGAAAATGGAATTCGCGAACATGTTGATTCAATGAACGCTTTACCATCTACAAGTCATATAAATGACATATCTTGCGAAATAATGGTTAAATATACGAAAGAATCGAAGCACGCGTTACTAGAATCTACACTCAATAATCCTACCATGGACGAAACTGGTTCGCATTGGTACATGTGTCCGTTCTGCAACGAGGCAGCTTTAGAAACGACCAGTCTAGCCGTACATTTCGAGCAACATTTCTGTCGCTGTAGCTGCGATTCATACTTTACTAGTGTCGAGCTATTAAATTTACATAAAGAACAGTGCATTGTATATAAAGATAAACTAGTCGATAAGAAAAAAAAGGACGTACAATTAAACGTAGCGACACCGTCGCGAGAAAGAAATGGCAATCAAGAAGAGCAGAAAAAACAATCGCCAACGGTAAAACGGAAATGGACTGCGAAGACGTGCGACGAATGCGGTAAGCAGTATAGAACGAATTACAAACTACAAGAGCACATGCGCAAGCATACGGGCGAGAAACCGTTTCAATGTACGACATGCGAGAAGGCATTTCGCAGCAAGATCGGTCTCGCACAGCACACGGCCACGCACACGGGTAAATTCGATTTCAATTGTTCCACCTGCGGCAAGGGATTCCAGTGCAAAAGCTATCTCATCGTACATCAAAGAGTGCACTCGGATGTGAAGCCATATCCATGCATGACGTGCGGTCAAAACTTCAAGACGAAGCAGTCATTGTTGGATCACGAGAACCGTCATTTAGGCGTGAAGCCGTACATGTGCGAGATCTGCGGCCGCGGTTTCATCACCAAGGGTCTCTGCAAGAGTCATCAAAAGATACACTCGGGCACGGACAATCGCCAATATCCGTGCGCGGTGTGCAACAAGATGTTTGTCAGCAAGAGTTACCTCAACACGCATCTGCGCATTCACACGGGCGAGAAGCCGTATCTGTGCGAGGTGTGCGGAAAGGGATTCCTGACACGGGTTGATCTCAAGATTCACTCGACCATGCATACCGGTGAAAAGAGCTTCAAATGCGAGATATGCGGAAAGGTATTTGCCCGACGTGCGGCGCTACGCTGTCATCGGCGATCGCACACGGGCGAACGTCCTTACAGATGCGACGTGTGCAATAAAACGTTCACGCAATTCAGTCCGATGGCCATTCATAAGCGTTTGCACACCGGCGAACGGCCGTACAAGTGCGACGCGTGCGGTAAAGGCTTTGTGTCCAGGTCAACCATGATGTGTCACCGAAAGAAGCATCACGATACAACGACCGTCGTGCAGAAAGATGCGCCTACACATGAAGAGGGAGAGATTAAAATCATCCTCTCTGATATCGTGGTCAGAGATACACACGATGGAATTCAAATCGGCGTGGATTGAAGATTTCGCGAGGCGAAGATGATGTATGAATTTCGCAAGAATCGCGGTAAGGTGCAAAGTTCCGGGGTGCTAAGGAAATTTCATCCGCATTTGTTACATAACAAACTGCTTTCGTCTCACCATAGTGTATTCTCTACCAATGTATATTTAAAAACTTTATATAAAACTATTTTTACAAGGAACAGAGTTTTTATGGTAAGTGAGAATACAATTAAAAGTTATACTGCATTATTGATGCAACGTATATGATTTTATATGTTCTCTACAGTATCATCCTTTAATTCTTTTTTTTTCGAAACAACATATTGTAATTTCAGATAATGTAAATACAAATCTTTTATATCAATTTTTCTGTATTATTTTTTTTAATATGTTCTAATAATTATCTCTCGGATAACCAGAATACAATGAAAACATTGTAATTTTTGGAAGATTATAATATAAATGAATTTAATAATAAATTCTTTTAAAAACAATATGAGGACACGATTTATAAAATATAAATCTCTAATAGAATAGAATCTATAATCATATAAACTCAAACTTCAAATAACATGATGTTAATAATAAAAATTAAGACATTTATACTTTTATGATTTGATAGTTTATGAAGTTTGAATGAAAATATGAGAGAAAGAGAAAAAGTATATTTTCGAATATTTAATATTATATTGATATATAATATAAAAATGTGTAAAACGATTGATTTGACTCTGTTCACTAATACATATGTTATGTTTCTGAAACTTCTCTTAAAATTACACATTCTTTTTTATATATTTTTGAATTTTGGTCTATCCTGTAAAAAAGGATAATATTGTTGTACAAAAATAAGATATTTTCTTATATACATAGCAAAGTATTATTTAAAAATTGAAGGCTGATGCACTTTTGCAACAAAACAATGATTATTATGCTCCTGTAACAATAAAGTTTTTCGGAATTTTAAATAAAAGAAATTTAAGGAGATAAATTTAATTATAAGTATATGCTATTTTTATGTGCAGCTATATTCGAAAAAAAATCTCCTGCTAAATATAAATTTCTGTGCACAACAACATAAACAAAAAATTGTGATATATAATAAAATAATTAAATATATTTGTGTAAGATTACGATATAATTGTAATATTTTATTATTAACAGAAACTCTCTTGAAAGAGAAAATATAAAGAGCTTTACATCGATGTATGTTTTTATGATTGGCCACATTATTCCTAAAATTAGTCCCGTTGAAGTAGCATAAATTTCTCATAAAACGAGAAACGATTGTATATTTTTAATATAAGAAGATTTGAACGAGCAAGGTCAAAATGGAATTGAACATAACTAATTTTACTAAAAATTCGTTTTATTTTGACAGTACGAAATAATGTGAATAGAGCAGCCGTACCTCGGTCGACTCTACCAGCAGCAATAACACGATGCATTTTTAAAAAATATACCGAAAAATGTGGATATAAATTTAGCGTATGTTCAGACAGGTTTTGAAATATTCTTTTTATTATTTCTTAAATACCAGTTTTTTTTCGAACGCAGCTTTATATATATGTTTTATATATATATATATATATATATATATATATATATATATATATATATATATGCACAATGAGTGTGTAACAATCTTTACAATAACTGCTGCTGGCTTTGCCTATTACCGTTCTACAATTGACAACGAATATTTATTCTATAACTTGACATTAACTACCTACCTACGCAAGGCATCGATGACATAATTTATTTAATAGTTCTGTTGCCTATGTTATATCTACATAAAGGGGGCCCCTAAGCTACAAACGATGACAAATTATTATTTTCAACACTAATTACATTGCAAATTATATGATACATATATTTGTGTGACGTTGTGCCGTAGAGCTTTATAAATATAAAATACATATAAAATTGTAAATGGCTTTATGTAGAAAAACGTAAACTTATGCGATATAGTTCAATAAAGTACAAAATACGTTCGTCGTTGTTTAATAATTTTTATAATTTCGAGAATTGGCGCATCATCTATTACATATTTTAATCTTTCAGTTTTCTTCCTCTACATATCGCTCAAATATTTTTGTAAGCGTGCAGGGGCCCTCATTAAAAATCGGTGGTCGATCGTGTAAATAAATTCTCTAATTCTTTAATAGTGTTAAATATATATGTTACAAAGCACCATGATCTAAAATTACAAACATATAGGGTGTTTTGTGTATTATCTAATGAATATGTGGACCGGAATTAAATTTTTTTATAATATATTTCGTTTAAAAAAAGAAGCTAAATGGCAATACAAAATGCAATTCAAACACATATATATATATACATATATATATATATATATATATTTTTTGTCACATTTTAATATAAAACTTAACATGTTTAACACCCTATACATTTGACTATTTACGTGATTATGTAATATTAAATATTTACAATTTTAAAAATTAGTTATATGTATTTTATATAACAAAAAAAACATATTGAGATATTCGGTTCAATTAATACGTCTTTATTTATCGCAAATATATTACTTACTGCGTATATGAATAATGCACGGTATTTACGAAAAATCTGTATATACACAGCACGTATGTTTTGTGGAGTATTTCCCAATTGCAGTTATATTGATCCCAAAGCTGCTCCTTAAATTTTAAGCTTATATATAAACCTAGCATAATCACAGCAATTTGTATAAATCCGAAATGGAATATTTACTCTAGAGGAACTTGAAAAATAATATTGAAAAATATTTAAAAAATCACTTTTCTAACGTCAATTGTCAAATTGCCCAAACCAATGCTAAGCTATACACGAGAAAAACAAATACATTTGATGAATATGCAGTCAAATTTCCTTGTGCTTTGAGATCAGGAATAAATTGAATATCAATCTCTTCGCATTTAAGCATAAAATTATTTCATCACGCCTTCTCAATTTCCATATGCTGAATTACTTTGCTCATTTATCAAACATATCCTTATTCTTTTTTTATCTTCTTACATACTTATAAATTAATACAATTGACATGTTAATACATTTGACGATGTATTAATTGTCAATATTCAAAATATTCAAAATATTCGTATCGACACAGTGAAATATATTGTATTAAACTTCTTTTATATACAATACAAGCAACTATTTTGAATTATTTTCTGAATAGGAAATTCTTTCGCTGTTGTATTTGCTACGTTTGCTATTAAATCGACACGGATACCAAACTGTTGAATACAAACTATTGTTATTATTATTTAGCTGCAAACATATATATATTATTACTTAGCTGCAAATATATAACAGCGTGAAACAAGGATAAACATTGAAATTTCTATGTGCAAGACAAAAACAGCGTGATAAGATGAAATTTTTCTATAGATATTTACTATTTAATATGTATCGTTGCGATTGTACCAGACAACAATAGTGCTTAAACATGAATCCCAAACATGGAATAGTGAAAAAGTACTGGAAAAGTATATTATAAAATAGTGAATATATAAGTCATATTTATGCTCTATTATTAAACAGTGATGAATACACAGAAGAAGCACAAACTAGATGCTGAGATGTCTTGTTTTAAAATTCTATTTTGTAATCTTGTCTTGTTTTTACCATGTATCAAATACTTTGCGCGTTTCTATAAAGCATTCTCACATGATATAACATTAATTTATATAAAGAATTTCCTTCCAATATTAAAAACTTAAAATTATAGCGCATATTATTAAATTCATGCCAATGTTAAATTAAATATAATTATTACAGCAGTGTAATCCTTCAGTCTTTCTCTCATTTCAATTAACGGTCATGGTTCAATTCTTTATGCTCATTACAATATACATGCGAATTTGTATTTTTGTGATGATTAGATTGCTAACTGGACTAATAATAAATTATTCCTGTGTCTTCCATTGTCATGTACACAATTTCAACATTATATATGTAATGCAATGTAAATTATATCGTAATATAAGAGGAAAGAGACATTTGGTCCTCTTTTATTGATATTGGATTTAATAGCACATGCGCGCGTTGTATGTGAAACTTGTTATTTATATTCAAATTTCATATTAACTTTGATTTTATACAAACATAATATTTTTTAGCTTTCAGCAGAATTTTTTTTCATTGTTCCTTTTATTGCACGCAAAACTCAATTTACATGCTAATTATTTTATGCAATGCACAACAATAATAATTAAAAAGCTTGCATTTTCTAGAGAATTTATACCTTTTTATATATCGAATCTTACAAATAACAAGTAAACAATGTACAATATATACTACTTCATATTTTATACAATACCGGACAGTAGCTATTTTAGTGATATAAGAGCTCTGTCTTAATTTACAATTATTGTTTAGCAATTGGACGAGATGTTACAAATTCTTCATTTAGTTTCACTTATCAGCATATACATCCAAGATTCAAAACAAACTGTTTTTACATAAACAAATCGCCGCTGGACCTATCATCATGCAGGTTGAAGACAGTGTTCTGGTGTGCATCACTTGAACAACACTCTCTGATTTCTTTTACACTATTTTTTGACCATTTATCAGTCAAAAAATAAATACATGAGATGTTGCCAATTCGTAAAAAATCAAACTTTTATAATAATATATCACATATATATACCCAAGCAGTGTCACGCTATATAACACTTTAAATTATTTTCTGTGTCTTAATTTATAATGTCATTCATCTAGTACTATAAATTATTAATGAATCGTGAAAAAATGAAGCTAATATCAGATCAAAGTGAGAATATAAATTAATGAAAATTTGTACAAATTAATTTAAAAATGGCATATTTTCTTAGAACAAATAATTTCGTGTCAATTTAAATAATTATATCAAAAATAAAATTAACATATTACTTAATCTTTTACGAAAATAATAATAATAATAAAAAGTATAAATAATCAAAGATACAAATATAAACTTATTTACATACTTATGTACATAGTATTATTGCTTCAATGTTACAGCATTGATAAATGGATGTCAGGTTTCCACCAATATATCCAATCTAACCCAGCTTCGTCATACAAAATTCAATTAAATTTAAGTATTCCACCCTAAAATAATAAATACTGTAATAATTACTTAAAATATTTTTGTCACTTGAAAACTTTTATATTGTGTGATTTTAAATTTCAAATTATAATAATGCCCTAAATTGTATCAATAAAAGAATGTGAAAGATTTAATATACTTACAATGCTACTTCATGGCGAGAGTCTGTTTAAGATGACGTATGAGATGACTACCAACATCATGTACTTCAGGCCATTGCTTTAGCACAAATACTATGCCAAGCACAACAAATGTAGTTGTTAATATACGCACCCTACACATGAAACAATGAGGCTTAGTACAGCTGTAACAAACATGCGAAAACAAAATAGAATAATGAATGAGCAAAATAATGAAATTATAATCTGATATTATATGGTATGAAGATGAATGAAATTTAAGAATAAAAAATCATAATTTAAGGAAAGAAAAAGAAAGATTATTGTATATTGGTATTTTCTTTATATTGCACATTATTGTGCAATTATCTGTTAAAATGATAAGAACATAAAATATGTGATTTAAATACTTCACATTGATAAATAATTCATTGCTAGAATGAAAAGAATAAAACAAAAAGACAAATTATTTTAATAATATCTTACCTAGTTCTGAGGAAAGGCATCATAATACCAGCACCTGTTGCAACAAGAAGCAAAATAACTTGCAATACGGTTAATACTACATTTATCAATTTTACAACCAATGCTCTCGCATTGCTATTATCTAAACCCTCCAATGTCACATATTGCTGATGCTGTTGTTGTTGATGTTCCATCTTACAGATCTTAGTTTGACAACTCTCCAACATCTCGTGTATATCACGTAGTCTATCCTCGCTTTGATATTGCACTTTTTCTTCCATATCCGTGATAGTCTGCTTCAAGTTTTCTACTTCATTTTGATGTAGTTCTGTTAAATCGTTAATTTGTTCTTCCAAACGTTCGCATCTGAAACGTTCTTCTTGGAGGGAATGGGAAAGATATGTCACTTCTTGTTGTAATGTCTAGGTAACAAAAAAATATAGCTTTATATTTATATTGTTGTAAAATTACAATTTTTATCTCACATACTTATATAATCTATTTAAAATATTTAAAATATCAGCTCAAATGTACTGAATGCATCATAATTGAAATTGAATACAAACCTTTAAACTATCTAATTTTTCCCTCATTTGATCAAGATTTTCCCGATGTTCTTGTAGTTCTGCGAAAATAGATTTGAGACTCAAGGCTGCATTATTAGTATGACAAGCATGCGGCTGTCCTCTACTACCAGGACCGCTTTCACTGGTCACGCTAGAACACTCGGATCCTTCCTCGGAAGGGAATTTCATAGCCGCTGCGCTTTGAGTAGATCCTAGACTGCATCCACCAGGAAGCGTGGCTGAACCATGATGAGTTTTGTCTTCTTCAACGCTAGCGTTATCACCATTACCTGCATGCGGTGTATCGTTTACATAAAAAGTCGAGCCATCTGTAGAGACACAGAGGTGGCAAGTTAGAATGTTATCCAATACCAAAGAGTTTAGCCTTTCGAGAAATGAAAATTATTTTTCTAAGTTATGTTATTTAGTTAATTTCCTTACATAAATAAGATGCATAAATCGCTCTTTTTATTACTTTAGATAATTGTTAAGAAGCGAAAAATTTTTTTATTTTATTATAATAGTATATAACACAACTTTATTTTTATAGATTATATATTTTAGCATTATTTTTTAAGTATTGGATAACTGATGGTAACTAAAGAAAGACAAATACATAATTACAGAAAAAGCCACTGCAAATTATATATCTCACTACATAATAAAATAATATTAAAATAAATATATGCAACGTAAAAGATAAGATTATATTAAAAAATTTTATTGAAATAGAAAATTAATAAGCAAAATATTTAAAAGTAAGAAATATATTATCTAAATAAGATAATTTTTAATATCAAATACTTAAGATACAGAGTGATATTGTTATCAATTATTCAATTTTATAAAGAAGATAAAAAGCTTGAAACAGAGCCGAAAAAAATACAAATACCATGTGCAAGAAGCATATAATAAAGTGTAATAGAATTCTTTCGCCCCTTGAGCAACACATTACTTACTACTCTCAACTGCCATGATAGCAAAAATGTTAATAAAATATTTATTTTTTTCTTATTTCAAGATATTTTATATTTAAATAAATATTTAAAAAACATGTCATTTTTATATTGTAAAAATTATATAAAATTTATTTTTTAATAATTAAATAGAATATAAATAACATATGTAATGTTTAAAAAAAAATATATGATAATGTATAATGTTTAAGAAAATGTATTACTCTGACCCAATTCTTTTTAACCAAATGCTATAGCATATGAATAAATATGATTTATAGTTAATTATATTTATTAATTAATATACTATAGTTATTAGTTAATAATATTTTATATGTATTGTTAATAATATTTATATATATATATATATATATATATATATATATATATATATATAAATGTTATAAAATTCACTAGAAATTTATTTGTCACTTACGTGATAAAGTATTTATGTTATCAGCACTTCCAAATTTATTTTTAATAAGATGAGCAAACTCTCTTGGTTTAGACATTACAGTTCTGCAATAGAGAGAACATGATTATAGATGTAAATAAGCACAATATTATTATATAATATCTTTCGTAAACTTTAAAAAAAAGTATTTATTAATTTTAAAAAAAATGTATTTATTAATTTTAAAATGCAATATATATGTATGTGTGATAATAATGGCAACATGATTCTGTGATGAATCAACCACATAAGAATATAGTTTCACCACATTTGGTATGGGATCTATTTTTACATGAATATTTAGGTATGGGATCTATTTTTAAATGGAAACTCACCCTGAAAAACCAGTGATTCCATCCCTTATGTTTCCTCCCACATGTCTGAAATGCAAATCCAAATTAGCCAAAGATATTATTTTTAATATTTTTAATAAAATATAATAAAACTTATATGAACGTTTCTTAAAAAAAAAAGATAGACATTTTTCTTTAGATATTTCTTAAAAAAGTGACACATTCGTACTTAAAATAATTATCTATTTAACTCACTTAAGTCCTTGTCCCATATCACGTAACATTTCTCTCGGTTGTCTGTGACTCGTGGGTGCGCCATTCATTTCATAATTTCTCAATTTTTTCATATAACTGTCTAGCTTTTTTTGTAATTGTGAAATACTATGCGCCGATTTTTGATTCTTCTTCTCAAATACCGTTTTAATCCTAGTTAACTGCTGTTTGTCTGCATTAGCAGCTAATTTTAAATATTCATTGACGTTTTCTATAAAGATCAAATAACATATAATTTGTGTGTATAAATAATACATATCAAAACAGAAGAAAGTTAAATCTTTGTACATTTACTTAAATTAAAAAATATTTACATACCATCCCGCGTGGTTTGTTCTATTCTTATTAACTCTCGCGTCTTAGCGATTTTACTTTGTATATGTTCAATAGCTTGACGAACTCGTGCTGCGCTGGAGTCAACATCGTCGGCTATCAATTCAGAAGAGCCATTCGATAGGAACGATTGCGTTGTATGGTACTGTTCCTAGAAACATTAAGTACATGAATATCACATACACATGTTATATACACAAATTATTTAAAGATATAAGATATAAGATGTAAAGATATAAGGTATAAGATGTAAGTCACATATAATATTAAATATAAGAACATGTTTTTTAAAAAGACAGAATTTCAACATACTATTGTAGAAGCAAATTATTTTTAAAAAATTGATCCAAAAAAACTAATTCTTTTTTCTCTGTAGTAAGAGATTAAATAAATCGCAACATTTTTATATTAATTTTGAATAAATAATCTAGATATGAAACTAATATAATTTTACTGAAAATATTATGTGCATATTAACTAATAATTTAAATAATATGGTTAAATAATATAGCCACGACCTATGACCTGACTATATATAAATGCTTGATAATTCATCCTTGAGACTAGTGCGTACACAATATTATGTAACTCTTTTTATGTAAGAATGCAAAGTCATGTTACATATTCAATACACATATACATTAAGCATGAAGAGTGATAATTTTTCTGCCCATCATTGATGTAAACGTTTATTATCTTGTACAGTGCTTTATTAAGGAATAGAGATATTTGTTCAAATTCTCGAATCAATGAAAGTATTTTATATATACATACTCCTTCATCATCAGTCGGTGGGTGAATATTTGGCACAAACTCCTCTGGTTCGGCAGTGTTTGTAGTATTACTTGGTTCATCCATAGCATCTCCTGTGCGAATTAAATTTCCTGGTGATCTTTGTCTACTGCTCTTCATGCTGAGGCTACTTCCAGCACCACCGCCACCACCACTACTTCCACTGCCTGTGCTACCCTCCCCTGCTTGAGAGCTAAAACATATATTTAATAAATTAATTATATTTTCTAAATATTTAATAAATGTCATTTCTATTTATTATTTCAATTTCTTTAATTTTTCAAATTGATATTTACAACATATTAATATTAACAGAAATTATTAGACACAATAATATTATACGCAAATATATATATATATATATATATATATATATATATATATATATAATGCTCTAAATGGTTTTAAATATTAAATATAACAAAATATTAAATATACAAAAAATATCTATAACTACATATATTGTTTAATGGAATCTTACATTGAAACATTACGTAATCTCGAAGTATGATCCAAGCTCACTGTTGATGGCTGTTGATGTAGTTGAGATGTCGAAGGTGTTCTACTAGGAGATCCACTGCGCGAGCTGTTCTTACTAGAGGTGTTCACCATCAAGCTTGCCATGCCTTCCTTTCGAGAAAGTTATCATCTATCCTTTGTTCTATTTATCACTCTGTTTCAGCAAGTGCCTCATTGAACCTAGACAAAGCAAATTATATAAGTATTACAGGAAAATTAAGGAATAGTAGCATAATTTTAATATAATTAATACAATAAAATCTCTTATTAATCAATTTATTCTAAAATTACATATTCAATAAACATCAATATTTAATCATTTTAAGTTGAAAAAATTGAAAAATAAGATTTCAATAAATAATATCAAGAATTAAAGAATTGACAATCTAAGAAATTCATCATTCTTTCTAGTATTGTTAGATAAAAGTCAGTATCAATAGAATGTATCTGTCTTATGATAAGCTTTATCTTGTTCTTACAGTTTATTATGATTCATTCAAGTTTTTTCTAGGAATAAGCTAGTGATGAAATAATTTCAATTTCAGAGAATTATTCCTCAGTACATATATAATTTTATTTTATTATTAATATAATTTTTAATTTTCTGCATTGTATAAATATTAAATTACATTAAATTAAATTAAATTTTTTTTTATTAATACAAATACTTTTTAATATTAATTTTCTGAGATAATATATTGTATATTTCTTTTATTATATATATAAAACATAAAGCATAAAACGAAACAAACATCTCATTGTGCCAAACCCCTATATGCCCATCTTAAACAGCAATTTTCTCTCTCTAAGAGGTTACATTATCTAATTTATACTTTAAATATACATTGAGCGCAGTCTGTGTATCTAAATTTAGAATATAGGATGTGTCACAAAGAGATATGTTAAAGATAAATCCATGTTTAATTTACAATAACAATTATTTAACTCTACTTAATGCGTAAATAATAAAATAGCACAAAAGCATTGTTAGAGCTGTTCATACATTCAAAAAATTTGTACAAAATTTTTGAAAATCTTTCTAACTGAGTTATATTAAGAAAAAAATCTTTTACATAATATTAATATTATATTTCTATATCATTAAAATTATAAATTTCTATCTTATATCATTATGATAGTAAAATGAAATTTTCCTCTCATTGCAACAAAGAAACAATACATAAATATTTTTTCTAGTGTTGCTTTTAATTCACTCTGATTGAATGAATCAATACTCTAATCATAGCTGCTATTATATTATTATGATTGATATTATCATAACTTTGATTAGTCATATAGATCTTGAATTAAGAATACGTAGTAAACAACATGACACATTTTATCATGGACTATTGTCCAAAGGATATGTAGCTTTTTAAGGTACTATATTCTCGTTCACCTTGCTATTTAGTTCTATACATATATATATGTAAATCAAGTTTTATGTGTATGTATGTGTATATGTTTTATGTGTACCATACAAGAACATGATTTAGAAAACTAGAAAACTTCAAAATATGAGAATTTTGAGAATAAAGAAAAATATTCTATATATTAAATACTTATTTATTCTATATATAATTCTATATATTCAGTATTTAAAAAACTACATAAATATAATAAAAACTTTCTCTTAATTCAAGAATGGGAAATCAGGAATGCGAGCGATTAAATTTTAGAATGTTCGTCGAATCTGTCATTCATCCGAGCGACACAAAGAAATGCTTGCGTTCGTTACCTCGATATAAGATAAACGGAATTAAACTTGCCGATTATGCGATGGATGAAAGTCTCGACGATGTTCCTTTTAAACCAAGAGTAGCTGTGATTACACATTTAACTGCACACTAAACTGCACAAACGTACACGACGTAGTAAAGCAGAAAGGTGATACACTTTGCATGACACACAATAGGACGACGCAGGACGATTGTGAGACGTATTCGAACAACTTTACTTTTGCGTTACTCGACGCCAATATTAATCCGAAATAAATGCGAAGTCCACTTCGCTCTCCTGTCAAGAGAACGATTTTGTTTGTGCACGTTCCGTGAACCACAAAGAAGCGTGCAATGGTATTGATGCAAAACAGACAGGATCCGTATTAAGTAGCTCACGCATTTATAGGATCGACAGAACAACAATGTCGATTTCTCGCTAAGCTCTCTCCTTCTCTTACGTTACAGGTTGCGTTCCTGTAAATATTAGTCACAATTAATAACTCAATTATTATCTCGTTCCTTTCTAGTTCCGTCATTATAAAGAAAGTGGAAAATTAATCGAATGTAGAAAGTATTTATTAATATTTATAGGAATGGCTCGATATTATTTTTACTTACGATTTCGCGAAAGAAATCTCTTTACAAAATTGACCAAAATTATTTTTATCAAAACTACATCGCCGGAAACGATACACCTAGTATTTTTACTCCGATATAATCGAAAGAGGAAAAAAAAAACACTCGAGCTAAGCGCTAATGTACGATCGCGATACACGTTAATTAGTCCCATTTAAACTAAAGCTAAAAGCCCACTTATTGTTAGCTTAGCTAAGTTTCTCGCCACCACGACGCCAGGCTCTATTTGTGTTATAACTCCGTTTTTGACACAGGATGATAGAATTCGATTTGGCAAAGGGAGCAGTAGCGCCGAACGCGATGTTGTCGCAACCAGGTCTATAAATGCGACTCCCCGCGTTCATTCGCACTGCGACTCGCTGCCGCGAGTCCAACTGTCACAGACAGGCACAGATGATTTCACAGAGAGGGAGATCGCGCGGGGTTGTGTACCAGCGGACACGTTCAGCGCGCGTGATGGGAATATTAAATACGAGGCTGTGTCAAACTGCGTCTCCTCGCGAAACTTTCTCCGCTTGTCGGAAACAACGCGCGCATGAATGGAAATCGGACGGGTGTATTCGACGCGTGAGTACATCGTCGTCGAAAGGAGGCGTTTCCTAGAAACGAGCCTGACCGGCCGTCGACCCTCTCGAACCGACAAAATTTCTCCTCGAGAGAGAGAGAAACACGAGGGGAGTGTCGAGGACGCGCGATCTGTCAAAGTTACCTCGCGACTCCGAGGGGCTCTCGTCGAACGAACAGCTGTCTGTCAGCGCCTGTCGCGAGCAGTTTGACAGGCTCCGCGTCGTCGAGATCGCAAGCAACGCGCAAGAAGTCGACTCCTCGCGATCCGCTCACCTCGTCGCTCGACCAGCCTACGACGCGACCTCGGCCGCACCGATGCGCGATCTATCGAAGTGCAGTAGCATCGGACGACGATGACTGGACTGGACTGGACTGGACTCGCTGCGTGTCCTCGTAACAACTGTCGTTGCGTCGTCGCTCGCCTGGACCGATCAGGACCGATCTCGGCGTCCTCGCGACCACGACGGACACGCAGCAACACTCGTCGACTTGCACCGAGCTCTCTCTCTCTCTCTCCCTCTTGCTCGAACGTCACTTTGCAGGAAGGTGCAAGGTGCAACCCACCGCAACCTCGGGCTCGGGTACGCGCGCACCGAGCGACACGAGCGGCAAGACTAGTCGAGACTCGAGACTAGTCACGCTACTCACGTTGCTGTCGCGAATGTTGCGATAAGGACGGTGTATTAAATGACCGCGGACCGCATGAGTGGCTGCGGGAGCCCCGATGTCTCCGGTGGTCGATTTCACTGAGACCAAGATGCTGTTAGGTAATCCTCGAGCATTGACGCGAAGACGAGCGAGACAATACTCTTGTGAAATTGAAATAAAATTCTTGCGGGAGTCATTGAAGATATACATCTGACTGACGTGTATACAATACATATATACGTCTTTGCATTTGACTGTGTATCTAGATATTCGTATCTCGAGATGTTATCTGACAGATAGATGGGTTATAAATATAGATGGGTTATAAATATTAAAGATTAATATAGTTATTATCATAATAATTTAAAAGATAAATAAAGCAAGCTGCGTGATATTAAATTATAATTACTAGTCAGTATAAAAAAAATGTTTCGGTTCCTTTGATCACGATACACGAATAGCTAGATGTGCTATGGAAGCATTCGTTTTAGAAGAGCCTAATTTATATCTAGGAAGACATACGAGGCCTTTAATTTCCTTTTAATGCACGGAATTTGAGCTCTCGAAAAACACTGGTATTTATAAAACAACAAAGTAAAAAAAGCTATAAATCTTAAAAGAGGCAGTCGCATAACTTCATTCTTGAGCGCATACAAATTTGACAAAATAGCAAATGTATTATGTAGAGTGTATTGAAATGTGAATTTTAGTCACATTTAAACGAAATGGTTTTGCAAATGAATGAGTAATAACGTATTCGAAAACTATTCAGAGAATATAAAAGCTTATGCAACCAATGGAATATAAATAAGTTTCTTTTTCTTAGTGACAAGATTAATATTTTTCATATATGCATATTTATATAGTATTTATATATATGGTTTTTGTATATAGAATTTTAGCTTATATAATTCTTAATAAGATTTATTTTTATTTTTTCATTTCTTCAACAATCTCTAAAATGTCTTTTTTTCTTTGTAAAATTATTGTATTCCAGTTTATATTAAAATACCGATGAGGAATAATATACATGATAAGATGGATGCGTCAGTATGTTTTGTAAGGTCGCTGATTAACTCAAGAATATCATAAAATTATTTCGCGGAAAATGATAAGAACGATACGAACTTTCGTAGAACAAATTGACTCTTGATAAACATTTATTACAATGTATAACTTTTAAGTCTGTTTAATTTAATTGTATTTATAACTAATATTTAAGTTATATTTACAGTTTATTAGAGACTTTTCTTTCCAAAGAAAAAAGAAAATAATTGCCTAAAATGCTGTCGTTCATTAAATAATTTATTTCTGTTATTTTTATCGAGTTTTTATAACTTCTTTATAATAATATTAAAGAGAAAATCAATACCAGTTTTTTATAAATAATTATATTTTTCTGCATATTTGCACTTGAGAAAAATATAGCTTGTTCTTCTCTGTTCACAAATATAAAGAGGAGAGAACATTTTATTATATAATAGCAAAAGAGCAAAAAGAGAATCTAACAGGATGTAGTACGTATATATACTTATCTATTAATTTTTGTTCCGGCCATTTCTGACATCGAATCGATATGCGATATCACTTCGTTATCAGAATAATTAAACTGCAAAAATATACAAAAATTTATATTCCTCAGAAATATCCTGTAACCCTAATCACACATAGATAATAACAAATATCTAAAAAAATTTTCTGAGAATCGATTTTATGAATTGTCAGCATGATTATCGTGTTTCTAAATCACGGGATATAATGACTATATAATGCAGGTACTTGAAGACGCATAATTAATTGCGGTTAATCCTAACCTATCAATAAAAACGACACGTGCGTTTCCGCTCGCAGCTTCGTACAAAGTCTATTGTCGATCGTTTAGTTCCTTCAGTTTATCCAACAGCGAGTTGCCGAAGGAGTTCCTGTACTGTGGACTGACGAAGTCCAGGAGGCTGTAGGGCGTCTCGAAGCGCTGGTTACCCGCGTTGGAAGTGTCGTCGTGTCGGTTGCCAACGATGGCGAAACCGGCGGCTGACAGTTCCACGCAAAATCGCAGATCCTCCAGCGTCGTCAGGTTCAGGTAGATGACCTGATTCGTGCTGACCAGCCGCTCTGACACCCTCAGGTCCCGCACGTGTTTCTTCACATCGTTGATGACTGCCTGCGCCTCCAGACGCCACTGCTCCTGGTCGAGAACTCGAGCGTCCGCGTCGTCCGGCATCTTGCTTCCTGCTGCGAGAATTGCAAAGAATCGCGACTCTTTCTTATCCATGCGACTGAAAAATGATGGGTCTAGATTTTGTTGTTATAGACAACAGGAGAAACAAAATCTCTATATATTCCCCTATATATCTTATATATATATATGTTGTCTAATGTCTGTTGCATTTCCTTGATCTTCCATCTTCTCTTTTTGTTGCATATAAAAGTTTGTTTGAAAATATAAGTGTCAACAAATTAGATGAAAAGATGTACGTTACACACGTTCAATTCTACATTGATGTATGATTTTTATATTAATTAACAAGATGTGATTAATATTGAGAAATCTTAATCTATTATATGCATTTAAAGGTCTAACAATTGTTATAAACATAATATATTTTAAATATTTTTCCATAATTTGCCATAAAGTTCTTGAATGAGGAATAAATATTCCTTCTATTTGTTGTGTATACTTAATATATATATTTTACATTTATTAAAAATATTTGTTTTAATGGTATACATGGTGTATTGTTGGCAATCACATATATTAATTGGAAGTTGATAAAAATGGATACAACTAAATGAGCATTTGTTTATAATATCATAAACTTATTATCCCGTTTGTGCAAATAATTGTCTTTTTACAAAGAGGCAGCTCACTGTTCCACTTCATGTGTCTCATCTATGCTCAAGTCACTTAAATCTTCTGCCCAATCATTATCATCAGGCTCCTCCAAAGTAGCACTTAAAGTTTTTACATCAAACATGCTTTTCGGTGATTGCACTTCTGGAATATGCAAGACCTGCGTCTTCTGTATCACAGGTTCCATATCTGTAAAGAAATCAAATTCTTCCTTTGGAGATTTTATTACCTTTGAATTCTTTATATCAAGCTCTGTGATGTCGGAAATTACTAGTTTCTTTGTATACTTTGTTTTCATAGTACTTGATGACGGTGATTTTGACAAGGGCGACGATGATTCCGCATCATCAGTAATGTTTTGCAATTCCGTCTGCACGGTATTTGAAGGAGCTTCTGTTATGTCACAATGATTATTTCCAATTGCTGTTTCTTGCGTTTCCCAATCCGACCAAGTGCTTTCCTCTTCGGTGAATGCAAATTCTTTTTCCCTTTTATCCTCACCACCGTCCGGTGATGGTCTCTCTGATAAATGCACATTATTTTCATCTATATTCACAAAAACTGGTATTTCCTGCGCAAATGTTAAACCTTTTCTAACATCGACATTTTTACTATGAGTTATTATCTTATTTGGTCGACCATCTGTAAATAGTTTCCCCCGGTTTCCACCAATAACCGCCGCTGCACCCAAGATCGGTACTACATCAGCTAGTGCCCTTAATGTAGCACAGACAAGGTCGTCATTGGTGTCCTTTATCCCGACAAGTAATTCAGGAAGAATGTGGTTTTTGAGTTCTTCTGGTTCAAATACATGTACAAATGAATTGAAATGGGACAACAGTAACAAACGGATAGAAACATCCCGAATGCAAAATATTTGCAAAAGTCTTGGTACTAGAATACTCTTAAATGTAGAAACTGTAAATAGACTAGTCCCCAAATCGTTTTTCTCATCTGTAAAAATCAAGCATTTTATTAGACTATTTGTTTATTTGAACTCAGACATAATCATATGTATTGCACAATTATTATGATAATGATAATAAAGATTTTGATAATATAATCATAATAAAATATGTTCTAACCTTTGGGTTTAAAAATAAAAGGTAAAAGTTTTACTTGGGCAGTGCTATCCAACAAAACAATTCTAGAAAGAAGTACTCTGCCTAATTGTTCAGCAACAATAGCCTCAGGATACATTTGTAGCTGTTGCCTCAACTTCCTATAAAGAATAATGTTTTTGATATATTATTTTTCTCTTAGACAGAATACATATTTATTCATATTTTTTTCAAATATTTACTTACGTGAAAAATTCTTCCCTTTCAATGTCAGTTTTTAATGGTAATTCTTCTAGAAATGCATGTATTCTTATAAACTCATGAGTGAAGAATGAATGTTGCAGAACATTCAGTAATCTACTTCTCAAACATGGATCTGAATTTTGCAGATTTTTTTTACAAAATTCCCTAAATTCTGATAAATTTAATGCTTCATCTAAAATTATACACTTGACATGAAATTTAAAATATTATAACACTGTGTATGCATACCATTTGACATGAGCACAATGTCCATAATATATAATTTTCAGTGTTTGTTTACCTGTATCTTGTAAGTTTTTTAAAATATCTTCCGCCAATATTCCAAATGCATATGAATCAATTGAAGTTAGATTAGCGGATTTAATTAAATCAGCTATGTCTTCGTTTGGTGATATCGCTTTTTCATATCTGTAACTTTTTATCCTTTGATAATATGTTGTTGTCGCATCTGCCAATTTACATAGGCATTCTAATCCACCCAATTTCCAATATCCTTCCGCAGTAACATAAATAGAGCTACTGCATATATTGTTATGCAATGCCAATGCAGTTTCATGTAGAAATATTAAAGCTCGTAGAATACTGTGCAAACCGATACATATTTGTAATATATTCTGTTTCTCAATAACTTGAATCAATGGTCTGACTTCTTCTGTGGCAAGAAAAAACTTGCTACCTTTGTTCCATGAGGAGATGTATTTCAAAATACATGGATGTCGATACAACATGAAATTCTAGAACATAACACTTTAGATTCATATCTAACATTCGTATCTCTAATTTCAGTTTAGTTAATATGTATAATATCCCAGGATGTAACAGGATGACGTCTTCAGACGTCTTAATGATGTACAATGGCGTCATTAAAACGTTATTAAGATGTCATTTGATGTCACTCTGCTACCTGGGATGTATATATATGTACATATAATAATACAATGTACATATATAGTCCACATTTAAAAATTATGAATTTTACTTCGAACAATTCTCATTTTGTCAAATGAATAAAACATTTAGGAAATATTCTTCTGTTACATTTTTTATAATGTGGAGTGTGAGAAAATCCCTTATCACTCATAAAATAAATAAGGATTAACCTTTGCTGCTCGTTCTAATGGTGATGGTCTTCTAAATGTTGCTGTAAAATGCAAGGATGGTTCGCTGATAAAGATCGACAGTTTTTGTAGGTTCGAATCGTGTATACTCGCATCATAATGCATCCAATAATCTGTAACTTCGACGGCCTTATCTTCGATTTCAAGTCCACGTAGAACACTTTTTTCGTTCCCCATTAGTTAATTGACATATACGTTCTTTAAGTTGTCAGTTATGTCAAATGTAGGAAAGGATTCTTCAAGAATATCATGAATATGAAGCTAGAGACTATGAATCCCATTTGATTTATAACTTCCGTCTCAACAGCTGACACTAACAAAATTTCCACTGACAGATGTTGAGAGATTTTGATAACATAAATTATACTTCAAGAAAATATGTCAGCCGAGTTGGGTTAGAGCAGGCACGATCGACCAATTACTGTCAAGTATTTTTCTTTTTTTTTCATGCTTCCAGCAAGGTAAAAGGTTAGATCGAGGAAGATATTCGATAATGATTAATCGATTAGTTTCTTATTCTTTATCTCAAATATTTTATACATTATAAATCAAATATTTTATACATCTCCGATTCCAGCTTAACGAATTCAATCGTTCAATCATATATTTTGATGAAACAGAATTAATTCTGTTAAAAATAAATGCTCTGAATTCTTTACTTTCCTATATTTTATAAGAACTATATTTTCTATATTTTATAAGAACTCGTATTTTTGTATGAAAAATATAAAGATTTTTTTTTATCGAATCAAGAAATTATGCATTGACTTAACTTTTTTATTTGTATTTGGTCAGAATTCTTTTCTTATATTTTCTTGTTTAAACAAAAAAATATATCTCATACTTTTGTCATCATTAATTAGTTTTTTTTATTGGTCAAACAATGATTAAAGATTGTTTTCTCTTTGTCATATACATATATTGCACGTATATCTATTTTTACCCCAAATATGCATTTCGAGATAATTGCTAATTTATTTAATACTTACCACTATACTATTCAGCATATATTTTCAACTTTCAAATATGACAATGTGCATGCATTGATTTAATCTTCACAAAAGACAAATATTTATTTCTTAAACCAATCATGCTGTCTTTTTAACTTGGTAGAAATTATATATTATATACTTTTTTCAAGATATATTTTTATGCATTTTATGTATTTACTATTGCGCATTTTTCTTAGCAGCATTAACATTAAAATATTAAGTAAAATTGTTTTAATTATTAAAGAGAAAGGAAATAAACATTTCAAATTCGGCTGATTTGTATGATATTCAATTTGTTGATTAATATTTATCAGACATTTATCTAATAGAAATATATTACTTCGGCCAATATACATTTTGCACTTCGTTTTATTAATTTTTTTCATTTCCGCACTTATATAGTTTTGTTGGGTTATATTAATTAATTGTATAAATTAATAGTAGCAAAGTGCCATTTACTATTTTATTTTCACGATTTAGCACGTAAGTGTATAAGTAATATTTGTCATATTTCTAACTACAAATATAATTACAGGCGCCCTGTGATAGGTCTGTCGTATTACTTTTATAAGTTTTCACGCGTTTGTTTTAATACCTAGAACATTAAATATATCAGAAAACGTACAAATTTTCGTCTTTTTACAATAAAATATCAACATTTACAATATTGCCATCGACAATAACGATCATATACGATATTAGAGAATAACTTTTCACTTGCTAAGAAAAAAACCATGATAAACGCATAAAAAATCCGCAGAAACGATATTCTCTAATAAACAAATAATCGCATTTCGATAAATTAAAATCGCGACCCTAGAGTAAAAATTATTTATATATTAAAATATTTTAGCACACACATATCATAGGAGAGACTATTGTAATACGACAGACCATCAGCTTGGATCTATATACTGTGATATAAACAAAATCCACTTCGCATTTAAACTACATAATGAATGTTTTTAAACAGATTTTAATATTTTCAATAAAATTTTTCGAATACCCTATGAGAGAGGCATACCCATACAATTAAACATACTTTTTCATTTACTTACTCTTTTTAGCTTACTTTCTTCACCTTCATTATCCACTGAGTGTATACACGTGCAATAATTATAAAATAATTAAAATAACAATATAAAATAATAATAATAGCAGTCGTACTAATAGTAAAAGTGATAATTGCAGCAGCAGCAATAGCAGGTGATAGTGATAGTAATAGTAATAGTATGTTTAATAATTATTAATATAAAGAAATAATCATAATTACAATGACGGTGATGGTACTAACAAGAGCGACAATAATAGTAGTAAATAATGATAATAATAATAATATTAATGGTATAACTAATATAATAACAATAATAATAATAATATTCAACAAATGATAGCAATAGCAGTAGCAGGAACAACAATAGAGTATACAAGTACTAATATAAATTGATAAGGATAAAATAACAGCGATCATCCAGCAACAATAGCAATGGTAATAGTTATGATAACAATCATTTTTTTCGTAATGTGTATGTAATAGTATATTAGATAAAATAAACCAAAAGGTCATAAAAAACCACAAGTAACGATGATAAAAGAATCGATAAAAATCATATAGACATTCTGTTAAAAAATAAGAATATGATATAATTGTTTGTCAACACTATTACAACTGCTGCTGTTGCGATATGCTTACTACCACTATTACTAACATCATGTGCAAAATTATCATTATCATTAGAGCTATTATTATTAATACTATCATTATATATCGCGTATTTACTGCACAAACACCAACTATCACCACTGCTACTTCTACTCTCCTATACTACTGTTACAATGCTGCTGATAATGATCCAGTTGCTGATGATCAAAGTGGTAATCGCGCAAAGAGCCATCGCGATTTATGATAGAGAACTTGATTCTTCAGTATTCGTATCATGCTCTAATAAGTATAGTCAATAATTATATTTATAATATAAATGTGTTTTTTTAAGCATTGAAATTCTGATGATTAAACAAAATTTCAATATATTTATATAAAAATACATGAGGGAATCATGCACACAATTGATGACGAAAGTTAGGGAAAAGTTACAATAGAGAGCACACCGAATACGAATACTAGAAAATCAAGACAACACAAGAGAGAAATATTTACTACTGTTTTTTTATATTTTTTTCATGATTCCAATAGTTCTCTTTTTTAATATTATATATATTACCCCCGTATTACTTGGCGAGATTTCACGAAATACTCATTTCTTTGTAACACGAGAGGAATTGTGTAGCCTCCTAATTCGAGTGTCGTGGCTTCGCCATTATGTCGATTTACATATTACACACATCTTTTAATTTATTTTTTAAATTCCCACAATGTTTTAGAGAAAAAATGTTTGGGATAAAAAGGAATAAAATTGCTATTTTCATCGTCTTTCTTAATCGATATTTTCTAAATTCATTGAAGTGTTAAATTTTTAACAAGTCTACATGTGAAGTGTCTTCTCTTTCTCTAATACATGTTTCACTATTCATACAGACATATCACGAATACATGAAAAATTTTCAGAGTTCAAGAATAGTGGTCGTCGGCACGACTGGCAGTATATTTTGTTTTTGTTGAAAATTAACATCCTATCTGTTTCAACACCTTAGGTTTCTTACGAAAACCGGGCAAAATGGGCATGGCCACACTGTCTCTTTGCTGAATAAATCTTGCAACGACGGGCTCCTGTGAATACTACTATTTATTTTTCATGAGCTTTATCTTTATAACAAAGCTTTAACTGCAACGAAAGCAGAGAATATACAATCCTTTTTTTTCATACGTTGCGATAGTAGTAGTTTAGGTTGCGATTCGCTTGATTCAACATAATCTTTCTAAACGTGAAAAGACTCGACGTAAGACTCGACGGTAAGACTCGACGTAATCCGCCATATTCAGCTTTTCACGCTTCACAAGCAGTATCTTATATATCTAATGATTGAAACTCGTTGTGAATAAAGCCAGATCATGATGATTTGTGCAATATCTATCAACAACGGATTCCTATTCCGCACGAGTTTCACCATGATCTCGCATCATCGACAAATATACATATAGAGTTTTTCCTTGTCGCGATACATAGGGATGTGACATAGTCATGCGTAGATCCAATTCATGGATACACAATCATAATCGATAAGTAAATCCAATTTTCATTGTTTGAATAAACGGAGGACTTTATTACCGCCGTTAATTTCAGTTCTTTCAATGCTACATACGAGATTGCAATAATTGTAACTTTCCTTTTGCTAATTGTTTCCTCTCTTTCGTTTTCCCTTTTTCTCACTTCACCTCCCTATCTCTATGTGATCAAGAAAACTTGCATCAGATGTCCTAGGTATCCTAGGATTCATTATCATTTGTCACAGATTGATCTGGGTATAGAGATATATCTATGTATATGTATATATATTTGAATATACATATATATATATATATATAATATAAAGTCTATAATTTTTTATCTCTCTTCCCACAGATACAATCTCATGAATTCTTAATACATAACGATACAGATATTTTGTTATCCGACTCGCATCTGTGATCGATTAGCTTTCACTCGACGACGACACATTTCTTCTCGAGTCAAATATTTAAACGTTTACACAGGACATTTTAAATGTGTCACTTTTTTCAAGCTTTTTGTAGCAGTATCAATCAACGCTCATGATTAACTCGTTGCTATTCTTATAAATATATATATTCAATATTATATTTAATAATGGAAATGCTTAATATAAACGTCTTTTCGACTGCATAAAGACGAAAAGTTTATATTGTTAAAACTAAAGAACGGGTAGAGGTGCGTATAAATAATGTTATCTTCTTATAAGTTTCCTTCTTTCAGCACAAAAATCAGATTTTTAATTCATCTATTTAACTGCTATAGTCGATTATATAAGCACGTGATTTCGTAAATAAACGAATTTCATTATGACACTGCGTGCTCCTTTTCTCATGATATAAAAAAGCACGTCAGTCTTTGCCCTTATTTTTTTCGACGAAATTATATCAAAGGTTTAACCAAAGAAAGATGTTTTCCACACAAATGGAAGAGCGAATGTATTCACCTTCACGTAAATATTCACGTATTTCACTCATTTTGCTGATTCACTTCCTCCTTATTATTATCACTATCTTGCTGGTTCACATTGGACTTATTACCTACAGACTGTGTTCCAGAAGGGCCATCATTCATCTTGTCATTATGATTATCAGTTTTGTCATTCGAATCCATTTTAACGTTTCCTAAAGAAAGAGATAATATAATTTTTAATTAAATATTAATTGTATAGAGAGAAGTATATATTTTTTGTACACATATTTGCACTTTACAAACCTTGCGGTGAATAATATTGTTGTTGCATCTTCATGCTACGTTGCTGCTGCTGCTGCTGATGTAAATTTGGTCTATGACGGTTAATTTGAGTTTGTTGCTGCTGTTGCGTTGGCATACAACCAGGCTGCTGCTGCGTAGGGTTATTCGGACCTGGTGCAAACGGTACTACAGGTCGCTGTATCGGAGGTGGGTAACGCTGTTGTGATGGTTGGATACCAGCACGAGGCGGCATACCCATACCACGTACATTCTGTTGCAAAACCTGCACGTTTATATGTAAGAGTAAATTGCAGAAGGTACATGAGTGATATGCCACTTTTCAAATATAAAACAGATGTTTTAAATGTTTACTGTTTAATTTTGTTATTATAGTATTAAGTTATATTTAAAAATTCTTTTATAAAAAAATTATCTTTGTATATATTGTATATTTATACCACATATATATAATAAAGATATACTAGATTTCAAAACATTATAATTAATTCTTATTTCTTTACTGGCAAAAAATAATTCTTGTACATTAATTATGTTTAATTTAATTTGGTAAGAAAAAGAGAGAGAAGAAATGCATGCATGATATATAAATGATAATTTTAATGAATAAATGGTACATACGTAGTTATTGTAGCTGCTTACCAGAGCAGACTGGCTAACGCCCTGATATTGTTGATACTTGTGATGTTGTGTAGGACTTGGCTGTGGTTGTTGCGACGAAGATTGTTGTTTGCAATTTCTCGATTTAGGTGATGGTATTTGAGAAGCTAGAATTAAAATCTTGTTTTAATGTAGTCCGAAGAAAACTTATTATCGAACAATCATTAAATTTTTTTAAAGAAAAAATTATGAATTTATCCAATAACTTCGATACTTTATATAAAGCTTCTAAAAAAATGCATCTAAAATACAAAATTATAAAAATTTTTTTATATAAAGTTATTTGGTTATTTTTCGTTGGCTATTTTTAAAATTGACGAACAAATGAATGATGAACTTACTCGAGCCAAAAACTGATGCAAGCACATCTTGTTGATTTCCCGATGGGCTCTTCAATTGTCTGGGTTGTTCCTGCGGTTGATGCTTACTAAGAAATGTAGGCGCCGCATTTCCTGGTCCTGGTAAGCCACCAGTGGGATTGCGAAATTGTTGAGCTGCTGCTGCTATTTGCAATCCTGAACTAGACAAAAAACTGGGACCATAGTTTTGTAGACCGACAGGAGTCGCGTTACCCGTTGCCAGACTTTGATTATGCTGGCCAAATCCTTGCAAACCGTAATGAGTTCCAGTTTGTTGAGTGGCACCGCCAGATTGGTAAAAGCCCGTTTGTGATCCAGGAAACACATCTAAACATTTTATTAAAATTGCAAATAAAATACATTAAATAAAAAATTACGTATACAATATTTAAATTCACGAATAAAAACGTTATATTTACCGGCAGATGTGGCGCTGTAGTAACTATTAGCAGATGCTTGAACATTTGGACCAGGTCTCTGTACTAATTGCGAATTGTTCAAATAACTGCCGCTTACACCAAGCACTTGATTTGGATCGTATGGTATATAAGCCAACTGAAAAAAAAAATGTATATTAATACTGTTAGATTTATTATTCTCACCAGAATAATTTTATAATGAAATCTCACTTGATTAGGTTGAGGAGCGGATGGAGTTTGGAAATGCGGAGCTTTAGTTCCGATAGCTCCGATTGGTTGAGATGATGGTTTCACGCTCGCCGACATCAACGAATTTGACGATGAGCTGATAAGTACTGTATTAGGATTGTTGCTGAGTTGTTGATTCTGTCCAAATGGGGGAGCAGCTGCCGCAGTCTATTAGGAGAAATTCAAAAGATTAATCTATCCATTTGAAATCTTTGTGTAATGAGAATTGAAAGCAGTTGTAAGAGAAATAAAATGCACGTACGATGCGGTATTGAGATAAGTTGTTTTGATACATTTCCGGTGTGGGAGCATTCGGTGCGTGAGGCGGCGGAGGTGGCGGTTGCTGCAGATATACATTTTGCTGACTAAACGAGCTCTGGAGAGACGGCGCGTACGGTGCGTACTGCGTAAACGGTGATCGGCTTTGATCCAATTGAAACGCTCCGTATAAACCGCCCGCTTGAGCCGGCAATTGACCCGAGCCTGTATTGAATAATACCGCCGGTGGCGACGGTATGGCCGACATGCTACCGTATTGCGCCGCTTGTGAACCAGGATATTGCGGGAACTCCTAAGAAGCAAAATAAAATTAATTTTTTTATTTCTATTCCGTTCTGCATATATCATTTTTTTTTTTAATAATAAATGAGAATAAGAACGCACCTGATAGTTTATGTGCGAGGGTTGACCTGTAGAATTGAACGGGGGTGGGCTTAGAGGACCCTGAAGACTAACAGGAGGATGACCGATAGGACTCTGACCGGCTCCGATGGGACTCGGTCCAGGCACAGTGGATCCTGGTTGCGTACCGCTGCTCCCCGAAGATTGTTGCTGCGGCTTCACCTGCGGGGGAACCAGCTGCGCATCAGGCAAAGAGTCAGCATTTTCCCACAAGGGACACTATATGTTTCAACATTAAGTTACTATATACATCATGTAAATAGCCATTTTCAACAAACACATTCATCGATTTTACAAAAGAATATCGTTCTTAGATTTGTTTTGAGAAAATCTGGTGAAAATGTGAACAGGTCCATTATACTCTTTATAATACACATACCTTGTCTTCTAACTGATATTAAAAGTTATAATTACAAAGATTATAATCACATATACATAAATGATGATGGTTACTGAGCAATAATAACTGCAATAATTACAATAACATTAACATAACGATGAGACACAATGATGGTTACTGTATTAAATCGTCTACTGATTATTGACAAGTGACTGAATATTCATCTTTGGCCAAAGAAGTTAGCCACTTACCTTTCTCATTTTCACCACACTTTTACTAGACAGAATTTTTTAAATAAACAAAAAAGTAAAATTATGGAGAAAAGCAATTAATTATGATAATAATAGTAATGATAACAATAATAATGCAAATAAAAATAAAAAATATGCTGGAGAAATTATTAGTGATAACAATTCTCTATTGCATGCACAGTAATAATAATAGCAAATATTCGCGAAATGATTTCTCACCTTGCACACATTTGTAGACGTCGTGATTTCGCTTTTCATATTGTTTTGATTGTATTGCTGATGCGGGCTGTAACTATCATCAACGTCGCCGCTTTCAAACGCCTGCGGGAAGCTGGTTGTGCTTCCGACCACACCGCTACCATCCTCGTGTTCGACTACAGTTGGCATCGGTGGCGCGTTCTCCCAAACTTTCTTCACAGATGCGATCTTCAGGTTAAGCTCCGCAGTTGAAGGCGATATCGTGCTTTGACCGCCGGTCATATGTATGGAACGCGGCATGCCTAAGCTCTTACTCTTGTCCTCTGTCAGTTGCGAAAGATCCGAATCAAACGTAAAGTCCAACTTCATGTCGGCACTGTCCTCGTTCTTATTAAATGACAATGGCATTTGAATAGGTTCCTGATTCTTATCCTTTATCAGATCATTCGGTTTATTGGGGAAAGCAACGGAAAGTGCTGGTTGCTGTGGGTGTTGCTGCACCTGACTGTTGCCTTCTTCTTCCATTTCCACGCGCTTTTCGGCTCGTTGCTGCTGCGTCTTAATGTGATTCGAGAATTTCGATTTCACCGCCAAATCTGTCGGTCCGGTCTTCGTAGTCTTTGAATAATTCGTGTTTTCGAAGATCAAGGTCTGTACGGGAGGCGAAGACACATCAGACACGACGTTCTTTTCCGTCAGGGTCTCCTTCAGATTTTTCACCGTTTTCTCCCCGCTCGGGGAATTTCGTTGGCTGCTATGTCCAGAATTAGCTTCATTACCTTCGTGACTGTGATCGTTTTGAGTTGTTAAACTCGACATTAGTTGAATATCCGTAGGAACCGCGGACGGAGAATTCGAACGCAACTGGCTAGTGAAAGGTTTATCCCAAGCATTGACCGCCGGCGGTGGCGCAGGATTGCTAGACGAGTCCTTTGCATAATTGTTTCCAGAACTATTCAACTTACTCATATCGCTCGCGTCGGTCGCGCACATTTGTTGTTGCTGTTGTTTCACCAGACGTTGGAAACGCGGAGCTAGTCTTGGATTTCTGGAATTTCTGTTGTCGTATTCCCGTTTCTGCGGTATGTTCGCCGGTTGAGGAATATTCTGACCGAGTAAGGGCGGAATATTTTGTACCTGTTGTTGCAAAGCCTGTTGCGATCCGTTCGACTTTGATTTCGAGCGATCGCGTTCGCGTTCCTTCTCTTTGTCTCTCTTAACTGGCTTCGCTTCCTCCTTCTGACTATGTCTTGATTCCTTCACGTTCTTCTTGGAACGTACTTCCTGAAAACCATCAGCATCTACTTTATCTTCCACCGCCGCATTCGCAGTGTCCTCAGCACAGCTGTTGGTTTCCATTTCCGAATCCATCAGCTTCTTATCTTTCGTTTGAGACTTTTTATTGAGATCGTTCAGCGCTTGATTCACGAGGTTCGGATCGGTTAATTTAATTTCATCGATACGATTAACCATACTATCTTTGTTACTCGACTTATTTGAGATTGCGCCGCTGTTAGTCGAGCTCTGACTTCTAGACCTTCCGCCGTTCTGTATCTGCGTGTTTTGCATCAAGGGCGGAATGCCATCGGAATTATGATTTTTTTGAGCGCCGAACCCGGCGTTCTGCAGATTCCGTTTCTCCGCTCCCGGGGCTCGTGATGCCGGATTGGAAGACTTGGGATTTTTCTCACGTTGCTCTCTGACATTCGTCGATTGCTCGTTCCTACGCGAATGCGAATTTGCGCCGATAGCATTTTGGTTTGTGGCTTGAATAGCTCGTCCACCGAAATGCTTGTTGCGACTATTACGAGACTCCTTGTGATCCTCTATATGCTCCTCGCTATTTTCCGACGTAGTTTCCCAATCCTCGTTGCCTACGTCCGATTGGGGCTGCTTCGATACATTACTGCTACTGCCACGCGAACGAACTTCGCGATTATCTCTTCCCTGAAACGCAAGAAATGCGCATTATTACATCTTTAAAAAGAAATATATAAATATGCGAAAAATATAATATCCAAGATATTTATCGAATTTTATATAAACTCAATTTTTTATATATAGTTTTATATTATGAAAATGTTCTATAAATTTGATTAAAGAAGAACGTAGATATAAAGTATTAGTAGAGAGAAATGAAGGGGAGATTCTAAGTCTATATGTATAAAATACTAGACTGCAACATATGTAATTATACATACTCTTCTGCTTCCACTACGAGTTCTCTTGGAACGCGACTCTTCTTTTCGTATTTGCGCCTTTTGAGAAAGAACATTGGCGCCTTGATTCGCTTCTTGTTTATTAGCGGACTGTTGAGTTTGTTGACTCGGGGATTTATTACGTCTGCCTGTAATACCCGCCGTAAGCGCTTGTTGTTTTGCAATTATCTTGTCGTCGGTAGACTCAACTGACGCGGGTTGCAAGAGATTTGCTTCTTTCTCCGAGGTTGGCGTCGGTGGATTTTGCCGTCCGACATTCTGTTGTTGATGCTTCTCGTCCGCGTTACGTTCCGAAAATGGGCTCTTGCTGGACGGCGGCGGTCCATAGCCTTCCATGCGGCTACCTGTTGCCGTGTTCCGAACGCGAAAACCGCCTCTACCACGACGGGATGGTTCGCCTGACGGTGCAAAAGCCTCATGACTGGGTTTCCCGTCGTAGCTTCTCTTGTCACTACGCGCTTGAGAATATGCCTCGGTACCTCGCTTATCGTCTCTTCTTGATACCTCGCGATTGCGTTCCTCTTTCTCGACCTTCTGAGACGGTTTGGGAGAGCGAGTGGATCGCTTATCCTCCTTTCCAGACTCAGTGGAGCCGGATACTTCATCAGCACTGTTTTCGGAATCGGTATGTCCATAGGAACCGCTCTTGGCGGACATTCCAGACTTACCAGCAGCAGGTCGCCCGCCTCTTCGTCCTCTAGATTCCGGGCCACGCCAACGAGTGAAAACACTGAAGGTTCCTCCCCATTGACGTCCACCGCGAGATTCGCGAACTCTAGAACTAGAGCTACCGCTGCTTGTTCTATTACGTGTATTCTTCTCTCGCTTCTCATCCTTGACTTGTTCTTTTACATCTTCGGTAATAGTTTCCTCTCTCTTTTCCAAGGTTGGCTTATCCAATAAACTTTGTTTAATTTCATCACTTTCCTTGCTTTCTTTAACAGTTTCCACTATCTTTTCCTCTTCCTTTTCAAAAGTTGGCGATATTGCATCGGCCCACGCTTTTGGTGAATTATCACCTCTCTCGATCTGCCTGGTTTCCGAAGTGCGTTCCGTTTTTCTATTCCACACATCCGTATCTTTTTTTGTCTCGGTAGTATTTTCTTTCGCTTGATCTTTCTTCTCTTGAAGATCAGAACTACCTCTCTTCAATTGAGTCAAACTGCGCTTTTCGTTCTTCAATTCGTCCGCTTCAATCTTTTCTTTCGTAACTGGACCAGGCGGCTGCCTTCTATCTCTATCTCTTTCTCTAACTTCTTCATGATATAACAAGTCTCGTTTCTTTTCCTCATAATCTGACACTTCGCTCACCCAGGAATTGCAATCGCGTAATTTATGCAGCTCGTCATCGCGTAAAGAAGTTTTCGACTCTCTAGAAGTGCGACTATCGCGTGAATCTGGTCTCTGCGGCCGTTCACTACGCTCTTCCTTTGGCGCATCGCGGCGATTTTCGAGTTGTCTGTCTTGTCCTGCGTTACGTTCTTCACGCCATTCTGAGCTTTCAGAACGCTCCCTTTGTTCTCGTTCATCAAAAGAATCCTGTGAAAAATGAAAATTTTCAGATGTAAGTGCAATTTATATTTTATAAATAAAAATTAATTTTGTTTTAAACAATTACCTTCGAATAACTGTCGTAATCCTTCTTTTCTTTATTATCTCGATCGCGCATATCTCTGACATCTCGAGCGTCACGATTGGTAGGACGAGAATCCTTGCTGTCACGATTATCTCTCGAATCCAAATTCTCCTTTGGATCTCGTTCCTTATCGTCAAAATGTCTCTCACGTTCCCAAGAGTCACGAGGATGTCTATCATCATACTCGTAATCTCTAAAATTACGGCTATATTCATCGTAATATCCACCCGGTTTGCGACCGTCGTAAGACCGATGTGAAGAATGCCGATAACGATCTTCTCTCGATGGCGGCGCGCCACCACTGCGATGATCTCGAGACGGAGGTCGTTCATCGTCCAATGGTGCCGATGCATCAGAATCGGTTCTATTACGACGTTGCGGTGGTATGGACTGCTTCATACCACTATCTACTAATACAAGTTTTATTGTATAGCTTTTTATCAGTTCAAAAGAGAAGATAAGGATCAAGATAAATCATAAATAAGAAGGTCACATTAAGTATCACTCATATTTTAGATACTAGTATATCAAATTCCTAATCAAGTTAAAAATTCATTTTTAAAAATTAACTGTAAAAATTATTTTTGTATCTTTATTAAGTATATTTGCTTAATAAAAAAATGTTTACATTGTAATTCCGGAATTATAAAATTAAAATTTTTTTAAACAAATATTCTGATACTTATTTTTTTTTACAGTTTAATCACAATTATTAGATTAAGAATGTGATGCAATTTTAAAAATAAGAGATTCTAAACACTTACTCAATGAATTGTAATTGTGAAGCCATCTGCTAGGATCATATTGCTGAGAGAATGGAACAGATTGTGTAGCAGGTCTTTCCGCATTGGGTGAAATTCGATTGAAATTCGCACCGCTTCTCTCTGCCTGTTGCTTTTGAAATCTGGGCGGTAAATTATTTTGAAAATGTCGGGAAAATGCCGGTTGATCGCGGTCTCGTGAGTCTCTTTGATCGCGATCGCGTTCTCTTTCACGCTCGCTGCGCACCGTATCTTGTTGTCGTAAAAAAGTCTGCCGATCATTCTGACGAAAGTCCGCCAGTCCTTGATCTCGGCCTTCTCTCGCAAGGTTATCGCGGGATTCGCGTCCAGATGCGATGATTTTCTCATCTTTCCCTTCGGACGAAGTACGTGATCTTTCACGCTCTCGTTCTCTGCTTTCTCGCTCTCTATTTTCCTTTTCCCTTTCCCATTCGGGTATAGGAAGAGGTACAGGTGGAACGCTGATTAAGCTTTTAGAATCGCTCGACTGTGCGCGCTCCTCGTCTTTGTGCTTCGCCTGTTTCTCTTTCATCTTTTGCTCCAAGTCCTGTAATTTCTTAGCTGCCGCTTGTTTTGTCGATTCTTGGAAACGTTTCTCTTCTTCTTCCTTGCGCAATCGTGCACGTTCGACAACGGACGCAACTTCAACTTTGATTCTACGCCTTTCGTTCCACGTCTCGTCGTCTTCGACACCTATTTATAATGCAAATATGCGTCATGAGTAGATCAATGAGCATGATATTTTTTTTGTAATAAAAGTGAACTACTAACCTCTTAAAGAATGTACAGAGTGCAATTGCGATTGATTGTTGTAGCCGCCACCACCACTCGCGCCATTTGATCCACGATAATCGCGATTCATAGAAGGTTGAGTCCAAGGACGATGCGGCGGATCTCGAAGCTCCTTCGGGTCTCGAGGATTATCCCGAGACTTCTCCTTCTCCTCCGCGGCATTATCATCGTTCTTCTTCTCCTTGATATCTTTTTTCTCGTCAGTTTTCGATGGTTCTGATTCGAGTTCATCGTCGCTAAAGGCCAATTTTTGGTTATAATCAATATCATCATGCGCAGCCCATCCTGCATCACGTGAAATATCATCCATACGAGTAAGATCTTCTTCCTTGATAATGGGTCTAGTCAGAATCTCTTCCTCGGCTACGCGATCACGTTGAGGAGGTGGAAATCGATCCAGAGGATGATTAAATCTGGGTCGGGGGTTGTTGGATCCAGAATTTGGTGCAAATTGCGGAGGAAATCCACCAGGGAAATTTGATCTATACATCTAAAAAGATCATACATTTTGTTATATCGTAAAACAAAAAGAAAAAGAATTTACACAAATTCAAACTTTTGAGATCGTAATAATAAACTTACAAATGGCGGGATAAGTCCTCGATAGTGATGTAAATTCGGCCCAATTTGATGGGTACCGGAAGAAGGCGCAGAACCTTGATTATTTACGGAATTATGCTGGCCTGCCGGGCCCGCGCCCATGTTGGGCGATTGGCCCAAGTTCTGCCGCCCTCCACCGGGTCCCTCTTGGGTGTGTCCTCCTGAAACAGGTATATTTAAAGGGAGGCCCTGGCCCCCCGGAGTATTCCCATTTCCGGGACCAGCTGATGTTGGTGGCGCTGCGCCACTTGCCGTGCGACTTCCGCCTTGAATCCAACTTCCTTCGGCTGCAAAAATTCATATAGCAAAATATTACATATTTTCAAAAATCAAATGATTCTATCATTAAATTACGAGAAACATACTCTGTGGACGCAGGCTCGGTCCCGGTCCATATTGCGCATTTAACTCTCGATTCGACTGCTGTTGATTTCCCGGTGTGCCACCTACATAATTCATTCATTAGAAATATATAGACAAATAACATACTGTGTATTTTGATACATAATAACAGTATATCAATATTGATAAGAAAGAATCGATATTTAACGAAATACATGATAAAAACAAGATACACACATGCTCGCACGCGATTGCTTCGCAGGCTGTGCATAAAACTTTCCCATGTATATATCATGCTTTACAAATAGTATCTTGAATAGTAAGGAAATATTAATACACAAAAAATTAAGTTGTCAAATATTTCTAAAATAAATCGTTATATCTAATTATATTAAATATCTTATTGATTTAGAATAAACGTAAAAATAAATTGCGAGTTGATAAAAGATGTACTACTAATTTCGTTTTATGTAAAAATATATAATTAAAATAATTATAAATCTGCCAATATTCTATCAATGTAAATCTTAATAAATCATAATAATACTATGATAATTATGTAGTAATGTTTAGTGGATATATAATAGTGTCCAAATTATCTTTTTTTGCATAGGAATGCATAAACTTATCTACAAAAAAGTAATACATTTCCACATAACATAGAAAAATGTAATGCTCTTCATAGTGCAACTTTTAAAATATTAGAAGAAGAAATTGAGGGATATAATAATACATAAATTAAAGCAGATTTAAATTAAAGAGATTAACTCAGTCAAAAAGATAAAAAGTACACATCTTTTAACATTATGTACCAATCTCGAATTTTTTATAGATGTGTATTTTTCTCTCTTTCTTATATGATATTAAAATATATAAACAATGATATACATGAGACTTGGTATACATAATGTAATGCTATCTAACAATTTTCTACAAACGTATATAACACATATTAACATTTATAGTCAAATCAATTTTCCACATTTATATCCAAAATTACAACATATGATTTATTTAAATATTTTTCAACAAATTGCGTCAAATATATGAAATCACAAAATGTCACTGCTATTCATGATGTAAAGATATATAAATTGCTCTGCATACAGAAAAGTTATCTGGAAATAACCATTTATAAATAATATAGATGGTGTTACAAGCTTTTTTACTTTTACGTAAAACCTTATTCACAAAATATAATAAATTATATATATATATATATATATATAAAATATATAAAAACAGAAAATACTTTCTTTAAATATTATATATTATATATATATATATATATATATATATATATATATATATACAAACTCCTAATTTTCTTCCACAGAATAGCAAATAACATAAAATAATATTGTGCACAATTTTGTATATTTTTAAAAAACAATTCATATTTATTAAACAATATTAGACACATTAACTGTATGCAAATATATTGTTACTAAATAGAAGTATTATAAAATTATAAAACTATATTATCATAGTTTTAAATGCAATCTCGATTGCAAATATTTTCTTTTAATAATAGGCTTTTTATAACTTTAATCTTCTTGATATTATATATTGTATATGTACATATATATTATATCAAAAATTTCATGAAGTGTCATAAGATATTAATAATGAGAAAAAAAGTTAAATAAAGAAGCTAAGGTTCCTCTCATACAATTTTTCAAAGTAAAACTAGTTTTGTTATTCTTATTTTTTACTATTATTAATATCTTTGAAGACATATGCAGACAAATAGTGTTCAATAAACATTCAATATGTAAAGAAATTATTACTCAAAATATTTCTCAAAAAACAATTTACTATACCTATTTATAATCAGATATAGATTCAAGAATCCGCATGCATCGCGCATTCTTGTAAATCTCTGTTGCACACATTTTTATCATTACTACCAAATTTATTTACACCAATCTTCCATCTTTTATTACTTCTAGTATCATATCATCTTCTATTACTTATAGTAATATAATTTATTTAATCAAAATACGATCTTAATAAAAATACCATGGAAAGAAGCACAGACAGAGCACTACTGGCAAAGAGAAAAATTTGAATCTAGCAGCAACAGGCAAGCAACATCCCACCTGAGTGGTTGTGGGAGTATGGCTGTTGCTGCAGTAACGACTGATGGACTGCGATTGAGATCGCATTGGATGTTGTTGAGGATTGTTGAGTCTGGCTCTGAGTGGAGACGGAGGCGGAGGGCTGTCCGCTGAGACTGGGAAACTCGTGTTGGAACTGCGGGGACTGGTGGGCGAGGAAACTCAGTCCAAGGGCACCTCTTGCCCCCTTCGCGCCCCCCACGAGCCCCGCGTAACCAACCACTGCTGCCACAATGGGCGTACCTATCAATTAATTGTGCCACCCAAGAAAAAAAAAGAAAAAAAGGAAAAAAAAAAAAAGAAAAAACGACACTGATGCCCTGCTTACACTTTGCTCATGCCCAACGTCCAGAAATGGATGTTAAAAGAATATAGATATATCGCAAATACGAACTGGACAATGAATTATTGTCACATCCTATACCATAATATATTATAATCTCAAAGTTTTCATCGTCCTTTATTAATCCAACTCTGGACATTTAAAGTTTTATGATATTATGTACATTTACATCTCAATAATTTTTTTTTAAATAAATATTGTTTATATTACGGCATCCTTATAAATAATATGACACAAATCATTGCATATTATTTATATGATAAAATAAAAATCATATTAAAATTGCTCAGTTATCTGCATATTTCTAATTGGCATTGGTATATTGTATTATTTAGAAAATACTGTATAAATTATATTAATAATATATAATTAATACAATATGTGTATAAACAATATAACATTATTAATCTAATATTGTTAATTGATTATATTGAAACATATGTATGTATATATATATATATATATATATATATATATATATATGTATATATGTATGTGTGTGTCTGTGTGTAATTTTGAAATGTGAAATCAATAATTATAATATATGCAAACATGTATGAAATGTATGCTGTCCCATCTACGATCTTATATATCTCCTATTCGTAGGAGGAGACAGCTACAAATATTTATGCTAAAAAACTGCTAGAAAACTGAAGTTATTTTTGTCTTATTATATAATTGCAACTATAACTAGATGATTTAGATGTTTTTAATAACTAGGATTTTTAATAACTGGGTTTGATTTAGATGTTTTTTAAAAAATTTTGAATAATTAGATATGATTTTAACTTGAGTTTTTAGAAAATCTTGGCACTTTCAGAACCATCTTTTTTATATCATTCTAAACTAAGCCTGCTTCTGGATAAACGAGTTCAAAAATGTTTGAACGAAATAAAGAAATGAATAAAGTGTAGTAAAAAATGAATAAAGTAACTTAAAAGCCTTAATTTAATATTTTATCTCGATCAATATCACATGCCAGTAGTGCTATAGTGTATAAAATATATATTTTTTACGCACCATCTCCTGATCTGCTCATAATCGCACTCCATGATGACTTGTTGTTTGTTTGATCCAAAAAAGGGGATTGTGATACATTTTGTTGTCCCGGTAATAACGAGTGTAGAGATGTTGAAACAGTGGTTCCTGCTGCGCATTGTGCTGATGAAGAGACAGTCTGCAAGAAAATATTAGCTTTAATAGTATTTATTTCTAAATTCTGAATATCATATACAATATAAAAATTAAAAAATTAGCACTATTTTTGTAAATTTTTTTTACTAAGAAATTTAATTTTTAATTCTAATTTTTGTTATTAAAATATACACAAAGATAAAAACATAATTACTCTTTATAGAATTATTATGTTTGTGTATATTTTATCTTTGTGTATATTTTAATATACAAAAATTAGAATTAAAAGTTAATTTCTTAATAAGAAAAATTTACAAAAATAGTGTTAATTTTGTTATTCTTATATTATATTTGTCAAAATTAAATTATGTTATATGCAGTTACAATACTAGAATATTAGTAGCACAATGTTAACTTTAAAATAATTATTCTCTATAAACTGAAGAATTAATTTATAACTTACAGTAGTGTTATCAGGTGAAGTTGCTACTGTGGTAGTAGTAGTGGTCGATGATGTCGAGTCCTTAGTAGTAGCCCAACCACTTCCTCCACTTGGCACAAGACTGACAGCTGGATCACTGCTGCTAGTTTCACTTTTTAAACTGGGCAGATTAGCAGGAGGACGCCGTGCCGAAGGCACCTTTCCAAGACTTTGCATTCCATGTTTGCGCGGTAATGTATTTTTTTGTTGATGCGGTTCCAAAGATTCACCCTATATTTGTCAAAAATATTTAACTAATTTGTAGAAAAATTTATCCCTTCAAATATCAAAGAAATATGAGAAAGAAAATGTCGATACATTATAGAGATATGTAAAGCTAAAAATAAAAAGAATTGTTTACAGAGAGAAATTAGTTCATTTATTTCATTTAATCGAATAAAATTGTGAGACAAAAGATATCGAATAAAAGAAAGTGTCTCTTGGAAAAATAATAAATAATAAAATATGGCCAACACTTACCCTACTCACCCGATACAAGCTATTGATATCTAGTGATTGAAACTTGGATTTTCCTTTCTCCCCCTTCGACACAATCCCTGACAGAGTAGACATGCTGTCTGCACGCAACCATTTAGTACCAATCAGACCCAAAGAACGAACCCTTTGTCTGCAAAGATAAAGTTATTTAAATATAGTACAAGATACTACCATGTCTTTTGATACTACCATCTCTTTTCTTTATCTCTTATTTCTCTATAAAAATGAACAATGGTACTGTAAGAAACTTAAGGAAAATGTAGTAGAAAAAATATAGTACCTATCATATAAAAGAATATAATAATTTCATCTATGTTAATCATATCTGGAGTTCTTTTTAAGAATGTATTAGCATATTTCTAGGAATTAAATATATAGCTGGGACTACTAAATACATAGATGGGACTATTAAATATATAGATGGACCATTGTTTAAATTCAAAATCAGGGAGTTCCCAAACTGAGAAAACAATGATGAAAGAATTAATAAATATATGATGCATCTGTCAGTGGATCTCTACGATTGTTCCATAAAATATGTAATCGAATAAAAAGTACATTACAAAATACAACGATAAATTATTGTGCACATGCATATGACACTTTGTTTCTTAAATATTTTGCGACTAGAATTATTTATATAATAACGATAATGTCGTAGAAATACCAAGTGTGCTAAGCGATATCAATTTTATAATAATTTGTACAATTACAGCAATACGCGAGGAGGAAATTTCTAAAACGCGCATTCCGTTCCGTTAACAACGCATTAGCGGCGGAGGCGAATAGCCTCTGAGAAAAAGCTTTGTCTGTCACGCTGTTGGAAACAGGCTGCCGCGCGGCAAATAAAAGAGAACTCGAGTGTGACGAAAATACAACTCGATTTATCACCTAGCGAGAACCCAAATCCGGGAGCTGATAATGTTACGAATGGTAAGCGAAGCCGAGGGGAGGCGAGAGTAACACCGGACCCAACCCCGCTCACGTCCGTGTGCGCGATGTCAAAACTCGCGGACAGCCCAAAACAACAAAACGCGCGGCGCCCAAGTCACGCATCGTGTCATCGAATTCGTTGTGTCGTAGGCAGTAGGCTCGAATTCGCGATATCGAGGGTACTGCGAATGCAATTTCGTCGCGATAACGGTACCCCGGTAGCCCCGAAGAAAGCGGAGATGCCGATCCCCGAGAACGGGGGGAGGAGGGAGGGAGGGAAGAGGGAGGGGAAAAAAAGAAGTGTCGGGATACAGCGAGGCATCCTCCACGTAGGTAGGATAATTTCGCTGTCCGGACGTTTGGCGGATATCGACGAAATAAGGACTCACCTTGGTCCGTCCAAATGGGTTATCAATTCACAATAGGGTTAACTCCCAGTAAAACTAGATTAACGCGCGGATCGACGCGGATTACCACTTCCGACCGGATCGCGCCGCGCCTAACGGAGACACGCAAGAAACCTCTTCTCTCCAACAATTCGTCCAAGATGGCGAATGCGCGACTCTCGAGGGGCCCTTCCTCCGCGCGCGCGATCAATACAATTACGTCACGCTTACCAAGGAGAACCGCTCTCACACAGACGTGCCACTCGTCGGCGGATTTACGCTGTCGCCAACGATGGCGATAGCGGCGTCTGTCTAACTAACTCGCGCGACGCGCTTTCTCTTTCGTTCCTTTTTTTTTGTTTCTCTTGTGGCACGCGCGATCACAGATTATCGGCACGATGCGTATCGTCGAACGGATCACTATTCACGGAGAAATCGGGCGTTCTCCCCCGCGGAATTCTCGGTTCCGTTTGCGACTCTCGTCCGCCGTGCGTGTGACAAGAGAGGAGACGCACGCGAATAGTACGGCTTCGTGGCCGCGGGTGGCGCTGCCGTCGAAATTCCTTTCCTTCGCACCACCGGAGTCAAGTTCACGGTTCTTTCGAAATGAAATTTCACCGACTCGCTCGACGCAACGTCGATATTTTTCTAAACAGCGAGAAACTCCGTCTTTGTTTGTATATATATATTTTTTTAACACGTAAATCGTATCGCGAAAGATTCCCATCGAGTCTCGTTAAAAATTTTATTGACTCCAAATTAACCGCGCGATCTTTCAATTGCACTTTCTACACTTTCTCCTCTACGACTGTCTTTCTTCAAGTCTCCTCTCGCGGGGGAGACATCGTTGTTTGGTTTAAGGAATCGTTAAAAAGTTGATTTATCTGCTGTCCGGGATACAGCTGTTTCACTTAAATTAGTTTCGATTTTCTGAGGGTGCAATTTAATTGCACTGAAGATGGTACGTAATTAAATTATCCGAAATATATATTGCACTCACATATATATTGCGCTTTTGTGTGTATACGATTTGAATAATATAAATGTCACTTCTCTTTTTTTAGAGCGTTACATTGCATACGGATGTTGGCGACATCAAAATAGAATTATTTTGCGAGATGTGCCCGAAAACATGTGAGGTATCGATTTCTACACATATATCTATTATACTTATTAGAAATAGATAACCTATAATGTTTGCTCCTGACAATTTTGTATAAAAGCATTAACATTCTTATTTTATGCAGAATTTTCTTGCACTCTGCGCTAGTGGATACTATGATAATTGCTTGTTTCACCGGAACATAAAAGGCTTCATTGTCCAAACTGGAGATCCTACCAATACAGGTAAAGGTGGAACGTCTATATGGAATCGTAAATTTGAAGATGAATTTAAGGAGGAACTAAAACATAATGCAAGAGGCCTTGTCTCTATGGCTAATAATGGGCCAAATACAAATGGGAGTCAATTTTTCATAACTTATGCACCACAATCACACTTGGACCTAAAATATACTCTATTTGGAAAGTAAGTTTGCATTTATTTTTACTTTATAACAAGTAAAATTGTAATTTTTTTTCACTAAGTTTTTATTTATTACAGAGTGATCGATGGTTTAGAGGCTTTGGAACAATTGGAAAAGTTACCAGTAAATCCTAAAAATTATAAGCCACTCGCAGAAATCAGGATAAACAATGTGACCATACATGCTAACCCATTAGCAGGATAAACTTGTGAGTGATTAAATGATTCTTACTATTTATATTTATACCAAAGACATAAATAATTTATACAAATTTTTTAAATAAATATAATCTATCTACACAAAAATATTAGTGCAATCGTTTAAAAAATATTAAGTAATATTAAAATATACATATTATATCCTTTTTATAGATGTCTTAAACTTATAACTTATTACAAGAAATAATGCTGCCAAGTATTTTTATATTGTATATATACCTAATGTTCTCTTATTCTGTGGATCAAATGGACTTCGAAGATACATTCTTGCAGGATACTTTTTTCTCATTGCTTCAATCTGGTAAGTACCTGTTTCTAAAAATTCCTTTGTAATATTTTGTCCATTTGGTGCTGTAATATATCTGGATAAAAAAAGTAAATGCATAAATATATAAATTATTCATATTTATTTATACTATTTATCTGATTGACTTACGCCTGTCCAATACTACTTTTAAAAGTATATCCATGTTCAGCTCTTCTTAGATAACCAACTAATTGATTATTTCTATAAACATTTTCCAAACCCCACAATGGTATATCACTATAAATTATAAGAATATTTGTGCTTGAATGATTCAAAATATTGATAACTTAACAATATTAGAAAATAAATGTATTGTAAAGTCATATACTTACTCATTTATATGTAAATGGACCATTCTTTTTTTGACTCCATTTTTACGAGCCCAATCAACAGATGCTTTACCTAAGTACTTGCCATTTTTGCGGCAGGCAGCTTCTAAACCCGCTTCTATTGGATTATCATCTGATCTTAAGTCTGTACCCCAAAGATGATTTCCTAAATAAATTAATACATAATCTTAAATAATTAAAATATAAATTAAATGGTATAAAAATATTACACTGCTGTTATATTAAAGTCATGTAAAATATTGAACTGTCACATACCTTTTTCACAACTCAAACTGTAGAGTGCTCTGTAACCAGCTAATTTCATATCATATTTTTTACCACATTCCATTAAAGCCTTGTAAACCTTTTCACATGAACTTTTTGGAATATGTAATTCATAGCCAAATTCACCCACAAAACTAAGTCTAAACATATGCACTAGTTCACCATTTATTCGTGCCAATTTTGAAGTGCAACGTGGAAATGATTTGTTTGAGAGATCATCTTTGATTAACATTTGAAGAACTTGACAGCTGCATTAATGAATGAAAAATATAAATGAAAAGTGTAAAATATATGATGTTATCATACATTTTTGTCATAATTTGTACATATATTTTTATTCGCATTTCATTTGAATACCTATTAGGACCTTGAACTGACAAAATTCCTATCTGTTCTGTGACATTATGTACAGACACATTGAAATCTTTTTCTCTGACTATTTTGTTGATATGTGCCCAGATATGATATGATGACATGCCTGCAGATACTAAAATCATAAATAAAGGAATTAACAGTATTGGATTAAAAAAGTTAAAATGTTACAATGTATACACACGCAGTAAAATAAAAGTAAAGGTATGAAGCTATACCGATGTAAAATGCTTTTCCTTTAAATATGGGATCAACTACACCACCCAAGCCGGACTCTAGACCAGTGACTGTGCAATCCCCCTCTACACCTCCCTTTTCATTTAACATACAAGTATAAACAGTTTTATTGATTTCTCGATCTACTTGAGATGTAAATATATAATCTGCCGCCTTTCTTGCTTCCGGACCGCATATGTAAAATTTTCCAAAATATGACAGATTAAATAAGGCAACGTTATTTCTGCATGAAAGCGCTTCCTCCCGTATCTATAATAGATATAAAAAAGTTATAAATTTAACATTTTTGCTAAAAAATATTTTTTAATACAATTCTATTTTAAATTAAAAAGTTAGACTTACGATATTATCATGTGGTGGAAAATCAAATGTATATTCTGTTTTTAACACATCGGCATATATATCATTCGTATTTTTTGGTGTATCATAACAGCCGCCATAATCATAAGGCAAAGCTGCGGCTGTTTTATTATTTAATAAGAACCATCCTGGACGTTCCCATCCTTGTCGTTCTTCCATGACCGCGCCTTCATTGATGAGTAACTATTGTACATAAAAGGTGAACGGTAAATTAATAAATTATTAGTAAATAAAAAAAAATGAAAATTAATAATCTAAATGAAAAATGTTGGCAAATAATCAATATTTGCATGAAGCTTGACTTACATTATGGAAAGGGTCTATCTTTAAATTTCTACCACTTAAACGTTCGTCGTGTGGATAGATAATCTCATAATTTTTTGCATAAGCTTCTTGACTTCGTTCTGTAATCCAAGCTAAGTTTTTTCTTTGTTCTGGTATAAATCTGAAAAGAGAAAAAAATGTAGTAAATTATAAATATGAATAGAATAATATTACTTATTTTACTGATATATATTTACATCTTATATCAATATGTAAAAGAGGAGAAAATTATCGATATATTTAAAAGTTAATTCGTTAAATAAATATAATGTTACGTTTATATTGCATATTTAAGAAATTTGATATCTCTAACTCTAAATGAATTTTTACCGTCTAATATCGTGACTGAACATGTATTTATCCGGTCGTCCATTAATTATCCATAATGCCGCTTGCTCTCCACAACCACCTCCGAACATCATTCCGGCGCTATTGTATCCACAGGAGTAATAAAAACCTGTGCAACGTGGGTCTTCACCTTTTGAAGACATTGTTATTTTAAATTTAATGCCTATTTTATGCATTGTTATTTTAAATTTAATGCTTATGATGTATAATGAATATGAGAAAGAGAGAGAGAGAGAACATTGATTATAAATTAATGATAAAATTTTGTACCCATGATAGGTTTATGGTCAGGAGTAAAACTTTCTGGACCGCACACTGTTGTCCTTATTCCTGTGGTTGCCAAAATGGGTATCAATTCGTTCATCGCTTCTACATGTGCATTGAATACATCCCAATTCAGTTCGTATAAACTGAAGGAGAAGTCTTCTGGTGCCTTTATATAGTACGTATCGTTTAATAATTAATCAAGAGAACAGATATTGTGTATCGCAAATATTTTTTCTATATATATAATAATTAATCTCTGCATGTAACATGCATATATATATATATATATATATATATATATATATATATATATAACTTACTAATTTCAATATGATAGGATTCGATTCGTAACCTCCGATGCTCAGAGTCCCACCTTGCACTCGAAAGTAGATACTGCGATCGGGATCTCGGATGTTTGGCAATCCTTGGACGTTCATCGGCTCAGTGACGATATATGCATGTTTCATTGGTGTCAATGGAATACTCAATCCTACCATTTGCGCTATCGTCCCGGACCATACTCCAGCAGCGTTTAATACGACATTGGTTTTTATAATACCGTACGGCGTTTCTACCCCACGAATAATTTTGTGACCATCGTTATCCTCTGTGAGAATTTTAGTCACTGGACAATCCTCGATAATCTTGAAGAGTTATATTTAATTGGATCAATTGTTTGCAAACGTAATTAATAACAAAACTTTACTTTAGCTTCAGTTATCTGTGAAAGATACGCTATTTTTTGAATATAGATATAAAGATCTATCATACTATCGTGAATTATAAATATTCAAATGAGTAATATTTATATAGACTGATTGATATGAAAGGAAAAAAATGAATTACCTTGCAACCGTTTTTCTCTGCTGACTTTGTCAATGCATTTATTAACATGGCAGGGTCTATAGTACCATCTGCTGGAGAATATATCGCAGCTAGAAATGCATTCTCATCTAAAAGAGGAAACTTCTTCTTGGTTTCCGCCGGATCAATCAAGTATGCATCAATACCAAAATTTTTACAACTAGTAACTAATCTTTCGTATTCGGCCACTCGTGCCTGTGAAATGCAATATAATACTTATTTCTCGAAAAAAATATGAATACAAGTATCAAAGAAAATGTCAAGATACTTAAACTCACGGGAGATTGAGCGATAAGAAGTCCACCGTTATTTATCCATCCTGGATTTATATCCGTTTCTTCTTGCAAGGATGCATAAAGTAATCTTGAACCTTTTAACATCTCTGTTTCTATATCGTTTACTCCGCGTAAACACCACACAAGACCTGCTGTATGCCATGTTGTGCCAGATATAAGTTTAGATTTATCCAAGAGTACAGCATTGATACCCCGTTTTCCTAACTGATAAAGCGCGTTACAACCAGCACTGCCACCACCTATTGTAAAAATTCTTGTATGTATCATACCATATAAATATTTATGTGCACACATTAATTAAAATTAACTACCATTCAGCTGAGATTTTTTATTTTTTTAGTTTTATATGTGAAAGGATTTTCTGCTAAATTTCAGTTAATTTTAATTATAACTTAATATATGTATAATATATACAATATCAAAATTTTATCCATAGTACTGTCCAATTTTTATGCCTTTCCAAGGACACAATTAATTACAAAATTAATTACCTATTACTACAACATCTGCATTACTGGGTATATCAATGTTCTTCATCTCATTTTTTCCATTATATGTAGTGATTGTTCGATTATTTCTGAAACCCCATTTACAGAACTGAAAGAAAACAATGTATTGATATATGTGGATTTTATCTTGTTACAAAAATATAAATAAAATTATTAATTTCATAATATATTTGCTGAACGTTTTAAATTCGACGAAATCGAATGTATATATACCTTGTTTGTCAATAGACGAAGCATTTTGTATGCATCACAGGATCAGCTTGTCACGACTGCAAATATTGACACAGACTGGACTATAGTTCTCTCAGTCAAGATCGCGTAACTATGTTATTCTAATTTATCTTCAAAATTATACTGTTTATAACGTGTACATGTTATCAAAAAATTTCGCATCGCATTTTTCAATGTTTAATTTCTCTTTCTCGCGCGATATCAACTCGCGTTCGCGATGAAATGCATGTTTGAAAAAAATTCTGGTTTTAGTAAAACGAAGGAGAGATTACAAGCGACGTCAATCACGAAACATTACTCAATGTGTTTGTACGAGAAAGAAGAGACAATACTTAATAAACTTAAAACGCTATATAGTTGAGTAACTATCCTCAATCTGTTATTCATGTTATTTTTTTTTTTAACTTATATGTGCATTGTGCAAATATTGTTATATTTCAAAAGTATCTATTTTGCTAATGATAATGAGAGGTAAAGGAACGGAAATTTCATCATAAAATTAATCTTTATCACTTCAGCAGATAAAACTATTTATGTATTATCGCTTTATATTTGTACATCTATTTGTTCGCTTCACATAAAAACTCGCATTCATTATGGAAATAATCTTTGTTGTTAACTCTAAAGTCTGCAAGAAGTGTTTATCGTTGTTAACATCTCTTTTTTTCAAGATTCACCTTGACATGTATTTTTTCTTATATACTTTATTATTTATTGTTAGAATGTGTATTGTATAAAATAAGCTAAATAATATTCTTTGAATTTTTATATTGCATCGGAATATTTCAATTTTGATGTTGAAATGTGTGTACACACATGTGCATATAACTTGTATGTCTTTTTATCAATAAGAAATTCAATGTGTAAAAGAAGCAATCAATGACTTGCAATACTTCTTATCTGCAGTTTGATTATTTACTAAAAATAATAAGACTAGTGGTTGTTGTCGTTACATATGAACTATTTTAATATACAATATGCAGTGTCATTTAAAAATTATGATAAAATATATAAAAATATTTTGCTGATTTCGGACTTTGTAAGCTGTAATATATTCTTTTTAAGATATATTTTGAAAGTCATATATACATATATACATATATATATATATATATATATAATATATATATATATGTATGACTTTCAAAATTTATACATATATATACATATACACACACATATATATATATATATAATATATATATATATATATATATATATATAACGATTATTTTATCAAATTATTATTTAAATTATTTATTAAAGATTAACAGTCGATGTCGATGTTTTGTGAAAATTTCGATAATTAAAAGTGAAAATAAAAAGTATCGGAATAACTTAATTGTTCGATATATTTTTATCTACAAAATAAAGGATATTTTATCGACTAAGAGAAGTCTGATAGACTTATTCTTAGTGGTTTATTTACGTTCTGTTATTATCGTCTACTATACATTAAACTAGACATGCTACAAAAGCGATACATATATTATTAAGTACAGTGTGATAAATATGTCGTGTAAGAAAAATAGGATTTTTTTTAGAGAATTCGTGAACACATCTGTAAAGAAGTCAACAAAATGCCACTTCAAACACAAATAAAGTTTCATTTAGCGAATGACTTATAGCGAAGTGTGCTCTTCGCTCGCTAAACTATCTGTATCTTCAGTGTCTGAATTAGTTGCAGCTTGCACTCGAGCGTATTCATCGGTGTCGATGCTTTTGCAAAAATGGATCGCATATTTTAGTTTTTGTCGTAAAACTGCTTTACACGAATATCTCGGCATTTTCAAAAGGAAAAAGCAAGTATAGCTTTCAGGAAGAAACTGGTCCGGTGGGTTGTACTTGTCCATTACCTAAGAAAGAAAAAAATCAATAAAAAAATAATAATATGGAGTGAGATTTGATATAAGCTAAAAATAATTTTTTACTTGTAAAACAAAGTCTCTGCCTCTAAAATCTGCGATTGTGCGTGGTAAACGTGTCCTGCCCCAAACAAAACGAAGGAAAAGCGATCGTTCTTGATTGGAGAATTCGTCCATAACTTCCCAAAACCATTGAACAAGCGGTGCTGTAGCTTCAATACCTGCAGATATTTAAAAAAATTAGAAATTATAATAAATCATATGTAGACAAGAATCTTAAAAGAATTTTAATAGGCCAATTATAATAAAAATCTTATAAAGAGAGAGAAGATAAATTTTTGATTATCTATCATGTAGCATAATATTTTTATTTTTTATCTCAAAAATTAATATAAGCAATAATATACGATATAAACATCGAAATAGAATATACCTTTATATGTTGCAACAGATTTTAATAGATTTAGTGGTATATCTGGACTACCGCAGACCATTGTTTCAAGTTCAGCACCGCTAAATAGTGCCAATAGGGGCACAGGAACGACTTTCGACAATCCTTCTCTTACTGCTGCTACTTGAGCGTCAAATTCGTGTAGTCTATAATCTAGTGCCAATCTTACATATTCATGTCTATTTTCTGGTGTTATCTTAAGGTATCTGAAAATTTTAAGAATAATTTATTCTCTATCATACAAATTATTTTTTCTTCAAATATATTTAATTAGTATGTTATATTATTAATGTTATATTATTTTTAAATATTATATATATTGTTAAATATAAATTGTACTTTTTTACATTTGATATTATTTTATAGATTTGATAATATTGAACCAATGTAAATTGATTTAATCTCATATTAACATGTATATTAGCTTTAGTTAAATATAAAATATAATTTGTAAAATATACATGTAAAAAAGTCTTTTTTTTCTACATATATAATTTATTATTTAAATATATGAATTAGATTTCAAGATATAATATCCATTTCTCTATATTTAAAATACTCTTTAGAATTTTGAATAATATATATTATATTAAATATATAAAAATAATATAGTAAAAAAATTGGAAATATAATATACCTATTAGATAATGCCACATCATGTCCTGCAGCGGAGGGGGTAGAAAATGGCATTTCTAAACTCTGAAAGACTTTTTCATCGGGATCCATATCCCTAATACAAAGTAAACCAGGAACGTAATCTCTATCGACTTCCGTCAGATCTGCGGGAGTCAGAGGTATACCAGCAAGTTGCTTCCAAACAGGTTCGGCTAGATTTAAACTTAGCGGACTGCCTGTTCGTATAGCAATGCCCATCAAAATGCCTAAGAATTGAAGCATGTTCATATGCAATTGGGAATCTGCCATGGGATTCAACAAGAAACAGTCTCGATTCGTGCCATTGTCCTCGCGACCGTTTGGCGTAGGTATAAATAGTGGCAAGCAACCATTTTGCAATTCATCGCACATCTCTGCTATACTCTCGCTATAACCACCGCCACAATCGTCAACGCTTTCTCCTAAATAAAGTAATATGAATGCATTAACGACTTCACATATCCTATCGTGTGTACTTATAATAATATAAAATTTTATTAGATTTATAACGATTATATAAATAGAGTACATACCGACAAACTTTACTTTCCAAACTCTGTGAGGTAGAAACAATACATCCTGTGTCAGGAGAGACATCTTCGACACCATTTGACCGAAAACAGACTTAATACCATCTGGTCCAGCTAATCCACCCTTCGCTCTAGCCCTTTTCACTTGTATCCTGTTCAATTCGATCACAGGTCCATGCTGACGGTCTCTAACCATCGTGGCTTGAATGACTTTGCGGAATGTAGCTTCTTTTATACTGTACACCAGCATAGGGGCTAATTTACTTAATCCGACATGACCGGTGATCGGAAACATAGCCAAAGCAGGGCACAAGAGTTCTGCGAAATGATGTAGTAATACCAGTCTATTGCGTAATACGGAATACGATAAATCTTTAACCAGATCGTATTCCATAGGTGTAGACGCTGGCATTCTGCTTTGCGTAGCCTTCGCGGTGCTCCAAGCTAGCGTATGTGCGCTACCGCAAGCGACTCTTGTAATTTTCTTGCCTTGCAATGCGTGTACCAATCTCGGTCTATGAAGCGCGCTCGTGGTACCATCGCCAAGTTGACCCTCGTCGTTGTCGCCCCAAGTGAAGACCTCTCCCTTGTCGGAGCACGCGACGCAATGCAACGAGCCCGTCGCTATCGAAATAATTTTCTTTCCTTGCAACGCAGCCACTTTACGCGGCCTACGCACATGATCATCCGTACCGTGACCTAAGCGATGATAGTCGCCTTTACCCCTACATAGGTGAGAGAAGATAAAAATTATAAAAAAAGGAATTAAGGAAAGAAGATAAGTATCATACTGTAAATATATATTGTTATTACCAAGTATAGACTGCTCCGGATCTTGTTAAAGCGACTGAAAATTGACTACCGCATTCGACTTTAATTACTCCGAGCCCGGCTAAGGAATCTATTTTCAATGGAACTTTACATCCATCGCTGCCGCCTCTACCTAACTTCCCGTAATCTCCGTCACCCCAACTCCACACGTTATCGTCGTCGGTTACGCAGAGCGTCTGCGCGTCACCACTTCCGCAAGCCACGTCGATCACTTTGTAATCTTGTAAAGCTTCAACTACCTTCGGTCGTAATTGATCGTCGCTATCCCCATGTCCGAGACGTCCGTATCGTCCTATAATCAATTATTTCTTTTAATATAACATTAAGATAATACAATATTTTCATGTGAAGTCAGGTATTCAATATATGTGAGATATAATAATTTCGAAACCAAAATATTAAAAAAATAATTTAAAAAAAATGGTGCGTTACTTGCCTCTAATTTTGTTTATTTTACCTTTCCCCCATGTATACAGCCAACCGGCGCTCGTGATGGCAGCGCTATGATGACCGCCACAAGCTATATCTATAATTTCTACGCCGAGTAGATCCTCGATCAATTTTGGCCGATCGTACGACATCTTATTACCATGTCCCAGTTTGCCATCGTCACCTTCGCCCCAGGAATATACATGACCCTCTGAACTTAGAGCGAGACAATGCTTTCCTCCCGAACTGACGGCTACTTTTTTAATAAACACGTGCTGTATCGATTCCAACAACGTTGGAATCATAACGGAATCCGTTCCTCCTATCCCAAGGCGTCCCGCAGCTCCGTAACCTGCAAAACATTCCAGATTAAAATCCGATGTATGTCAGTAATATTATAATTAAGAGTTTCATCTTACC